GATAGGAAATAGGGTGAATTATCAGAAACTACTATTCCAAATTACATGCCAGCCAAAATCAAAGGAAATCCTTACCTTTTAGGAGTGAAGCAAAGGACTACCAGGGTAGAATTCTTTATACACTATCAGACATAGAATCGCATTAGGCATTTTTGTTTAATTGTTCTTCTTTGTTGCAAGGAAGGAATCAATCAGTTTTTTGGTGAGCAAAGGTATTTCCAGAGGGACTGCAATGTAAGAACAAAATGTATTAATAATACTTTAAAGAAACTCAAAGGTAATTTATGAGTTTCTTCAAAAATCTAAATATCTAAACTTACCAAGCAAAAAAATGGAAATTTTAAATCATCCAGTCTTGGAAAGAGAAATTGAACAAGTCATAAATGAAATACTGATGGATAAAACCTTGTTCTAGATGGATTTGTAATTTAATTCTATCAAATGTTTAAAAAAACACTAATATGTCAGCTACAAAAATTATTTTCAATAACACAAAAATAAGAAGCTCTTCTAGACTCCTTTTATGGAACTAATGTGATTATAATATCCAAAACATGGAGGAATAAGGCAGAGAAAGAGAACTATGGTCCAATTTCACTAATAAAGATTGATGCAAAAGAAATTAAATAAAATCTTCACCAAAAAAAAGATACAACAATATTTTCCAAAAAATTCAATTATAACCATCTAATATTGTGGTTCATTCCAGAAGAGATGGCTCCAAATTAGGAAAATAATTAGCACAATTAAGCTTAGAAACAACAACAAAAAAAAAACACCAAAACTATGGCTATATCAATACACAGAACAAAAAAAAAAAGCCCTTGACAAAATGTAGTATTCATTTATATAAAAAAACCTAAAAGGCATAAGCATGTAAGATATTTTCCTCAATAATGGTCAAAAGATTCATGAAACTAAAATCTATCCTTATTTATAATGAAAAAATTGTAAAAGTTTTCCATATAAGTATAGAAATAGAGCAATGATGTTTCTTCTCTTTATTGTTGTTTGACATGGTCCTAAAATGATACAATAGCAATAGACAGATAAAAACTAAAGGTATGAGCATCAACAAAGAAGAGACAAAATTAGCCCTATTATCAAATGATATGGTAGTTTACTTAGGAAACTCCAAAGAATCAGTGAATAAACTAATCAAAATCATTAATAGCTTCAGGAAAGAAAGAAGATACAAAACAAGTCCATAAAAACCATTAGCATTTCTCTATATTACTCACAAGAATCAGGAGAAAAATTACATAAAAAGGAAGTACTTTCAGAATAACAACAAAGTGCATAAAATATCTGGAAGTAATAAAAACATTCTTTATAGAAATAAAAGAGGGCCAATAATTAAAGCAACATTCTTTGTCCACAGTTGGTTCACACCAATATAATTAAACATTGATGCTACCTAAATTAATTTATGAATTTCATATTACACAATTCAATTGACCAACAAGTCACTTTGTAGAACTGTATGGCACCACCATCCTCCCAATCACCCAGTCTAGGATTACCTTTGCCTCCCCACCATGTTGAATCTGTCACCAAGTCCTACCAATTCTTCCTTCACAACATCGCTTGTGTAGCCTCCTTCTCTTCCTCTGACACTGTCACAGTCTTGACACAGACCCTTATTACCTTACACCTAAGACTATTGGTTGGCCTTCTGACTGGTCTCCTTGTCTTCAGTTTCTTGCTTCTCCAGTCCATTCTCTGCTAAGCAATCCGAGTGATCTCCCTAAATTTCAGGTCTGACCATATCACTTTCCTATTCAATATCCAGTGATTCCACTTACCTCCAGGATCAAATATAACATCCTGTTCGGCTTTTAAAGCTCTTCATTAATTTGCCCCCCTTTTACCTTTCCAATCTTCTTAGACTTTACTCCTCTCTACACATTATGATCCAGCTACGTTGGCCACCTTCCTGCTCCTCACACACAAGACACTTTCTCTCCCAATTCAGTGTATGTTCACTGGCTATCCCCAATGCCTGCAATGCCCTTTTTCCTTACCTGGACCTCTTGGCTTGTCTGACTTACTTCAAGTCACAGTATCTGACACATAGCATCTCCAATTTCTCCCACATATATTTGCTTTGTTTGTAGTTGTTTGCATATTGTCTACCCCATAAAATTGCAAGTCTATTTTCTTCATTTTTTTCTATCCCCAACCCAATGCTTAGCACAGTGCCTTGCACATAGGAAATACTTAATAAATGCTTTTTCACTTGATAAGAATGAAATCTGCAAACTCTAGACTAGTGACCTTGACTTCCCTTCTTGGCAAAATTCCCTAATGTAGGAATTTTTTTCCAGTTTTTTAAAATTTTATTTTTATTTTCAGTTCCAAATTTTCACCCTCCTTCCACCCTCTCATTTAAGAAGGCAAGAAATTTAATACCCAATATGCATATGAAATCATACAAAACACATTTCTGCATTAGCCATATTTTTTTTAAAAAAACAAGAAAAATAAAGAAGAAATGCACTCTGAGTCCATCAATTTATTATCTCAAGTTGGATAATATTTTGCATCATGAGAGTCCTTTGGACTTTCGGTGGAACACTGTATTGATCAGTTACCAAATCTTTCACAGTTGATTATCTTAACAAATTGCTGTTACTCTATAGATTGTTCTCCTGTTTCTGCTCACTTCATTTTGTATCAGTTCATATGTCTTCCCAGGTTTTCCTGAAATCATCCTGCTCATTATTTCTTATAGCACAATAGTACTCCATCACATTCATACACCATAACTTGTTCACCCATTCCCCAATTGATGGTCATCTCCCCAGTTTCCAGTTCTTTGCTACCACAAAAAGCACTACTATAAATATTTTTGTACATATATGAATCATTTTCCTTTTGCTTTGATCTCCTTGGAGTATAGACCTAGTAGCATTATTGGTGGGTCAAAGGATATGCAGCCCTTTGGGCATAATTTCAAATTGTTCTCCAGAATGCAGTGTACTAATATCCCTATTTTCCCACATCACCTCCAACGTTTGTCATTTTCCTTTTCTCTCATCTTAGTCAATCTGATGAGTGTGAGATGGTACGTAAGAGTTGTTTTCATTTAATTTCTCTAAATTATTAGTTATTTAAAGCATTTTTTCATAGAACTACTGATAGTTTTGATTTCTTCCTCTGAAAATTGCCTGTTCATGTCTTTTGGCCATTTCTCAAATGGGGAATAGCTCCTACTTTTATAAATTTGGCTCAGTTCTCTATATATTTAAGAAATAAGACCTTTATCAGAGAAACTTGCTGAAAAAAAATTTTCTCTTTTTCCTATTCTTCTAATTTTGGCTTCACTGGTTTTCTAATGTATGATTAAAAGTATAGCTTGGCTACATCAAAAACAAATCATGCCAGACATTTCCTTTTTTTGACAGAGTTGCTAGACTGGTTGGTAGCCAAAGAAATATTAAGGAACAATCTATCTAGATTTCATTAAAACATTTGGCAGAATCTTGCATGCTATTCTTGTGGATGAGTTGGAGTGATATGGGTTAGCCCATTGTAAAGGTAAGACTAGAATACCTACAAGCCAAAAAACAAAAATAGAAGATTCAATGTCAACTTGAAATGAGATATCTACTGGAGCAGATCCACTAGGGCACTTGACCTATGTGTGTGCCTTTTCAGCTTTATCAATGACTTGAATAAAGGGCTAAATGGATGACCTTGTCAATTACATTATATGACTCAAGGCTGAGAGATACCTAACATGATATCTGATAAATTCTAGATCCCAAAAGATCATGAGAGCCTAGAACATTGGGCCATTGGGCTATTAGATTTAATAGTTTAATAGAGATTAAGGCAAAATCTCCACCCTGGGGTTCAAAAAAATCAATTTCACAAGTATGAGATGGAAGAGTTATGGCTAGATCACAATTCATATGAAAAAAGTCTAAGGGTTTTAGTGAATATCCTTCTCAATATGAGTGAACAAGGTAGCTAAAAATAGTGCAACATCAGGCTTCACTTAAAGAGATAATTTCTGGAGGTAGGAAAAAGATAAAAGAACCAACTGGAGGGGCAGCTAGGTGGCGATGTGGATAGAGCTCCGGCCTTGGAGTCAGGAGGACCTGAGTTCAAATCTGACCTCAGACACTTGAATGTGATCCTGGGCAACTCATTTAACCCTGACTGCCTCATCAAAAAGAAAAAAAAAGCAACTGGAATAGGAAAAGGAGCACTAGACTTTCAGTCAGGAAGCACAATTCAAAACCCATCTTTAGCAATTACTAGCTAGGTGGCCGTTATAAATCAATTAACTTCTCAAAATTTCAGTTTCTGTATCTGTAAATTGGGAATGGTAATGTCTAGAGCACCTAACTCAAAGGGCTGTTGTAATATTCAAATAAGATCATGCATACAAATGCTATGAAAATGCCAATTATCATTATTATTATTATTATTATTGACCTACTATTCTCTTCCCTGATATGAATATTCCTAAAATACCACGTTCAGTTCTGACCACCTCGTTTTAAGAAAGATTATACTGAAGAGCACTCGGGAAGATCATTAAGATGGTGCAGTCTCAAGGTTGTTCCAAGTTAGCATCAATTGAAGGAACTGAGAATATTTAACCCGGAGAAGAGGAGACTTAGGTGGAATTATGGGAAGAATGAAAGGAGGAGCTGCCAGGAGATAGCATTAGGCTCAATGCAAGGAGAAAATTTGAACTTTCCAAAAGTAGAATGTGTTGCCTTGGGATGGGGTGTGTTTCTCCTCACTAGAGTTTGGGTGAATAACTTTTTGTTGGGATTATAGAGGGGACTCCTGTCCTGATAAGACCTGGATTTTTATGATATCTAAGACTCCTTCCATTTCTGAGATTCTCTGACTCTCTGATGGAAAAACACTGCCCTCCCCATCTCTCCTACCTCCTCACCCACCCCCAACTAAGCAAACCAAGGAAGCGTTTTCTTAACAATTTATACCCAATGTTTTATTTGTGTCTTCTGCCTGCCTAGCTAGAGAGAAACAAATTGATGAGCAGCCTAAATAATAAGCTGTGGACTCTGCAAGGTGACATACAAAGTCTACATGAAATGTGCAGGAACCAAGGAAGGACCTTGGAAGTGGAAGCACTCTCCATTCATGAGATGGAAAGCAGCATCAGCCTGGTAAGGGAAGGCCTGAGCATGCTAGAACTGGTCTTTTACCAGCCAATCAAATGCACTTACTGAGTGCTTGTTGTATGCAGCATATACACTTAGAAATTACAAAAGAAATAGGAAACACTATCCCTGCCCTAAAACATACATGTGTGTATATAGAAATGTATTGTATGTATATGTGTATGTGTATATGTATATATATATATATATACATACATACATATATCTGTATGTATGTATGTATATGTATATACATGTGTGAATATATAAATGTATTATATGTCTATGTTTATGTATACATGTATATATACACATACATATATACAGATGTATATATATATACACACACACGTGTATACACACACACAAACATACTCTGTGTAAAAGCTCCAGGTTAAATTCTGGGAACACAAAAGTGAAAAACAGAGTTCTTACCCTCAGGAATTTTCAACTTAATATTTTACTGTCCACCTCCTAGATCAAATACATCCAGAACTACGAAGATCTAACTACTTTCTTGTCCAGACCTTCCCATGGGCTATTTCTACAGTATTTCAAAAACCTGCAGTCCTTCTGCCTGATATATAGTCTATTTCATCCTAAAGGTTCTTTACAAGTCTTCTAAACAAGTCACAGAAATAAAAACTCTCCCACCGGACCAGAGGCAGCCTCTTTCACCATTAGCACACTGTAGCCAGCCAGGGCTGCAGCAGTAAGGCTGCCCTGATTTGATCATCACTGCAAGTGCCTTTTACTCTGAGCTACTTCTGATGTCCAGACAGTGCATCAGTCAGTGTAGGCAATTTTATTGCAGGCTGAGAATCCCTATCTCTTTGGAGACTCTGGGGCCAACTTTTTAAAAGACCATCAGACAGTCTTCAAATTTATACCAGCACAGTTAGAGGAACCAGGTACCAAGCAAATTCTTCTGGGGAGTGTTGAGGTCAGTATTTCACCTCTCCAAGTTTTGGGATTTTTTAAAGTTTGCTTATTTTTTTGACAGCTAGGTGGTACAGTGGATAGAACGTCAGGCCTAGAGTCAGGAAGACCTGAGTTCGAACCTGGCCTCAAACACTTACTGGCTGTGTGACCCTGGACAAGTCACTTAACCCTGTTTGCCTCAGTTTCCTCATCTGTAAAATGAGCCAGAGAAGGAAATGGCAAACCACTCCAGTATCTTTGCCAACAAAACCCCAAAAGAGTGTCACAAAGAGTCAGACACAACTAAACAAACACCAAAAAAACTTGGCATACACACACACACACACAAACGCACACGTACCATATATGTATGTGTCTCATATATATGAGAGACACATACACACATAGGATTAGAGTTAAGGTTAGGATGTGAATTTAGGGTTATGGTTAGGGATAGATAAGTAGACATGTATATATAAGAAGCACATTAAAAGAAGGTTGTACATAAATCTATATATCTCTGTTATGTACAGCTTGATTTTTTACGTATATAATATATATACAATAAATTCAACTCACAGCTTTCAAAGCTGTCCTGTTTGTGCTTCCTTCTCTTCACTATACTATTTTTAACTATATATATATCCCAATAACCTTCTTTTCTTTCTTTTCTTTTTCATCTTTTTTTTTGCTACCCCGTCCCTAGCCTCCCTCACCCTCCCATCTATCCCTACTGGGAAAAAATGAGCAAAGAAAAGCAAAGCCTTTAAGACAAATAGGCATAATCAAGACAAATTCCTGCATTGGCTGTGTCTCCAAGGTTCAGTTTTCCTCAAATTCCTTATTTGCCTTCATAATTTTGGCTTTGAGTTGCTGGTAAACTTGGAAGGGATATTGATCACACGGACGCATGGTTGAGTCTTAAAATTACCTTCTGGTTTGCCATCTTATCAACAACTGGGCCCATTAGAGTTGTCATAAAGTTTCTGGTCTTCTTTAATTGTGTCTGTTAGACAAGCCATGCACTTGCCACCTCAATGAAGAGATGAAAAATTGCTAGTCTGCAATGCTCTGGAAATCCTGCTAACACAAACATTTCTACTTCAGCCTACTGAGCATTTCCACCCTTTTCCCAGGGAGTACCAGTTATAGGAGAAACCCTTCAGTTTTCCTAAAAGGGTTGGAGAAAGGATATGAACTTAATTTCCTTTTCTATTAATATTACCCTCGGCTCCACAATTATATCTAGATTCCTCTGCCAGATATAGGGAGAGATTTTCATATTGCTGCAGCGAGTTTTACTTATCAAGCAATTCTCTTCTGAGACAGGGAGAGTCATGTGATGAAGAGCCCCTGCAGCTCTCTGCCCGTACACCCGGCCTTTCCCTTTTTCTAATTGCCAGGAAGATGGTCCAACAGCAAGAAACCACAGTCAAAGCGTCCCTGGCTCTTTCCAGCACTTACAGCAGAATTTAAATTGCTTCCCCATGTAAGCACAAACAGTTAGATATGGACTCATATTCATCCTGTCATCTTCTACAGATATGCAATCATGCCAACTGCCACATCTACCTTTCTTTTTTTAACCCATCTATTTATTTGGGGAGCACAGACCAACACTGACAGGCGTCCATTCTGAAAGCCACCAACACATATGACCAAGTGTTTTTCTACAGATCTGCTCTCTCTGGTGGAAACTAAACTTGGAAAAAACTGATGAGGTTAGCTGAGAAGCAATGGGTAGAAGACAAAATTGTCTGACATTACAACATATAGGCCTTGAGAAATAAGTGCAAATTTCAGGGGAAATATACAGGAGAAACTAAAGGTTTTACCTCAAGCTCACGATGTCTTCAATGGAAAACTGAACCCTAATGGAATGGTGTTGACTAAATGCTAAGTTGGTAAGAACAGAACTCATTCAGAAAGGGCAGGAAGGGGGAAAGAGAAGCAATATAGCCTCATATATCAGAGATATTATTCATACACATTCCAAAACTCAGAAATCAATAGAGCCTTTGAGTTGAGTTGAAAGATTAAGAAGCAGCAGATAGAGATGAAAACTTTGGGCTGTCAACTGGATTTTTAAAGTAAAATGGTTTGGAATTTTGCTTTCCATGAACATCTGTTATTTGTTTTGCTGACCTGACAACTCATCTTCTTTCCTTGTCCATAAGCTATATGTACTTCAAGGAGAGGGTTGACCTAGATGACCTAGAAAGTGCCTTCCACTTCTGTAATTCTGTGATCTAATCAATTATAAAGGAGATAGATAGTGTAATAAGGAGATGCTTAACCAGGAAGAAAAGGTACAAGAGGCTCTCTTCATGGAATTTCCTAGAACATCTTTGGGCCTGATGATGATAGGAGACTCTCTTTTCACTCAGATTTCCACTAGAAAAAGAAATGATGTAGTAGCCTACCTACTGTCACTCCACTAACTGGAATGTCTTAGGACAGGATATCAGCATGAAATTTAGAAGAAAAAACTAGGCAGAGCAGATGCCCTTCTGGATTTGGTTCTTATAAAAGCAGAAATTCATTGTGGACTGAAAAAAGAGAATTAGATCTTAGCAGAGGTGACGACAAGTTGATATTTTTAATGCTTGGGGATGGAAAAAGAAAATTCAGCAAACTAAGAAAAATCAAACTCGTGGAAGTTTAAAGTGTTAGTAAGAAGAAAATCTGAAGAACAAAAAGTAATCCAGGGATGCTCTATAAAAAAAAAAGCCAGTTATGCATACATGAAGATAGGCTTCACTGTAAACGACAGAATATACACCTTGCAAGAAACACAAAAGGTAAGAGATAAATATTATTTAGTGTTAGGAGGCCAAACAAGAACTATAAGGAAAATGTCACACGCTTACGTAAGGAAGGAAAATTGATAACCATGTCTGCAAAAAGGCAGTAGGATTTTTTTTTACTTCTGTCTTAAACAAACAAATAAACAAAACTGTGATCAAATAACCAGAACGATTACTCCCTGTGAAGAAACAGCAGGAAGCATGGCTGGAAAATCTTTTTAAAAGTTAGACGTAGGCAAATCAGAAGGACCTGATGACAGGCACAGAAGCGCACTGAAGGAATTGGCAGGTATTCTTGTGGAATTGCTGTGATTTCTGAGAACTTAAAAAAGAAGAGGATGAGGAAGTCCCTAAGGACTAGAAAAGTGCAAATGATATTTTCGGGTTTTTTTTTTAAAAAGGTCAGAAAGGACACTTCTGATAATTACGGGAGCAGTTAGCTTGGATAACAGGGAAGATACTAGAGCTAATCATGAATCAATTAACATCACCCCGAAAAGCACAAACTGTTGGGGTAACAGCCAGCATGCCTCTTCAAAAAGCAAATCACACCAGATCAATTAATTTCCTTTCACCATGAAATGAGAGACCACCTAGGTAAAAAGGGAGGAAGAGCCATTCAGAACCAACAAAGCCAATCTGTTAGTGTATCAGTGGACAACATGGTTGACTAGGCATGGGAACCAGTTCCCGTAGGAAGTCATGGCTTAGAGTTGGGTGCAAAGCCTGCCTGAGACCAGTTCTGGATCAGATGACCTCTAGAAATGTGGCCTAGCTCTGTGATTCTGTGATTTTTATTCTAAGCACTAATCAAGTTGCTATTAAATTATGTCCAACTTGCTTGATTTCTCCAGATCCCCATTTGGAGGTCAAAATAGAAGTTTATAAAATATTCATATCCTCATTGTATGGAAAGAAAACGTTTCAACAACAAAAGGGTAACAGGAAATGCAATGATGCCTTCAATTATACTTTTCTTTGACTCATATGCAAATTAAATAGAAACAATTCTTTAGCAGCCCATTTTCTATTCACTTTGAATTAAGGAAAATAAAAACCTTTTGAACACATGAGAATAAATAAGTGGAAATTTAAAAGGATTCAAATACATCCAGGCATTCCTCCAAGTCTCCTGAATGTCAATGGTGTCTGAATGTGAAATGCCCTTCTCTTGTCTTCTCCTTATTACTCTGTTACAGGCTGCTCTATTCTAGCCAAAAGCATATAAAACTATCTGAGAAAATGTTTCATGTGGTGACTCTGGAGACAAACACTACAGTTTTTCAGCAGACAGAAACAGTCTTAGAATGTCTTTATAACAAGTGAGATGGTATAAAATATACCTCTGCTCCCTGATACTAGGAAGAAATGGACTGCTTCTGCCCAGCTAGCTGGTTTTGAGAGTGCTTTGCACCTTTATAGCTGTCTAAGATGCCATGTTATACCAATCTAGGACAAAACTGGAGACTTGCCATATTATCTCTGTACTAAGAAAATCGTGAGTTTTTTGCATCCGGTAAATATTAAAGGTTGTCACTATTTGTAGCACTTGTTTCTGCTCTCAGGAAATTTCCAAACCTCATTTAAGATACGAACACATGTAGGTTTAGGGTTTATGAAGGAGGTGGCTTTTTTCAAAAATAAAATAAAATTTTAAAAGTTCCTTCCATCATTTTTCTGGATGATGAGAAAAATACGCCCATGGAGTAAGGAGAAGGGAAGGCAAAGGAAGGAGAGGTAACTAACAAGGTGATATGGTGCCCAATGTTAGTTTCACATCGGGCAAAGTATGTCCCAGTCAGCAAAATCCAATCCAGTTTAACACTGTTGGGGTAAGCTCTGGGCTTCCTATTTCCTAATGATCCAAGGTCAAATCATTGTGAAGATGAGTCCTCACTGACTCAACCTCTGAAAGAAAGGGAATCTAAAAGGAATAAGATATGCAAAGGCGTTTTGTTTGTTTGTAATGTTTGCAACAAGAGGATATTATTGACGTCTTTACTTCATGATCCTTTTCCAGGGAGCCTTTCTTAATTCACCCCAACTTTTGATGACCTCTCTCTTGCTTTACAATCTATCAGAATTTAAATATCCATAAGTCCATACTCTATTACCAGGGCTGTGGCTGGTGTGGTAACACAGCAGACTCTCTGCCTTCTTTGCTACCACTTGAAGACGTGGGACTATTTCTAGTCACAGCAGCCTTAAAACCATCCCATGGCCCTTTGCTTTCCTTATCCTTGCACCTCTCCTCCAGCTGTTTTTCTCCCCCTAACTAACAAGCATTTCTTTTTTCTCCCACCCACCACTGGTAAAAGAAAAAGAAAAAGAAAACTTATGACAAATATGCAGAGTCAAACAAAGCAAAGTCCATATTGGCCATGAAAAATATGTCTCATTCTGTAGCTTGAGTCCATCACCTCTCTGGAAGTGATAGATAGCATGCATCATTATTATCAGTCTCCTGAAATTGTGGTTGGTATTACCATAATTTGTTCAGCCGTTCCCTAATTGATGGACACCTTTAGTTTCTAGTCTGGAGATACTATGAAAAGAGCTACTATAAATATTTTTGTATAGATGGGTCTTTTTCCTATTTTCTCTCTTTGGGGTATAGGCCTAGTAATGTACCCCTCCTCAGATAAAGGTAAGTTGTCAGAACTGCCACACACTCACACTCACACATTCTTCTTGAATAGAGTAATTACTACTTTGCCAAAAGCAATGAGATCATATAAGGTCTCAAACTCAAAGCAGGTTGGTATACAGGGTTGATACATCTGGTCCAGCATTCATCAACCCCAAATACAGTTTCTACTGATTTCTTTATATCCAGTAGCTCATCTGAGCCGAGAGTTAGGTAAGCTTTAATTTCAGTGTTTCATTTTGCCTAACTCATAGAATCTTCTATATTCACTTTCTTCTTCCAGCTCAGTCTGTCTGTCTGTCTGTCTGTCTCTCTCTCTCTCTCTCTCTCTCTCTCTTCCCCTCCCCTGTCTTGTTCAGTCTGAGGTATACTTGCCCCAGATGCCCAAGAAGTGTATTTCTCATGCAAGCCCACTTGCTTCTCTCTTTCTGGGTCTAAGCCAAGCTGAGATTCCTTTTACCAGCCACCTGAGAAGTCTATGTCACTTCTGATCCTTAAGACTACTGGAGAGAATATTCCATTGGACTTAGAAGTTCATTGATGTGGGCACTTTATCCATCAGTACAGATCACAATCTCAGGCAATTCTTGTACATTTCCTCCCATAAATCTTCTGGGTCTTTTAAACATTTTGTGGGTATCAGAGAAACACTCGGGCTCTCTTCCTTTATTCCTACTTCCTTTCCTAATCATAGGTACCTGGATGATATTTTTCTGCAGCTTCTTATACTCAAGTCATTGATGATAACATGCCATAACCTACCTGGGTCCACCATGTGTCTTCCCTTTGCATTGTCAGTCACCAGCTTATTTCGGATTAAAATACCTTGCAAATATCTCCTCTTTGTGACTTTCATTGTCTCTGTTCTTGTTCTCTCAGCCTAGAGCTCATTATTCACCCCCTGAAGGATCCAGAGAAGCAACTCTCATTACCCATGGTTAACCACCTAACACATAACATGTAAATATTGGCATACCAAGAATCTCAGACACCGAAAGACAGGCAGTAGAGATGGGATTCACCAAATTCACCAAACCATAGTTGTTTAGCTTAGCATATTTGGTCACTGTGCTCATGGCACAAAGGTTCTTACTTCACTCCCTAAGGAGATCCATTAGCTTTCATTCATTCATGTATGTATATATGCATATATATACATATGTGTGCATACACACATACGCCCATACAATGAACACCTACTCTGTGCTAGATGCTTTGGAAGGTACAAAAAAGTATAAGATATGATCCCTCCTCACAAGGACTTAACAATTTAGCAGAAAGCTCAGAAGTACACATGAATAATCTTAAGGCAGCACAAACCATCAACACTATAGAAGGTCAGAGGCCAGGACTCCTGGGTTAATCAGAGAAAGTTCCACGGAGGTAGAATTTGAGCTGGGCTTTGTAGGTTGAACAGGCATTGGCCTCAAAAGAGCAGTAAAGGTGTAGATGGATCAATAGACTTCCATCACCTCTATGGGAAGAGATGATTCGAAGAACGTGGTCTAAAGACGGTGTGAGTCTAGTGACATCTTTGTGTAGGAAAGAAACTCCTCACTAGAAATCTGCACGTTTGTGTGGTTAGTTCATGAATATGTGGTTCATCTTCCCAATTAGATAATGAGCTCCTAAAGTACAGGGGTCATATAATCTACTTCCCCTGCATCTAGCACATGGCTGAACACAATGGGCTCAGTAAATGTTTGTTGAATGAATACTGAATGACAACTTCTTTAAAAAAAATTTTTCTATTTTTCTATTCCCAATTATCAAAATAAGATAATGCATGTGATGGTAATTTGCAAACTTGAAGTACCATATGACCATAAGAGATAGCAGGAAATACTTATGAACTATAAAACATGGTGCAAATAGGAGATGGCATGGTTACCTGTTGCTGCTGTTGTTTGCTATCATCATCATCATCATCACCATCATCATCATCATTATTATTATTATTTCAGTGTAAACAGCAGCTGCAAGCAGAGTTTGGCTGCTGTAACCAGACCCGTCAGATACAACTCCATCAGCTAAACGAAAAGTTGCTGGCTCTTCAGCAGGAACTGGAGATTCGCACAGAAGAATTACAGTCTTCTTACTGCTCACTCTTGCAATATCAGTCCATCCTGGATAAGCAAACCTGTGACCTAGAAATGCTTCACCAGCACTGCCAGATGAAGGAGGATGAGGTATGGGTTACAACCGCCATTCGTGGAAGTGCTGTCTCTCTCACCGAGGGCAGGCCCATTGAAAATCAAGTGGTAAGCCCACTGAGCAATCTTACCAATGCTGCATCTCCTTTCTGTTCCATTTAGATCATTTGTTTTTTATGGATACCTCTTTCTGGTACAAAAACTGGAGCTGGATCTTAAAGGGCCACCAAATACACCTTTCTTCAGGAAAGTCAGATTCAAATCTCCTGAGCGGACTGAGTTTAGCTATTGGTCAAACAAATTACACATCAATCAATTCAATTCATAAACATTTATTAAGCACCTACTATGTGCCAGGCACTGTGCTAAATGCTGGGAATACAAATAAAAACAAAGGTAGTCCTTCAATCTAATGGGGGAAGACAATTGACAAAAGGAAGCTGAAAAGCAGTGGCAGAAGTAAGGGGAGAAGGAAGGTACTCCCACATGAGGTCATGATGGAGAGATCCAGATATGTCCAAAAGCTGGTGGGAAATGGGAGGAAAAACTGTGCTGAGCCCCTTCTTTGAGGGCCCATAGCCCTGCCCTCCCTCCAGTCACAGGTTCCAATCAGAGGGGACTGAGGAGAGGTAAGGACCAAGCAGATTCAGTCTTATAGCATAATGATATTTCCCAGGGAAGAAAGGCAGCTAGGGATTGCAGAGAAGTACAAAAGCAGGGTATCTGGTGGGAAAATTTTTATAGTATAATCTCTAATATTAACATCACATATCCAGTTAAGATGTATTGTAGAGGGGCAGCTAGGTGGCGCAGTGGATAGAGCACCTGCCCTGGATTCAGGAGAACCTGAGTTCAAATCTGGCCTCAGACACATAATACTTACTAGCTGTGTGACCCCAGGCAAGTCACTTAACCCCATTGTCTAACCAAAAAAAAAAAGAAAGAAAGAAAAAGATGTATTGTAGAATATGGTGTAGGTTGTTGGATTAAGGCTAATTTCTGCCAGACTTCTTTCCAGTTTTCCTAGCAGATTTTATCAAATAGGTAGTTCTTTCCTAAACAGTTTACATTTTCCACTTTATCTAACATTGGGTTACTGAGTTCTATTGTTTTTGATTCTCCCTTATCTAGTCTTTTCTATTAATCTATCTCTACATCTTTTAACCAATACTAAATAGTTTTGATGACTGCTGCTTTATAATGTAATTTGATGTCTAGAAAGGCCAACCCTCTCCTGCCCCTACCTCTTTTCATCATTTCCCTTGATATTCTAGACCTTTTCTTTTTCCAAATGAATTTCATTAATCTTTTTAGTTCTGTAAAGTAACCCTTTGATAATCTGATTGGTATAGCCTTAAAATGTAAATTAACTTTGGTAGCATTATCATTTTTACCCTATTGGGACACCCCAGCCATGAGCACTAAATATTCCTCCAGCTATTTAAGCTTTTCTTTATTTCTTTAAGAAGCGCTCTGTAGTTGAATCTATACAAATCTTTTGTGTGCTTTTTGGTAGATTAATCCACAGATATTTTGTGCATTTTGTAGTTATTTGGAATGGGATATGATATTCTATTTGGTCTCCTTGCTTCAACTCTCTCCCCACTCCAATCTGTCTTCCACTCAACTGCCAAAATGATTTTCCTAAAATTCAGGTCACCCCACTGCTCAGTAAACTCCGGCTGTTTCCCTTTTACATCCAGGATCAAATATAAACTCTTCTCTTTGATAGTTAAAGCCCCTTCCTACCTTTCCAGTCTTCTTATACTTCGTAAGAGAGAATCCTCCACATACTACAATCCAACAACAGCTGCATTCCTGCTCTCTCCTGCCCACAACCGTTACCTTCTCCACTCTGCCCTTTCCTGTACCTCTGTGCCTGGAATTCCCCATCTACGCATCCCCTGTTAGCTTCCCTGGCTTTTGTCAAGACTCAGTTCAAATTCCCCTTCTACAGGGAGCCTTTCCCAGCCCCTCCTGCTGCTACTAGTTTACCTCAGAGACTACATTTCATTCACCCTGTATTTTTCTTGCAAGCATATAGCATTTATATGTTGTCTCCTCCACTAGAATGTGAGCTCCTTGAGGGCAGGGACTTGGTTTTTCCTTCATAAATCCAGTTCTTTGCATCATTCTTGGCACATAGCAAGCACTTAATAAAAGCTTGTTGACAGGCTGACCACCACTGGAGTGGTGCTAATGCTTAAAATGTAGGGATTTTTGAGGTGTGTAGCTATCAGAAGAAGGAGGAAAAAATAATTACCAATGACCAGAGACCGTGATAATAAGAGAAAGGGATAAGAAAGGTAAGCAGTAAGAAGAGGTAAATAAGCCCCAGAGGGTAAGTGTTATCTGCCCAATGATTTTAGAACACTATTTGCAAGGCTGGTTTAAACTTGAATGGTTCAAAAGGGTTGATTTCATTGAGAGAAACTATGCCTCCCACAAGATATCCCAACTCAGATAAAGTGACCCTGGCCTGTACAAATGAGTAAAAGGCTAAAGAGAGATTCGAACAGATACTTCTAGGCATTCAGCCAAGTTCCTCAAACTGAATTCCTCTGAGCACCAAAGCACAAAGCTGTCTGAATTTCAAATGCCCCTCTCCTCTCCTCTTTATACAGTGACTACCTTGAACACAGTAATTCCTGAAATGTATCTCAAATGAGGAATGGCCATATGCAATCGGCTTAGACTGTCAGATTTAACTTGACTATCAAGAGTTCTTCTCAAGATTATTTGGACCCACAGACCCATCCATGAAGTCTTCCCAAATTGCTACAGTTTACATTATCTCTCTCTTTACTCTGAATTTCTATGGCGCTTATATATCTATCTCACACAACTTAACACTTACAGGATCATAGAACCATAAGATTTAAAATGGGGGACAGAACACGTATGACTATATACATATCTTTATACCTCTCTCTCTCTCTCTCCACATATATATATATATATACACACACACACACACACACACACACACACACATATACACATACTTATATACACACATACACATATATATTCTCTTTTCATATATATAGAGATTGATATGTATATATATAAAGATATATACATATTATATATATATATCCATATATCCATATAGATATATGGAGATAGAGGGGGAGAGAGGGAGAGAGAGAGAGAGAGAGAGAGAGAGAGAGAGAGAGAGAGAGAGAGAGAGAGAGAGAGAGAGAGAGAACAAATACAAAAGAGATTCAAGTTAATTTGGGGAGGGGCGCACTAAACAGCTAAGGGATTAGAAAACGCTACATGAAGGGAGTGTGGCTTAAGGTTAATCAGATAACAGAATACCCAGTTTTCAGGCCAGAATATGTTGATTTGTTATCAAGAGTTTACCTCAATATGGACAATAGTGGATGTTTTCCAACACACTCTGGGGCTTACTTATTTATACATAGTTATAATCTGGTGTTGATCCTTTCATTGGCCCATTTAAGAAATACAATCTTGGCAACCTTTTTATGGCTTTTGATGTAATCCACAAAGTTATATGTCTTTCCATTTCATTTTCTGATAATTTATAGACACTAAACATTGTTTGTCCCTGTCAATAAGCAAGTTTTCCTACACTTTGAGTAAAGCTTGAAGTCACTTTACTGCCCATTTCCTAATTCAAAACCATCACAACAATCTAACCTCTTCTGCCAAATTAAACAATTTTGAACTTTTAGCTGATCTGATTTTTGTTTCTGAGTCTGGACTTACTTTTGGACAATCTTAGGTTTCCTCTGCAGTGACATTCCAATTTTAAAGCTTTATCTTTCTAAAAGTATGATTGGCTTAACTGCCCAACTCACAAAGTCACAATATGGTTGTCCTGAAAGATAGGTCCATCAGCTTTTCAACCTGAGAGACGATGCAAATTGATAATATTAATTACACCTTTCCTGTGGTCGATCATTCAACAAGATTCATTAAGCACCTACCATGTTTCAGGTGCTGTGCTGGGAAATGGGGATGCATATGGCAGGGTGATAAGCTCAGTTGAAGATTCTGGGTCAGGCTCATGAAATTCAGTCAATTAACAGTCTAAATTTAGTCAATTTAGTCAATAACATGTCATACTCTGTGATCTTTGGGTTTCGATTATTCTTGTATGGAGTCTTGTACCATTCATTCATTCATTCATTCATCCGTCCATCCGTCCATTCATTCATTAAATACTTACTCAATACTTGCACATGTAAGTAACTCTTCACGCAGAGACACTTTCCCAATCAGATGTATCTGTGAGATGGGTAACTCTTGGTGGTGTTGTACTAACAGGTTACAATCTATGAGGAAGAGATGGAAAAGAATAAGGAAGATAACAAAAGGCTTCAGGAGAAGCTCCAAATATCTCAGGAACAACTTGCCTTGGCTGAAAATAGGATCATCTCCCTGGAAAGCAGTTTAACTCTTTACAAGGATAAGTATCAGGCAGCCGTGAAGAGCCTCGAATTGCTGGAGTGCCAAATGAAGGCCTTAGAACAAGACATCAAAATCATCCCCATGCAGGTAAGGCAAAGGCCACGCCCATTCACTGCAATGAAACCAAAGCAGGCCTCCTAAGTTGTTGCTTTGGACAAGCTCCGTGGTTCTTACAAGGGGGAAAAAGCCACCAAACCTTTTGTCAGAAAAGCCCTCTACTTGAATTTTCAAATTTTGGTCTTTTGAACTGTAATTCTGTGCTCTCAAAGTGGTTAAAATCTCCTTGAGACTGTAACATGCTTATTTTGAGTATCCCTACTATGGGAAGGGCTGTCTTAACCTATTAAGGAATAAAGAAAATAACCAAAACGTGTACCTGAATCTCCCATGTCCCCATAGAAAGAAGCGAGGACCTCCACTCAACACAAATGCAGTTTAACATGTTAGGGAACAGACGGCAAGAGATGGACAGATCACACAGAGTGACCAGGAGACAGAACTGAAGTTCTTATATCTTGTTCCCACTTCCCCAACCAACATCCCTTCATTTTGGGAAAGCCTCTTACCTTCTCTGTGCTTGAAATTCATTGGTAGTGAATTGGTGATGATTTATCAATCATTTGGTAAAATAGGGATAATGGCACAGTTAATTCTTAATTGTCTATCTATGTATTACCCACTAAATAATTATCTCTTTAGAAAATGTATCCTTCACTGTACTGCTGGGCTGCTTCCCCTCTCTGTACTGCCCAGTGAATGCAAATTAATTTTAAAATAAGCCTAAGTAAAATATACTAAGGTAAGTCAGGTTCAGTGGGGGTGGATGAGGCAAAGTAGGAATACACTGCAATCCAAAGTGATATATATATATATATATATATATATGACTTGATAACCTGCTATTAACAAATACAGAAAATCAGTCTTCATTGAGCATTTCAGATCATCCAGAAAAAGATTCTAGGTCACAACATGTAGAAAATATCTATTTCTCCCATCTCCTGTTGTTCCTGTTTTTGGATAGTGGAGGGTGACACCCTTCACTCAATGATGGATATTCTTGTATCTGGTCATAACTTTTACATCCTGGTGTCTCTGAACTCCTATAGATTATCATCTAAAACCCATTCCACACCCCCTACCACCCAATTCCTCATTCCCATCCCCATCAACCCTTTCACCCCAAAGTTTTGACCTAACTCCATCCAGCCCTTCCACTGTGCCCTCTGGAATGCCTGTTCCATAAGCAACAAACTTACCTTCATCTTAAATCTTTTCCTCTCCTCCTCCTTCCATCCACTAGCTCTTACTGAAACCTTGCCCCTGATGACACAGCCATCCTGGCCACCTTTTCCAATATTGACTGCAGCTCTACTCATTCTCAGCTCACTGGTCAAGGAAGAGGAGTTGGAATGCTCCTTGCTCCCCATTGCCACTTCCACATTCTCCCCCCTCCTCCATCACTCAGTAACCTCTCTTCTTTCCTACCCTCATACTGTAGGACTTCAATACACATATTGATTCTGCCTCAAATATGCTAACCACTCAGTTCCTCAGCCTACTTACCTCCTCCCAGCTTCAGCCACACATAATAATGGTCATACCCTTAAACTTGCCATCCATCAATTAATCAATAAACATCTATTAAGCACCTGCTATGGGGCAAGCACTGTGCTAAGCCCTGGGGATACAAAGAGAGGCAAAAGACAGTTTCTGCCCTCAAGAAGTTCACAATCAAATGGGAGATCAGGTACATTCGGTACATCACACAGAGATGTACTTCTGTGTTTAAGAATTCTGGAATCCCCTTGTCTGACCAGAAGATATTGGCTTTTCATCTCTCCCTCTGCCTTCCCATTCAAAACCCTACTCCTAGCCTACACTTTGACTTCCAATCCTTTGGCCCCTCAATTCTCTCCCAGGCCATCTCCCCTGTATTAGCCTCTCCCTCCTCTTCTCCCCTTCTGAACCTCTTAGTAAAACTAATTCAGCTCTACACTGTCCTCCTCTCTTGAACCCCTAGTCCTTCCTATTTATCCTGAATACAGCTTGCTTTGTATATATTTATGTGTTGTCTTTCCCATTAGACTGTAAACTCTTAGAGGGCAGGGATTGCCTTTTGCCTCTTTTTGTATCCCCAGCACTTTGCACAGTGCCTGGCACACAGTAGGTGCTTAATAAATGCTTAGTGATGTATGGATGTCAACACAAGTCTAGATTCTCTGCCTTCAAACAATTCTGAAATTCCCCCTAAATATATTTACAAAGCCAACATATGATTTTCTTTTCTCCTAAAAACACTAGGAGGAAGATGGCAAAGGGGATCAGCCAAAAGAAAGAATGGCAGAATACTTAATCTATGAGCTGAAGGAGACCCAAAAGCGTTTGCATGATGCTTTGCAAAACGGCTCTGAACAGGAAGATACGCTTCAGGAGCTCCGCCATAAGCTCGTTTGCAGCAATCTTAAAGTAAATGGGCCGGGAGACTAGGTTTCTACTAAAGCAACTTTCACAGAGACAAAAAAAAATTTTAAAAACCAAAGCTGTCAAGGAAAAAAAGAAAGAGGGAAATTAAGGGTACTGAGGGAAGACTATCTCACCCGATGATCCTCAAACACTGTATCATATCGGCACGTTTCCATTTGCCCTGGTCCATTCTCTCATGCTCTTATCCCTCACTACTCCTGCATGTCTGGCCTGCTTCCCTTTCTGATCATAAATTTCTAGCTCTTATACCGCTTCTAGCATGCATGAAGTCAGTATGTGTCACTGCTACTCATACCTACCCCTAAACCTTTCCATTGCCCTTCAGGCCACATGCAACTATATCATGTGGCCTCAATTAATAATAGCTAACATTTATACAGCATTTAATAATTTACAAAGCATTTTACACATACTATCTCTCTTAATCCTCTAAACAACCCTTTGAGGTAGACATTGTGGATATTACTACCTTCATTTTACATGTTTACAAGCCAAACCAAAGAAAAATTGAAGAACTTGCCCACCTGTCACCCAGCCAGCAGAGACAGAGCAAAGACTTGGCCCCCAGTCTTCTGGTTCCTAACCCAACACCCTTTGCACAATACCATTTAGTATCTTGATTATGTTCTATACCTGAGTTGTGTCCATTTTCAGATATTGGATCATGAAGAGACTCTGATAAAATTAGAAGTGGATTTTGCTACCTATAGAATGTCCCACAGACAACTTTTCTGCCCTCCAGATGAGTCAGAGGATATCAAACAGGTGGGACGTCCTCATTGGAAAATTTCCACCCTACTCGAGACTGAGGATTAGTAGTCAGGAACTGGAATTTGGATAGAAAAATAGATAGATAGATCCACACACAGCTATACATATACATACATACAAACACACACCCCACACACACATACCTTTGCCCACATCCTAAAGTACACAGAAACTCAGCACTTAGAGAGAGGAGAGATGTATGGATGCAAATTCATCCCCAGGATTGGGAAAACAGCTCACAACCCCATTCACTAGAGGGATAATCTTTGTATACAAAAGATAGCATTAGGGCATCAATACCCTTTTTCTTTACCTTTCCATATGCCACAATGGTGTTTAGTCGGCTGCTCTTTGAAGCTAAGGCTAAGAGAGACAGGAAAAACGTCTTCTTATAATTAGTGGTAGGCTGGTAAATGCTTAACAACTAGTTCTCCAAAAAAAATGTACGTGCACAGCACACTTTGAAGATTAATCCACATTATTTTTCATCACTTTCCTCAGTCCAGACAATCAACAAAACAATTCAAGCTCTGATCTGTAGTGCTTACCAATTCACAAGGTGTAAATATGCTCACATTGAAAATTTTACAGCAAGATCTCATGAGCCAGTATGAGATATGTTCCAGCACACCCCTGGTTATATCCCAACCCCCTGGGGATAGGTGAGATTTTTCTCTTGCAGGTGTTCTGTAAACCCGAAGTCAACTGCCTTCCTTTCCTAGCCCCATGTCAGAAAGAGTATCTTCACCTTGGGAAAACCACCCATTGACCTCCCATTATACTGTGTGTCTAGATCTTGGCACATATTGAGGAGCAGTGTGAGTACCAATGCATCCGGGTAGAAGAATACCAGTACCTCCTGAAAGACATGAAGAAGGAACTAGAAAAAGTATCAGAACAGAAGAAGAAGATCATGAAGGGTAAATCTGGGCCGGTGGGGGGGGGGGGAGGAAGGATTCAAATGGGCCCAAGAGGGAGCTGAAATCTTCTCAGCAAAGGACAGCTAGATGGACTATAGCAATTGTGTCTTGTGTCCCATCCTGTCCTGTTCTGTTGTAGACCTCATGAAGCTGGAGTTAGATATGCACAACCTTCTACAAGAGACAGCCACCCAAACCGAGTGGAAGGATGGAGAAGCGAAGGACCTGAAGAGACACATTAGGAATCTGGAGGGCCAGCTGAAAGAATGCCAGAGCCTCTGTTTGGAGAACGAAAAGGTAAGAAGAGAAGCACTCAGACTCAGTAGGAAAGAAGAAAGCCAGAGAAGACTCTAGAGAGGAAAGGGGACCAGGGATCGGAGGACTTCTGGAAATGCTCACTATTTGCACAGATGGCCTACAGGCTATAATCAGAGTCTGCTCAGAGATCAGAGGATAGCCCATGATCCCATCAACTCACTGAGGCCTCTGCTGATAATCCCAGCTGCTAGTACCTTCTCTCCCTAACAACCATATATTTGTCTTCTTTGTATTTATTTCCATTAATTATCTAAATATTTATTCTGTATTTGTGGTCTCCCCCATTAGACTGTCACCTCCTTCAGAGGAGCTTCCTTCATTGTCTTAGGATGGTGCCTGGCACGCTGTAGGGTGCTTAATACCTGCTTGTTGATTGATGGGTACATAGCAGGCTTTTAATAAATACTGGTTAAATTGAAGGAAGAACACTCAATAATACTTATTATTTAAGAAAGAGATTCTTTCTCCAACCCTAAAAAGCAGCATGTAAACACTACAAAGGGACACTAGCTAGGGATATACCTGTACCATAGCATTCTTTTTTTAAAGACATCTTAGTGTAGGGGCAGCTAAGTGGTACAGTGGATAGAGCACCAGCCCTGGAGTCAGGAGGACCTGAGTTCAAATCCAGCCTCGGACACATAACACTCACTAGCTGTGTGACCCTGGGCAAGTCACTTAACCCCACTGCCTAGCAAAAACAAACAAAAAAAAATCTCAGTGTTTAAAATATATGTATGTTTTAAGTTTTTTTAAGATATCTCAGTGGTGAAAATATTTCTGTGGTTAGCATCATTAGGGATTTTGATTGATCTTTTAAATTGCAAGCATCTTTTATAGACACAAACTATACAATGAGAAAACATTCCACATTTTTGCTCAATATAAATGTGTCTTAAAAGAACAAATTTAACTAAACAGACATTTCTTTAAGTGCATATTATGTGCAAGGCACTGTACTCCCAATCACAGGTGTTTACGCAGGGTGAGGTGGGGTAGAATTCCATGTGCCAGCACTCCTGGCCCACACTCTGTTCACACCTATGTTCTCAACACTAAGAAGTCTAAAATCTGATGAAGCCTGGAAAACCTCTCCTGGAATAGAGAAATTGAGAAACCAGCAGATATTTCTGTGGCTAATGTTTTCCCATCACCAAACTTCATCAGAACTCCTAGAAGGAGCTAAATTGGCTAGTTTGTGTTTTCCTTCCACATAGTCATTGGGGGTTTTAGAGAAGAGCCAAAACACATGATCCTCTAAGGGAAAAGAGGGGAAGCACTGGGCTTGGACACACAGCTCCCTATCATCTGGAATTGATTACAAGATGGAAGGTGAAGGGGAGAGCCCTAGACCTCCAACAACCATGCTTCTTTTTTGATCTACTCAGGTCATTCAGAAGAAAGATGAAGCCCTATCCAAACTAATCAGGAAATAATTCAGGCGCAACACGCTCTTGATGCAAAGGACTCAGATATAGAGAAGCAAAAAGCCAGAGTAGAAGAGGTAGAGCATGCCCTCCAGAAGGTGAAGGAGAAGAAGGAAAAAAGCGAGACCCAGAATGCTGCCCTGGACGCTAAGGTCCAGCAGCTTCAGCACAACCTGAATGAGGCCCACCAAGAACAGCTACTACTGGGTGAGTGACTTACAGAACCAGGACGACTTGTAGGACAAAGAGCAAGTCTCTCAATAAAACACTAACTCACGTATTTTTTTTTATAAAGCATTCATGTTTACAAGGCACTTTCCTTACTACAGCATGTGAAGTAGGCAGCCCAAATATTATCCCTATTTTACAGATGAGGAAACTAAGGCTCAGACAGGCTAAACAATTCATCCAAGTTTCCTTCCACTATCTTCTCTTGCCTTAAAAATTCTTTATTCCACCCTCCCCCTGCCTCTGTTTATCTCTCACTGTCTCTGACCTCATTTTATGGAGAAGATTAAGACCATCCATCATGAGTTCCTCAAGTGCCCCCCACTTCACCTCAACCTATCACTGCCTTGACACCATTCTTTCCAGTCCCACAGGACAGGTTTTTATCCACCACTCTAAAACTAATCCTCTTCCTGTTTACTCTGGATGTCATCCCTTTCCACCTCCCCAGTGATGATCAACTTTTCATTCTTACCCACTGTTCAAACCACAATGCAGTTTAGAACCTACTTATTCTCCACTCTCCTCTTCAAATAAAAAAAATGAACACTCCTTTCCAATTTTTCATTTCATTTTTTTTAAGGCAATTGGAGTTAAGTGACTTGCCCAGGGTCACACAGCTAGTGGGTGTCAAGTGTTCGTTCTGAGGCTGGATTTGAACTCAAGCCCTCCTGACTTCAGGGCCGGTGCTCTATCTGCTGTGCCACCTAGCTGCCCCCTAATTTTTTCATTTCTGACAGTGGTACCAGTCTCCCAGGCTAGAAACAATCTCTTGAAATAGTCTCCTCCCTGTACCTCATACACTTTATCCTATTGGCTACCAAGTCCTATGTCTTCTTCCACCATCTCTTTCAAATTAATTGTTGTTGTTTGGTCATTCCAGTTGTGTCCGACTCTTCATGACCCCATCTTGGGGTTTTCTTGGCAAAGACAATGAAGCGGTTTGCCATTTCCTTCTCTAGCTCATTTTACGGATGAGGAAACTGAGGCAAACAGGGTTGAGTGACTTGCCTAGGACCACACAGCTAGTAAATATCTGAGATTGGATTTGAACTCATGAAGGTGAGTCTTCCTGACTCCACACCCAGCTCCATTCTCATTGTCACTGCTTTAGCCATGTGACCCTTTCGCCTTGGTAGATGGCCTCTCTACCTGCAGTTTCCTTTCTCTGCCTGCATGTTTAACAAACTAAGATTGGTTCCCTGTTGCCTCAGGCATAGAGTCTACCACTCTCTGTACAGTTTCCAGGATCTTCTATGATTCATTCTCATGCTACCTATTCAGCCTCATTTCCCACAACTTCCCAACAAAAACACTCCACTTCTAGACTGATTTATCACTACCTTTTACACGTAACTCTCATTTACCACTTCATCTTCCTCCACCGTTATCTCCTCAACACACACATCTCCCTCAAATCCTATCCATATTTTTAAAAATGCATTAATGAATTATAATCTTGATACATCAGATACTTCCCTTTACAAAACATATTTCTGAAAAAAAAAATGGATGATTACAGAAAGGAGAAGTGTGTCCTTAAACTTGGGTAGTACAGTACGAACTCTGACTGCTATACTTGACCCAGATTCTGTTGCCTCTCTGTATTGGTTATTCACATCCTTGCAGGCACTGTCTGCACTGTTCCGTTGCTTCTGCTTTTTTTATTCAGTATCAATTCATAGAAACATTTCCATTTTTCTTTGAATTCTTCATATTTGTCTGTGTTTCAGCACGGAAACATTCTTTTACACTCATATACCATAATTTGCTTTAGCTAAGAACCCATCATTTGGCACCTGGTGATTTCCAGCTTTTTGTTTTTGCAAATAATGCTGCCATTGATGTTTTTATACATATGGGTCTCTCCTTCAATCCTGTCAATCACCTACTTAGGATATAGTTCTAGTAATAAGATCTCTGAGTGAAAGGGTATAAATAAATAATTCTTCTCACATGCTTCCTAATTGATTTCCAGAATGGTGTGGCCATTGTGCGCCGTCTTGGGGGGGGGGAGAGAAAAGGGGAGAAAAATTTTCAACTCAAAAGCGTATGGAAAAAAAAATTAAAAAAAAAAAAGAATGGTGTGGCCACTCCACCAGCAGTGAGTTAGCATCACTGTCCTCCCACAACCTCTCCCAAGTTTTCCTAACTTTTGGCATCTCTGCTAGTTTGATGGATGTCTAGGTAGTTTTTATTTGCATTTCTCTGAATGTTATTGATTTGAAATGTTTTTTTAGGTTGCTATTAATAGTTTATATTTTATCTTTTGAGGACTGTTTATGTCCTTTAACTATTTGTCTACTGGGGAATTCAAATGATTATTTATAATGTGTATTTCCTCTTCTGAAAACTATTCTTTTTTTTAACCATTTGTCTGTTGGGGTACTATTCATCTTTATCTTCTGTACATGAAGGGAAAACATAGACTTGTCTAACTCTCCCGGCTCTACTCTGAATTCCTGTTGCAATTATTAAATAAACCTCCAGGTTAGAATTTAATTGGCTTCTCTTTGTCCTGTAGGTATTGTCTGTCTGCCCAACTATAGTGTTAAGTCTGTGAGGGCAGGGTTCATCTTCCCCTCCTCTCCAACACAGCTTCTCCTTCCTGCCCCATAACTACCCCAGGGTTAATAACAAAGGGCGTTGATGCTTCCAAGCTACTGAAGGAAGAAGGACAAATAGTCTGCCTGCTAACTGAACAGGCACAGGAAACCCTAAGGAACCCAGGGAGAATACACTAGGAAATGGGAAGATATGAGGGCTCTATAGCACCCTTAGCACCCTTTCAACAAATGTGAATCAGATCTGGGCAATCACCATCCATACTTGACAATCTCAGGCTACATTAGGCATAGTGTATAGAATAAGGGATGGGATGGTCCTCTCACCACATCTGAAGTATTGTGTTTAGCTCTCTGGGACCCACATTTTAGGAGGGTGACCAAGATGGTACAAAGATTGGAAACCATGCCATAAGAGAAGACTGGTTGAAGGAAATGGGGATGTTTAGCCTGAAGAAGAGAAGATTTAAGGGGACATGATCATTGTCTTCAAGTACTTGAAAAGCTGTCATGTGGAGAAAGAGTTAGACTTCAATTATGTTATGTTTACTTACCTGCTGACTTGTCTGTATCCCCTAGCAGAATGTAAGCTCCTTGAGGGCAGGAACTGTTTCATTTCTACCTTTATACCACAGTGACTTACAAATACAAAGTGCTTAGTAAATCCTTCTTGAATTGAATTCATGAACACTACATTTCAGCCAAACTGCCATTCTCCAAATTTGATCCTCTCTCTCCAGCCTCTGTGCACTCCCACAAGCCAATCTCCTTGTCTGGAATGCACTCCCACCTTATCTCTACATCTCAGAATCTTTGTCTTCCTTCAAGACTCAACTCTGAAGCCTGTCCTGGTTCCCCTCAGTTTTTCCCTCTTCTACTTTCCTTGTACTATACTTATCTGTATAGACTGTGAGCTCCTTGAGAGCAGGAACTCTTTTATTTTTGTCTTTTGTATCCCTAATGCCTTGCACATAGTAGGGCAGTTTAATAAATGATTTTTGAATTGAATTGAATTGAGTGGAATTGACTTGTCCCACTTGGCCCCAGAGGACAGACGAAGGATGAATGGGTAGAAAGCACAAGAAAGGCGGATTTCCTTCCAACATAAACTGTCTCTACTTTCCCTCTTGTGGAATGGGCTATACTAGGAAGCAGTGAGTTCCCATTCATTAGATGTCTTTAAGCAGAGGTGAAATGGCCCCAGAGGCAAGATGATCCGGGATTCCTGCTCATATATGGGCTGGATTATATGGTACTCTGAGATCCCTTCCAATTCTGCAATCCTATTATTCTGTGATTCTCTTCTCCCACTGAGACTAAAGTGATTCTTTTACTCTCTCCTCTAGCTCAGAAGCTGTCATGTGTTGATAAACAGACATCTATGCTAAAGGATAGCCTAGACTGTACCCAGCGGAAGCTGGAAGATAAGATAGCTGAGAACATGGAAAAGAAAGAGCTTATCGACAAGCTTTCCAGTGAGCTCAAAGGACATCAGAAAGATAAATCCACACTAGTGGATCTACTGGAAACAGAAAGGTACTAGCACAGTTACCAAGGACAGGGGGCTCGACCTCTCCTGACATAGCATTGAGAAAAGGAAGCACTTTAGACATTGACAGCTGCCTACACAGGCTTACTGACTGGAACATTCCCACTGGGGGAAATTGTCCCAAAATTGGGACAAAGAATGGAATCTAAAGCTATCCAACTGTTGGTGGAATGAGGTTTCAGCTCTGTAGACACTCCTATTGCTATATGGCCTCAGTCTCCACAAGGGCTGAGGCACTCAATGCCTGCTCTGTTGAGGATATTCAAACTACTGGGATGGGGCTACAACCTTCCTACTTGTCACCTAATACCTATGGTATTTTTCCCCCCTCTGTTTTGTTTTCATTCTTGCATTTCATTTTTATTTCCAGCTTTTGGTTTTACTTTCATATTCAGATAGGTCCCTCTTCTTTCCCTTCTCCTCAAAGAGTTACCCCATATGACAAAGAAAAAAGAAAGACATAAAAAGAGCTCAGCAAAACCAATCAATATATTAACCAAGCAGTCTAATAGTATGTGCAACGTTACACACCCACAGTCATCCTATCTCTGCAAAGAAGGGAGAGAAGGGCACTTCCCCCTTCCCACTGACTTTTTTAAGGTGAAGCTTAATCATTATAATTGTACAGCATTCGATTCCAGATTTTTGGTTCTTTCTATTTACATGATTGTAGTCATGTATTTTCCTGACTCTGCAACAGTTTATATAATTCTTCCCATGCTTCTTGGTAATTTTCATAGTCATCCTTTCTTATGGAGTGGTACTATTCAATTACACTCGTGTCAGTCAAACATCAGTCATTTATCAAGCACCTACTTTGTGCCAGGCACTTTGCTAAGTGCTGGAGACACAAATTTGGAAAGGCAAATGATAGTCTCTACTTCAAGGAGTTTACAATCTAATGGATAACAATCTATTTCACTATTCCCCCATCAATCACTTTGCCTCGATTTGTAACATTCTTTTAGAAAGAATATTGAAATGCTGACGTCAGAACTTGAAGTATCCAATAGGAAACACCATGATGCAGAAAAGGAGATCACAGAACTTCAGAAATCAGTGGATGATATGAAACTACAGCTGTGTAAAAGCCAGGAGAAGATGAAGGAACTCATAGACGAGGTTTGATGGACAGACAGGAGATCAACCTTTGACTGTCCTTTGCTCTAGATATAAACAGGAACCTTGAGATAGGAAAGATGATGTTACCAATTCACTGTGAAATTTTTTTTTCCAGAACTAGTGGTAGATTGTGCTGAGCCATTCATATATCTCCTCTACTGATCTTGAAACTAAGAGTATGCACATGTAAGCTAGCTGGTCAAAGTTACGTGTCTTTGGCTATAGAACAGTGTTAACTCTTTGCTAAGCTGACAAGGGGTGAGCAGCCTCTTTCTCCATAATATTTACCCCCAAAGATAAGATGCTCAGAAAAGAACAATATGAAAAATTCATTTCCCAATGAGATTTCATATAAAAAATATTTTTGGGAGATGGGGAGAGGTAAAATCTACAGCTAAAGTAAATGAGTATGCCCAAGGCCAAGGCGATCAATGATGGCTAGGAGAAACTGAAGAAATGAAGGAAGTTTTTTTTCCTGAATATTAGTAGAAACTCCTTCATCATGAAAGCTGACTTACCACAGAGATGGCCTCAATTGTTCTCACAGTTTTCAAGTTACAATTATGTGTATGCTTTCTTTCTTTATGAGTGCAATGACCATACCAGATGGGCATCAGAAAAGATACGGATCCTTTGGTCCTGATTTTCTATTCTCAGCTTGAGGAGGAATGTTATATTAATGAGAGTCTGCGAAAACAACTGAAACAGCTAGAGAGGGAGCGAGAGGACCACCAGGACTTGAGGCTGACGTGGAAGAACCAGGAGAAGGAGCTAAAGGACAAAATTGAGGCGCTCAAGAAGGAAATCCAAGATGATAAGAAACTGGTGAGAAATATTATGCAGGGAAGGGAGGCAACAGACCCAGGCAGGGCAGATACACCAGAGAACAGATAAGCAGACATCAAAACTAATAAGAACAATAGAGCATTTGTGGCAGAGGGGTGAGCGAGGTACCCCAGGATGGGAGTGGGACTAGAATGGGGCTGTAGGGGTTATTATTTTAGACAGCCTGTGATATCTCAGTCTCTGATCTTTGTTCTCTAATGAGGTAATAGGAGATGGAGAAACTGAGTGTCCTTGAACATCAGGTCAAGAATCTTCGGGATCAGCAGAAACATCCCTCACAGCAGAGAGGAACTCAGGACAAGCTTGAGGCTGTTGTGATGTTGCATCTCTCTGAAGAGGTGAGCAGACCCAAAAGACCACAGCAATGGGGAAAAGGGACAACTTGGCCCAGTTCCCCGCACTCCCTACCCATCCTCTGATACACTGACACCACCCGCCCAGTGAGTAACACAAAAAAACCCTGTGAGCACTGTCAGCCCTCAGCTGACAGTCAGCATGCAAACCCTCATGCCAAACTCTAGTTTCACTTTCATATCCCAGCTACCAGCCAGAGCCCCTTTCTCCAGAATATATACCCCAAAGAGAAGATGCTTGGCTTCTGTCTCCTCATGTACATATGCATACAGACAGAGACAGATATAAATGTGAATCCTGCAAATACCTACATCCTGGCACCGCCTCTGCCTTTCCCCATCTCCTACTTCAGGTTGAAGGGGTGGACTGATTGACTGGTTAGTTGTTTAACAGCATGGAATCCAAAGAGGAAATGGGTAGGAGTGGAAAGCAGGAGGATGCCTACCTTCCCAGTGTGTGAGTGAGGAAGAGATGAAAAGAAAGGCCAAGAATAGTAAAATTTCCAACCATACTGGCTCCAGTTTTCTTTTCAAGAGATGAGTTTCTAGAAGATGTCAAAGAGAGGAGGATGAGGAAAAAAGGAATAAGATCTCACAGGAGGAAGTGTGGAAGAATGGACAAGACAGAGCAACAAGTGTGGGTCTGGGTGGTAGCTGAGGAGTCACTCTCTCGAGCTCTAGGCTTCATTGCTCCATGAGAAATAGGAGAAAGAAAGGCTTGCTAAGATAGAGGCTGAGAAGCAGGATCACTCTCCAGGATCAGCTACAACAGAATTCATTCCAACTAGGATCAGTTACACAAAGTGTTGTTGAAAAGATCCAAGAGCAGGCAGAAAAGGTGAGCAGACCCAAGATCACCACAATGGTGGAGAAGGGGGACAGCTCTGGATAGGCTGTCTCTGTTCCAGCCACCCATCTCTGTCACACAGGTATACCAACCCAGTAAGTAACTGATGCCTAAAATCCTATGACAAAGGTCTATCCTGGGCATCCTGGTGGAACATCCAGCCCTTCCTATCCTCATGACAGAGCCATGTTTCAGTTTCATGTCACACTCACTAAGGCAAAGGTCACTTCTTCCTCCATGAAGGAAGTGTTTTTTTAAAATATAGGCTTAATAGGTGAGCATAAAAAGCTGTACCTTGGAACCACCTTTTCCTACCTACTCTTTGAGGTTGGATAACTGGTTAGTTGGCTGGATTTTTAAACCTGGAAATTAAAAAAAAAATAGATGGGAGGGCAAAAGACTATCTCTCCACATTCCTATGTGAGAAAAAAGTAAATCCAAACAGTCAGTTTTATAACCTAACCACTTCAAGGATCTTTGTAAAAGTTTGTAGAAGTCTAATAAATTGATGAGAACAGGCCAAGATATCACAGGATAGAGTGTAGGTATGACTTCAGGTGATACAATTTTAGGTGAAAGGTAATTCCTACTGTTTGGAGCTTTGTTTTTCAATGACAAGCAGGAAGACAGATCGAATGAGCCTGAGGAGGAGAAACAGAGATTCCAAGATCAGGTAAAATATTATCCACTGCAATAGGAATCACTTACAAGAAAAGTCAGTCCTGCTGAGAAGAAGATTCAACAGGGAAAAAAGGTGAGGACACCCAAGAGCACCACAATGGTGGGGAAGAGGAACAGCTCTGGACAGTCATTCTCTAAACTAGCCACCCATCCTTTGTTACACAGGTATCGATCCCTAGTTAGTAACTACGGCCTAAAATCCAATGACAAAGATAAATCCATGGCTTTTAGGTCAATATACAACCATCCCTATCCTCCTACCAAAGGCAGGTTTCACTTTCTTATCACACTCACTGAGGCATATGTTGCTTCTTTCTCCAAGTGGGGAGCCCTTTTAAAAAATATTGATTTAATAGAAGTCCCTAACCATCTAGAGATTGGAATGAGTTTCTTCCATATCCTCTTTGAGGTTGGCCAACTGGTTGATTGGTTGCATGTTTTCCAGCTGGAAACAAAAGGAAAAAGGGACTGTAGGGCAGGAGAATACCTACTCACTGTGAATAAGGAAATAAGAAAAGAGAAAGTCAGTCAGTTTTCCCACCAAACTCACTCCAGTGTTCTTTGCAAAAGTTTGTAGAAGAGGTTAAAGAAATTGATAAGAACAGGCCAAGATACTAGGGAATGGAATGTGAGACTGTGACTAAGGATAGGTATGAGCATTTTTAGGTCACAGGTAATTTCTGATGTCTGAGGCTTCGTTCTTCAATAATGAGTAAGGAGGACAGATTATATGAGCCAAGGGATGAGCACCAGCAAAGCCAGGATAAGATACAATATTATCCATCACAATGGGACTCATTTACAAGAAAGCACAATGCTGATAAGATCTAACAACAGGAAGAAAAAGTGAGCCGTGCTGGGGAAGGGGGACAGCTCTGGAGAGTCATTCTGTAATCTAGCCACCCATCCTTTGTCACAGACGTTAAATAATGCCTAAAATCCTATAATAAAGATAATCCTAGGCTTTCAGGTTAACATCCAACCATCCCTATCCATTCACCAAAGCCAGATTTCACTTTCATGTCACACTCACTGAGGCAAAGGTCACTTCTTTCTCCATGTAGCAAGCATTTTTTAGTTTTTTTTTTTAAAAAAAAGGTATTTATTTACTAGGAGCCCCAAATCACCTGGACCTTGGTACTACCTTTATCCATCTCCTATTTATGTTTGGCCAACTGGCTGGTTGGTTGATTGATTTAGAACAAAACCATAAAGGAGGAATGAGTAAGAAAGAAAGGCAGGAGGCTACATAGCCTGGTTCCTATTATGTGAGTGAGGAGGTGAAGAAAAGGAAAGTCGAGAGAGTCATTTTTCGAACCAAACTCACGCCAATTTCCTTTGCAAGAGATTGTAGAAAAGGTGAAGAGAACTGTTCCTCCTCCTCCTCGTCCTTCTCCTCCTCCTCCTCTTCCTTGGCCTCCTCCTCCTCCTTCTTCTCTTCCTCACCATCACCACCATCATCTTCCTCCTACTTCTGCTCCTGCCTCTGCTGCTTCTCCCCCATTCCCTTGGAATGGACCACTCTGGTGCCTCTTTTGTGAAGCAGCAGCTGAGGAGACTCCCAGACTTACCACGGCCAAGAAAAAGCCGAAGGAAGGAGTCAAGACTGAAAACAATGACCACGTTAATTTGAAGGTGGTAGGGCAAAATGGTTCAGTGGTACAATTTAAGATTAAGAGGCACACACCACCTAGTAAACTAAGGAAAACCTATCATGAATGACAGGGTTTGTCAATGATGCAGATCAGATTCCAATTTGATGGGCAACCAATCAATGAAACAGACACACCTACACAGCTGGAAATGGAGGATGAAGATACAATTGATGTATACTAGCAGCAGACAGGAGGCGTTCACTAAAAAGAGAACCTGCAATTCTACTCCAGAACTGTGCTCCCAAGGAAAACAATACATTCACAATTAGAAAACCAAGATTTGGTTCATCCACATCCTGACTACTTCAGTATAGTTTTCTCTCTTCTTTGATTCCCTTCCCCCATGCCTTTATTGTAACTGGTATATGTGCACAGGCATAATGTGTATTTTTTTAACTAAGTGGCTGGTGATATGCTTTAATCAACATCAAATGGAGATGGGGAGGGGAAAAAACAAACTGGTTCTGTGAAAATAACCCTTTTCCCCATTAGTGGCACGTTCATTAACTTTTATCTTTCTATTCCAGTAAGTTGTTTTGCTATTTAATATCACTATTTAACAACAAAAAAACTCACCAAAAAAAACTTGTATACCTTGTTCAATTGGACAATTTCCATGTCTTTCTTTTATCATTGTAAAACTAAGGGTGATTTTATAACTTTTTTTGTACGCAGCTGTTACATGTACGACAGTCTCTGTCTCTCAGTAGGAATAAATTACTATAAATAAACTGATCCCCAGCCTCAGACGTATAACACTTACTAGCTGTGTGACCCTGGGCAAGTCACTTAACCCCATTGCCTAGCCAAAAAAAAAAAAGAAATTGATCCTAGATAGTTTTCCCTTCAAGTCAAACAGCATGCTATTTAAATAAACTTCTTGTTTGAAATAAAACTAAAAATGTTTAAAAGGTGAAGAGATTGATGACAACAGGCTAAGATATCACAGGATGAAGTGCAGAACTGTGACTCAGGGCTACAGGTGTGAGTATTTTAGGTGGCAGGTAATTTCTGATGTCTGGGGCTTTATTCTTATATGATAATTAGGAGGACAGGTTGAATGAATCCAAGGATGATAACCAGTTTCCAGGATAAGTGCAATATTATGGATTGCAACAGGACTCACATACAAGCAAGCTCAGTGCTGCTGAGAGCATCACCCAACAGCAGGCAGAACAGGTGAGCAGAGCCAAGAGTACCACAATGGTGAGGAAGATGGACAGCTCTGGACACACATCCTCTAATCTCGTCAAATGTCCTTTCTCACACAAGTATCACTGCCTAGTAGGAAATCAACGCCTAAAACCCTATGACGAAGCTCAATGCTAGGCATCCTGGTCAACATCTAGTCCTTCCTATCATCCTACCAAAGGCAGGTTTCACTTTCATGTCATGCTCACATCTAGGCTTGTTGCTCAGCATCCAAGCCTTCTCGTCCTCCTACCCAAGCCAGGTTTCACTTTTCTGTCACAGTAACTGAGGCAAAGGTCCCTTCTTCCTGCCTGTATTCAGAGATTTCTTAAAACACAGCTTAATTAGGAGCCCCAAATCACCCGAACCTTGGCACCACCTTTTCTCATTTGTTCTTTGAGGTTGGCTAACTGGTTGTTTGTGTGGTTGTTTGAAAGCTGGAAACCAAAAAAAGAAAGGATTAGGAGTAGAGGTAGTAGCCTACTACCCTTGTTTTCACCATGACAGTAAGAAAAAACATCAAGATAGTTTTCCAAGCAAAATCACTCCAATTTTCTATGCAAAAGTTATAGAAGAGGCCAAAGAGATTGATGAGAACAAGCCAAGACATCAGAGGATGAAATGTGGGACTGTGGCTCGGGGCGATAGGGGTGAGTATTTAAGTGGCATGTAATTCCGGATGTCTGGGGCTTTGTTCTTCAATGACAAGTAGGAGGAGGATGGATTGAATGAACCCGAGGATGAGGATGAGAACCAGTGTCTACAGGAGTTATCTAAAAGGAAGCCCAGAGCTGCTGAGAAGATCCAACAGCAGGTTGAAAAGGTGAGCAGACCCAAGAGCACCACACTGGTAGAGAAAGGGGACAGCTCTGGACAATCATTCTGTAAACTAGGCACCTGTCCTTTGACACAAATGTATCACACTCCACTAAAATCCAATGACCAAGCTCACTCCCAGGCTTGCTGGTCAGCACTCACCCCTCCATATCCTCCTACCAAAGCCAAGTTACACATTCATCTCAAACTCATTGAAGCAAAGGTCACATCTTCCTCCACATAATGAACACTTTTAAAAATACAGATTAATTAGGAGCCCCAAACCACCTGGACCTTGGCACCACCTTTTCTCACCTCTGCTTTAAGGTAAGCTGACTGGATTGGTGGGCTGAAAGCTGCAAACCAAAAGGAAATGAATGGGAGTAGAGGCAGGAGAACATCTACCCTCATTTCTACTATGAGAGTAAGAAAAAAAAAAGTCAGACAGTCTCCTAACCAAAATCACTCCAATTTTCTATGCAAAAGTTGTAGAAGATGTCAAAGAGATTGATGAGAACAGGCCAAGATATCAGAGGATGAAATGTAGGACTGCGGCCCAGGTTAACAGGTGGCAGTAATTCCTGATGTCTGGGGCTTCGCTCTTCTACAATGAGTAGGAAAAGGGCCAACTGAATGAGTCCAAAGATGAGAACTATATTCTCCAGAATAAGATCAAATCTTATCCAACAGGACTCACCCAAGAAGAAGCTCAGTGCTACTGAAAAGATGATGCAAAAGCTCGTAGGAAAGGTGAGGAGACCCAACAGCACCACACTCGTATAAACCGGGAACAGCACCAGTCATTCTATAATCTAGCCACCTAATTTTTGTCACAGAGGTATCAGTCCCCAATTAGTTTACTAACACCTAAAATTTTATGGCCAAGGTCAATCCTAGGCTTGTTTGTCAACATCCGACCCAACTTATTCTTCTACCAAAGCAAGGTTTCACTTTCATGTCACAGTCACTAAGGCAAGAGTCAATTGTTCTCCATGTAGGGAGAGCTTTTGGCAATATTTAATAGTAGCTGGCCACTAACACCGGGACCTCGATCCACCTTTTCCCTCCCCCTCTTTGAGCTGGCTGACTGGTTGGTTGGCCAATTGTTTTAGAGTTGGAAAACAAAGTAGAAATGGGCGGGAGACAAGGGCAACGGTCTACCTATCCTTGCTCCTACAATGTGAGTTAGAAAGTGAGGGAAAAAGGAAGTCAGAACAATCTATTTTCCAAAGAAACTCACTCCAATTCTCTTTGCAAGAGTCTGTAGGAGAGGTCAAAGAAATTGATTTGAATGATCTAAGATGTCTCAGGATGAAGTATGAGCCTGTGGCTCATGGGGAGAGGTGTGAGCATTTTAGGTAGCAGGTAATTCCTGACATCTGAGGCTTTGTTCTCCTATGAAGAGTAGCAGAAGGAAAGACTGAAGGAGCTCGAAGATGAGAACCAGAGCCTCCGCGATAAGATGCAATATTATTCATTACAACTGGATTCCACTACAGTCAAGTTTGCTTGTGCTCAGAAGATCCAAGAGCAGGCAGAAAAGGTGAGCAGACCCAACAGCTCCACCATGCTAGGAAGGGGGATAGCCTGGACAATCATTCTGAAATCTAGCCACCCATCATTTCTCACAGAAATATCACTCTCCTGTAAGTAACTAATGTCTACAATCCCATGACCAAGCTCACTCCTAGGCTTGCTGGTCAGTCTCCAGCTGTACCTATTCTACTCCCAAAGCCAGGTTTCACTTTCATGTCACACTCCCTGAGGCAAAGGTCACTTCTTTCTCCATGTAGGGAGTGCTTTTTAAAATATAGATTAATTAGGAGCCCCAAATCACCTGGACCTTCACACCACCTTTTGCTACCTCCTCTTTGATGTTTGCTAAGTGGTTGTTTTAGAACTGAAAATCAAAGGAGTAATTGGTGGGTGGTGAAGGGCATGAGGCCACCCTCCTTCCAAAGCCAGGTTTCTCTTTCATGTCACACTTGCTGAGGCAAAGGTTACTTCTTTCTCCATGAATCGAGCGCTTTTAAAAACGTAAGATTTTTAGGAGCCTAAAACACCTGGACCTTGGCACCAACTTTTTCCAATTCCTATTTGAGGTTTTAGTGCTGGAAACAAAAGGAGGAAGGAGTACAAGTGGAGAGGAGGAAGCTACCTACCCTCACTCCTACTGTGTGAGTGAGGAAGTGAGGAAAAAAAGCAAGTCAAGACAGTTTTCCAATCAAACTCACTCCAATTGTCTTTACAAGAGTTTGCAGAAGAGATAAGAGAGATTGATGGGAACAGGTCAAGAGGTCCCAGGATGCAGCATAGAACAGCGCTCAGGGCGACAGGCGTGAGCATTTTAGGTGGCAAGTACTTCCTGACGTCTTGGTCTTTGTTCTTGAATGCTGAGTAGGAAAAGGACAGACTGCATAAGCTCGAAGATGAAAACCAGTATCTCAGGGATCAGATGCAATATTATTCTTTGCAACTTGACTCAGCTACAAAAAAGATCAGTGTTGTTGAAAAGATCCAAGAGCAGGCAGAAAAGGTGAGCAGACCCAAGAACACCAAAATGGTGGGGAAAGGGAACAGCTCTGGACAGCCATTCTAGAATCCAGACATCTATCCTCTGTCAGAGAGATACCACTCCCCAGTCAACAACTAATATCTAAAAACCAATGACCAAGCCAGCTCCTGGCTTGCTGGTTCACATCTCACCCTAACTATCCTCCTAGCAAACACTTTCGTGTCACACTCACTGACGCAAAAGTCACTTCTTTCTCCATGCAGGGAGTGTTTTTAACAATTTGAAATTAATAGGAGCCCCAAACCACCTGGACCTTTGCACCTCTTTTTCCCACCACCTCTTTGAGATTCACTAACTGGGTTGTTTCAGGGTTAAAAACCAAAGGAGAAATGGGTGCAATTAGAGGGCAGGAAGCTGTTTATACTATACGTGGGTGAGGGAAAAATATGTCAGGACAGTCAGTTTTCCAACCAAACCAAGTTCAGTTTCCTTTGAAAGAGTCTGTAGAAGACATTAAAGAGTTTAATGAGAACAGGTCAAGATATCACAAGATGAAATGTGGGAATGTGACTCAGGGCAATAGTTTTGACCATTTTAGGTAGCAGGTAATTCCTGATGTCTGTGCCTTTATCTTTCAATGAGGATTAGAAGAATGACAGATTGAATGAGCTTGAGAATGAGAACCAGTGTCTCCGGGATAAGATGCAATGTTATTTATCACAACTGGACTCGGCTACGAGAAAGTGCAGCGATGCAGAAAAGAAGATGCAAGAGCAGGAAGGAAAGGTGAGCATGGCCAATAGCACCAAAAGGGTAGGGAAAGGAGAGCTCTGGACAATCACTCTGTAATCTATCTTCCCATCCTTTGTCACAGAGGTATCACTCCCTAGTAAGTTATTATGCCTAAAATCCTATGACCAAGCTCACTCCTCCACTTCCTGGTCAACATCCAAACTGAGGCAAAGGTCACTTCTTTCTCCTTGGAGAGAGCACTTTTTAAAATATTTTTTTTAAATGGGAGGAAAAAAAAACCCCCGGACCTTGGCACCACATCAAAGTGATTAATGAGAACAGACCATGCTGTCCCAGGATGAACTGTGGGAGAGTGGCTCAGGGTGACAGGCATGAGCATTTTAGGTGGCAGGTAATTCCTGATGTCTTGAGCTTTGTTCTTCGATGATGCGTAGGAGAAAGCCAGACTGAATGAGCTGGAGGATGAGAACCAGTGTCTCCGGGATAAGATGCAATGTTATTCATCACAACTGGACTCAGCTACAAGAAAGCTCAGAGCTGCTGAGAAGCAGATCCAAGAGCAGGCAGAAAAGGTGAGCAGACCCAAGAGAACCAGAATGGTGATAAAGGCGGACAGCTCTAGACAGTCAATCTGTAATGTAGCCATCCATCCTTTGTCACACAGTTATCACTACATATCCTCCTACCCAAGCCAGTTTTCACTTTGATTTCACACACAAGTGAAGCAAAGATCATGCCTTTCTCCATTTAGGGAGCACTTCTAATAATCCAGATTACCTTTGGATTCTTCATAGGAACACCACACCACATCCATCTTGGACCACCGTTGCCCAACTTCCATTTTGGCTAACTGGTTGGTTGATTGATTAGTTGGTTGTTTTAGAACAGGAAACCAAATAGAAACGAATGGCTGTGGTGGGCAGGGAGCTGGTTATATGCCCTCGTTCCTACTATGTGAGTGAGGAAGTGAGAAAAAAGAAAATCAAGACAGCTTTCCAACCTAATTCATTCGAATTTTAAGTCCAAGCTTTAGTAGAAGTCAAAGAAACTAATGAGAACAGACTAAGACCTCACTGGATGAAGTTTGGGGTGGTGGCTCAGGGGAATAGGTGTGAGCATTTTAGGTGGAAGGTCATTCTAGACGTCTGGAAAGTTATTTTTCTATGAGCTGTAGCAGAAGGACAGATACAATGAGCTCAAGAATGAGAACCAGATACTCCAGGAAAAGATGCAATATTGTACATTGCAACTGAACTCAGCTACACTGAAGATCAATAGTGCTGAGAAGCAGATCTAAGAGCACCATAATGGAGGTGAAGGCAAACAGCTCTAAACAATCATTCTGAAATCTAGTCGCCCCTCCCTTCTCACAAAGGTATCATTCCCCAGTAAGTAACTAAGGATTAAAATCCTATGACCAAGCTCACTCCTCCACTTCCTGGTCAACATCCAAACTGAGGCAAAGGTCACTTCTTTCTCCTTGGAGAGAGCACTTTTTAAAATATTTTTTTTAAATGGGAGGAAAAAAAAACCCCCGGACCTTGGCACCACATCAAAGTGATTAATGAGAACAGACCATGCTGTCCCAGGATGAACTGTGGGAGAGTGGCTCAGGGTGACAGGCATGAGCATTTTAGGTGGCAGGTAATCTCTGATGTCTTGGGGCTTTGTTCTTCAATGATGAGTAGGAGAAAGCCAGATTGAATGAGCTGGAGGATGAGAACCAGTGTCTCTGGGATAAGATGCAATGTTATTCATCACAACTGGACTCAGCTACGAGAAAGCTCAGAGCTGCTGAGAAGCAGATCCAAGAGCAGGCAGAAAAGGTGAGAAGACGCAAGAGAACTAGAATGGTGATAAAGGGGGACAGCTCTAGACAGTCAATCTGTAATGTAGCCATCCATCCTTTGTCACACAGTTATCACTCCCCAGTAAATAAGTAATAACTACAACTACGCCCACTCCTAGGCTTGCTGGTCAGCAGCCAACACTACCTATCCTCCTTCCAAACCAGGATTCATTTTCATGTCATACTCACGGAGGCATATGTCATTCTTTCCGATGTAAGGATCACTTTTAAAAACATAGATTTAATAGGAGCTATACGCCACCTGGATATTGGCACCATCTTTTCCCACCTCCTATTTAAGGTTGGCTAACGAGTCAGTTGGTTGATTGGCTGTTCAGAGCTAAAAACCAAAGGATAAATGGGTGATAGAGGAAGACAGGAGGCCATCAACCCTTGTTCCTACTAGGTGAGAGAGAAACTAGAGTGGGAAAAAAAACAAGACAGTTTTTCAACCAAATTCACCAAATAAATTTTCTTTGCAAAGAGTTTTTAGAAGAGGTCAAAGTGATTAATAAGAAAAGGCCAAGATATCACAGAATGAAATGTGGCACTATACCCCAGGGTGCTGGGGGTGAGCATTTAAGGTGGCAAATAGTTCCTAATGTCTGGGGCTTTGTTTTTCAATGACAAGCAGGAGAAGAATAGATGCTATGAGCCCGAGGAGGACAACCAGTGTCTGAAAGTTAAGAGGCCATTAAACCAAGACTCATTTACAAGAAAATGTAGTTGTTCTGAGAAGAATATCCAACAGCAGGCAGAAAAGGTGAGCAGGTCCAAGAGCACCACAATGGTGGGGACGAGGAACAGCTCTAAGCAATCATTCTGTAATCAAGGCCACCCATCCTTTGTCACAGACGTACAACTACCCAGTAAATAACTAACACCTCAGATCCTATGACCAAGCCCAATTCTGTGCTCCCTGGTCAAATTCACCCCTATCTAGCCACTTGTCACTTCAAGGTTTCACTTTTACATCCCTGTTAATGACTCAAAGATAGGGAGGGTTTTAATATTGATTGATCAACTGATTTAATGGGATTTCCCAAACCAGCCCCCAACCATGACCTTTCCTACTTCTATTTGATTTACATCTAGCAATGGCTGATTAGTTGCTGGTTGTTTTTAAACATGGAAACCAAAGGGGAAATGGGTAAGAGTAGAAGCAGATGGTTACCTACCTTAATTTCCAAAACGTGAGGAAAAGGAAAACCAAGACCATTTCTTTTCCAATGAAACTTGCCCCAGTTTTCTTCGCAAGAGAGGAATTTTTTAGAAGGATTAAAAGACAGTCAACAAAGACAGAGAAGGGTCAAGGTATCACAAGAGGAAGGGTGGAATTGTAGAGAATGGTAGAAAGCATGCACTTTGCTCTTAAATAACAACACCAGTAACAGGGCACATTTATATATAATGCTTTAAGAGTTGCAATGTACTTTACATGTATTATCTCATTTGATCAATGAGGGAGTAGGAGAAGGAGAAAGTATGTAAGCTAGAGTTGGAGAATGAGATCCTCCGGGGTGCACTGAAACACTGTACGAACCAACGGGAGTCAGCCACAAACAAGCTCGAGACTGCTAAGGAGGCAACCAAGGTGAAGGAAAATGAGGTGAGTATTGCAAAGAGATGAATGCTGGGGAATTGTTCACCAGCTTGCCAGGTAACTCACAGAGAAGCTCTGACTCCTTCACCACAGAAGGAAAATGAATCCTGGCTTCACTTGTCACCTTAGAACACCTCTTAACAGATTTCTCAAAGACTTCTACTTTGGTTTCCAGTGTCTCTGTCCTCATCATGGTATCATTTAGTATTTCGCCTTCACATTGGCATTTCTCAGTCTTGTCACTTCTCAAGCACTTAGCATGAATCCCAGATTTTTAGGGATTCCTTCATTTTCCCCCGAATATCTATTCCTTAGCTTCTCCAGAAAGTAAACACTTTCCTTGACAGAAGACCAAAGAATTTCATTTTAGGAATAGTCCCACCCTAGAGCCACTGGTATTAGGAAGTTAGACAACATCCAGTCTTGAGTTTCTCAACCCAATTCCTAAGGTCAAACAGCTTAAGCTTCCACAAGAGTAGCTGCTATAAATCCAAACTGTTGGCCATCGTAAAGGGTGGAAGGAAATATGGCGTCAAAAGAAAACAGATACTCTGTGTGTGTGTGTGTGTGTGTGTGTGTGTGTGCGCGCGTGTGTGCACACACGCGTGCATGCATGCACAAGCATAGACATGCTAAAGAGAGAAAGTCAAGGACAGCCATGATCAGGTTTCCTTCCTGCTCATATAAAGGTGGATAAAGGCTTAGCCAACCAAACTTTTAACATAATGACAGTGGAGGACATTTATAAAGTACTGTAAAAATATCATCTCACTGGATCTTCACAACAACCCTATGATGTCAGTGCAAGTAATATTATTCCCATTCTATAGGAGCAGCCCCTGAGACCCAGAGGCTAATAAGTGGCAAAGCCAGGCTCTGAAATCAGATCTTCCAACTCCAAATGCAGCACACATTTCTCTACACCATCTAAGGCCTGGGTGTAAAGTTTTAATATTAAGCCTGGCTTTAGGGAATACATTTAGGTCTCTCTTAACACTAAGAAAAATCCTCCCAGAAAGCAATAATTTTAGGGAGTAATGTGGAATATAACTCATCAGTGTTAAGTACACAGGGTTATACCTTCACACTTAACCTAGAGTATTTACAAAACACTTCTTTGAGCATATCATATACCAGGCCCCAAAGTCTCACCCTACTCCTGAAATGGGGAACATTACCCCAAAAGAAAACTGGCCATCAACAAAGCCTAGAAACAGAAGCCACAATAGGCTTCATGTGAATATTTAACCTAAGTTCTCCAAAAGTACTTAGTGGTGAGAGTTGGAAGGAGGATGATGGCATTCCCTTCCCCAAGGTGGTGTGCCAGAAAGAAGCTCTGACCCATGTACAAAAGGATCTCCAAGAGGCTGAAAAACAGGAGCAAAAGAACAACCTCAGAAATACTCACTCCTGCCTGGAGTCAGCTAGAACGTCGTCAAACCAAGACAAACTGAAGGAGGCTCTGGAGAAGGTTAGGAAATAACCTCATATCCCCTTGTACAGAAATAAGGTAGAGCTTGAGGAAGTCGGGCCAGATTCAGGGGACGGGGACTGATGGAAGTGCTGGGTTGGGGATCACCATGCACCTGGCTTTGACCAAAGTATTCAGCAAAGCCTGGAAGCCAAAGCATTTGGCACCTCAAAGGATAGGGGATGGGATTTCCTTGTAATCCCCTCCTAGGCACTACCACCCTCAAGGCAGGAAGAAGGAGCCAGCACCTGGCTGCTCTTAACCTTGCCCTGGGAGGACCAAGGGCCAAGTGTGGATGGACTCGAAGGAAAAGGGGAAAAGGGGAAAAGGATAAAGATGGGTTGTGTTAAGGGTGCCTGGCTAACCAATAAAGTCATAAGATTAGAAGAAGAGAGGGCTAGGGAGGGGGGGAACTGTAGGTTTTTAATATTCTCAGCAATTCATTTCCATTGTTGTGTATTGATCTGCAAAGATAACCCTCCCCCAGTTTCCCTTCTAATCTCAGCTACACTGGTTTGTTGGTGCAAAAACTCGAGACCCACCTTTTGGGACTGGGCCAATGTGAGAATTTATTTCCCTTAACTATCATATTTATTACAAAAGTTTGTTTTTTTTTAAAATCTTGTTTTGTTGTTTGCTTGTTTTTAGTGGGGGTGGGGAGAAGCTGGGAGAGAAAACAAAATATTGTCAACTGAAAAAACTACCAATTTTTTCAAAAACAAACATTTTGTTAACCCTCTCCCTTCCTCTTTCCTAAACCAACTAGAAAAGCACTAGATAAATAGAGGTCTTATCACTAGAGAAAAGGAGAACCTTCCAAAAGGAAGCAAGCCTCCCATGAGATGCTGTCCATGTTCTCTTGGGGAAGCTTTCTCCATGTCCTTCATTCTTAACCAAGGAGGGGGGTTGGCCAGTGCAGCTGGGCTCACCACAGCCCATTGGCCTCTGCCCCAAAGCTCAGTCAGGCCAAGCTGGAGGCAGCCACGCTTCGCCAAGAGTTACAAAAGACCCAGCAAAAGAAGTCCCAGCTGGAGGAGGAGACATGCGCTTATAAGCATCGCATGAAAAAGCTCAACGGGGAGCTGAGGAAGCTCCAGGACTTTCACCAGCAGAGTGAGAAAGAGGTGAGGGTGCTGGGCTGCCTCATGAGACAAGAACGGTCCTGCCTGGCCCACCTCGTGGGGTAGGAATGATCCAGTGCTGCTTCTGTCCTGTGGGACGACCCTGGCCAGGCCCAGCTTGAGCTGCCGATGCTTCTGTTGCTCAGACCTGGCACCTCAAGCCATGAGCTTCCCCCACCCCTTCCCTTTTGCTCCCTTCCCTCCCTTGGTCTCTCCACCTACCTGCTCATGTGGGCTGGTTTGGGGAGCCCCTCGAGGGCCTGAAAACCTCAGGTGACCACTGCCCTCTGCCACCCACAGTCAGACATTTTGAAAGGGTATTTTCTTCTGAACAACTGGACCTTACTTGCTTCCCAGGGTATGAGGAGCCCCCCACGCGACTGTGCCGGGAATACTCTCAGGCAGGGCATGTCTCACACCCTGGCCTAATGGGCTCTGTTTCCTCGGGCAGGTTGATGCCTTCGTTCAGCAGATAGAAGATATGAATTATCAGTTGGCCTTCTGGCAAAAGACACATGAGAATGACCTCCAGTTCCTGGCAGCCAAAGATGAGCAGCTTGTGGTCTTCAAGGTAGAAATGGCCTCCCTCAAGGAGAACCTGCGGGAAGAAGAGAAAAAGGTAACAGGAACCAGCCTCCTTGTGCCATGGCTTCTAGCCCCCCACTAGCCTGGGGCCTAAGAATAAGCCACAGGAGGTGCAGTAAGAAGTCTCTGCACCATGAATTGAGTGAGGTTTGGGACATGCACAGCAACACTCGGTCATCTGATTTTTCTTGATAGAAAGACTTTCTACAGGATGAAATCTCCATCTTAAAGCACAGATATACATTAACTAGCTGTGAGGTACATGAGCCTCTCTTCGAATGCAGGTTTTCTTAGTTCTCATTCTAACCTCACTTCTGACTTCACCTAGGTGTGGTTCCTTCCCTGGGACCCACAGACACAGGATGAGGGTTGGGATTTAAAGCTCATTTCATACACTAAGGGTCAGGCACTCAACTTGGGCAACTCCCAAACCCCACTTTGGGGTGAGGGTGAGGGTGCTTAGAAACTAGGATCCAAGAAGGGGTTAGGGAGGAATGTGCTGAAGAATTTCTTTCTGGATGTGTTAAGAGCCAGCAGCTTTTTTTGTCCGTCTTCCTCCCAAGAGTAACTGCTCCTGGTAGAGCTGAAGAGTTTAGTAGAAACAAACCTCAGCAAGGCTCTTGCCCTCTGACCAAGGGAACAGGTTACAAAGTTGGTCTTCTCCTTGGGGGAGACCTGACCTTACCTCAGAGTTGGGAGGCAGATAGGCCATACCCCTACCTCTTTCCCACTTCCTGCCTTTCCACTTGTCCCAGGTGGAAGCCCTTCGGAACACCCTGGAGAGTGCTCAGAAAGACACCTGGAAATTTCACCAGGAAAATGAAATGGTTGCATCTGATGTACATCAGTGGGTGAAGGAACAAAAGTAAGGAGGAAAGATGTCAAGCAAGATGGTCCTTCAGCTGAGCCTCACTTTCCAGGCATTCCACATGGAGCCGTGTATCCATGAAAACACTGTCTAATCCCTGCCCCTCAGGTCCAGCCCATACTGGGTTTGAGTAGGATTAGACAGAAGAGGTTGGAGCTCCTGTTCTGGAGCATCAAACTGGTATAGAATTGAGCCGGAAGGCAGCTTTTTTGTGACCTACCTAGGAATGCTTTTCTTTTATTTCATCAAAATTTCATCAATTCTGTCATGAAAACTCCTGGATTTTCAAGGTTTTCAAGGGTTAAAGAGCCTCTTTCCTGCCTCGTGGTTACTAATGAGGTTGGGGCCTGTCTCTGCCCCCCCACCCCATACAGTGCCAAGAACTCAGCCTTCCCAGCCACAAAACTATCAATCTAAACCTCAAAAGAATATACCCATGGTGCTTCAGTCTAAGTGAAGGGAGATGGGATGGGGGGGGGGGGAATTGGACTAGCTATTACTTTCTCTTGTGAATTTAATTACAGAGATAACACTGAGAAATTAGGATCCAAGATCCGAGAACAAGTCAAATGCATTTATCAACTGGCTGGTGAAAAGGAGTAAGTCACCCTACTCTAGGAAGGCTGAGTCTCTCTGGTATGTACCCTTTCCTTCCTCATGGCCCTGAGCCAGGCAAGGGGGATCCACAAAGACTTTGGGCAACTCTTTTCATCATTCACACCTAATGAGAAGCCCAAAGGAGGCATTAGGGATTCATTTGGTTCCCCTCCTCGTTTCAGGGAAGGAAGCAGTGTTGGGCCCTAGATCAGAGAGTATTCACAGGACTGATGTAACCTGGGTCTGCTGCTCCCAGATGTGTGATCTCACACAGATCCTTTCCCTCTCTAGACTTGTTCCTTCTTTATCAAGGGACACTCAGTGATCTCTCGTTTTCAAACTCCCATGAATGGTATCGCTCCATCCCTCCCAGACGCTTTTGTGTTCCACACTGATCTCTCACTGTTGGTACACCCTCTTCCTTTCCCACAGCCATCTCCACAACGTGATGGTCCATTTGCAACATGAAAACAAGAAGCTGAGGAAAGAAATAGATGACAGGCGCCAACAGAATGAGCATCTGATGGTAAGGAGTATCCCCTACACCTTGGCCAAAGGGAGACTCAAATAATAGAAGGAAACTGCAGGTGCTTCCCTAAAGGAAGATGGCAGTCACATTACTTGACTTGAGATCGATGCCTATGCACAGTGCTGTTCACCAAGAGGTGGTCTGACCACTAGAGAAGGGCGGCTAGCCACTGGGGGAAAGGGAGAGGGGTAAGAAATAAAGGATGCCCCACACTACAGAACTAGTAATGCTCTTAGCCACCTAAAAACACTAACACTAACACACATGCGCATGCACACACATACACACCTTAGTAGCTCACATGTAACTTTATCAGGTGCTATATTTTCCGTTAGGCTCATATTTAGAAAAATAAATGCTGAAGAGGTCCTTAAACCCAGAGAACCCTAGCTTTGACCCTATTGCACAGGGTACAAGATCAGATTTCCATTATCACTTTTTTTAATCTTTCCTGAAGAAAACACCATGACTCTACAAGTGTATTTTTCTGCCACCTTTAAAATCTCCACCATTCTTCCCTACCACAGGGTAAACTGAGAGGGAAGAAGCCATTCTTGAAATTTGGCCTCTTGGGCTTTCCAGTTACCTCAAAACATGTTATTTTTCTTTCCCCTTGAGTCAAAATTGTCATTTTCTGCTTCCTCCTAGGTTCCTCACTATAATATTACAATTCCTTGCATTGAATATCATCTCAAGCCACAGTGCGTAGAAAATCAATAAGTTTACACCTTCATAATTTGTCTTTAATCAACTCCCACCGCTTTTTGGTTTTGTCCAGTCACAAAGGAGCAAGCCTCCAAACCATATTAGTATCTATCAGACTGAGATTTGTAATAAATGTTTTTCAGACAGAAGAGGTCTCACTGGGACTCCAGACCCTTCTGCCCATTTCAAGGCTCGTGACAGTCATGCGCCCAGCCCTGCCCTCTCTGATCCTGAGCAGAGTAATTATGATAAGTTGCTTTCATTTATATTGACATGTGTTTCACCACTCATGTATAACAACCAGAGCAAACCTCTGGATGTCTTATTTTTTTAATTTAACAGGAAATCATTCATGAGGAAAGAAAAATGAGTTTTTTAAGATCTAAAGACATAAGAATCTTTAAACCTTGAAAGGGAAAGGGAAAGGGAAAGGGAAAGGGAAAGGGAAAGGGAAAGGGAAAGGGAAAGGGAAAGGGAAAGGGAAAGGGAAAGGAAAGGGAAAGGGAAAGGGAAAGGGAAAGGGAAAGGGAAAGGGAAAGGGAAAGGGAAAAAAAGTCCAAGACAGGGTGAAAAATATAAGGGATAATAGTGAGCCTAATGCAGATTTTCCAAGTTAAGAGTTAGAAATACACGTTGGCTACCTTCTCCTCAGTCTCCATAATCCTTTCCTCCTTTTAACCATATTTTTCTCCTATACAAGTAAAATCCCATTTTAATGAAATCCACAGGACATCCAAATTATTTTATTGAAGTGAAACTGCATTACATTGACTAGAGTGCTAGAAATCACATTCTTAATCTGCAGGACCTAGGGAGAAATAGTTAATGCCATGCTTTCCATAGTGAATCACCAAGTAGAAAAAACATGTTTTCCCTGAACAAAGTAAGAGAGAAGTTATATACACACTTGCTCTCACTTCTCAATTCTTAACTCTTTGTGTTCAATTTGGGAATCTTTCTGGAGGAGGCAGGGCAGGGGGGGAGGTGGAGGGTGGGAGGAAAGTGGAGAGATGGGAAAGGGAGCTAAGTGGGGCATGTAATTACTACTCAATAACCAAAAAAAAAGGACTTATTTCTTCTCCCTTCTTCTTGGCCCACAGTATCAACCCCACACATTGATACATTCTTTATGGTAACTGTTACATGGGAAGGAACTGAATTATTCACTGCAGTGAATTTGCTATAAGCTAATCAATAAAGCTTAAGGTGGGCCAAATGATAAATCATAGAAGGTGCTCGGGTATACGAGACACATCTCATTCAGAAAATACCTATTTTAAAGAATGATATATCCTACTCCCACCTGATGGTTCACTTATATAATCAATATAATGAAAATACAGTTCAACAAAAAAGATTTGGATGGTCCCATTTTCAACCCCTTGTAATGGACTCTGCAAATACAAAATGCTCCTGGATGCTTGTATGCTGGAAACAGTTGTAATATTTAGCCCCTTCAGTTATTCTGTCTTCAGGAATTCTCTTACCTTTTTAAACCAGCAGTGAGTTAAACTGCAAAAGAACAGAGCCCTTTATGAACTGTAAGAGATGCACACAAATCTGAAGACAATGCTCCAGCTCTGAGAGCACAGCCAGTACTGGGAGACTTTGGCTACAAGAGGGACACACGGAAATGTCAAGTGTACAAATAAGCTACCTTCCCCAAACAGACAAGTGGAGTTTCAAGAAGAGACCATCAGAAATGTTGCCTGCCTACAAATCCACAAGTAGCAAAAATAAAGTATTAGAGAACAGAGGTGAAGTGGTGAGATTGTCTAAAATTACACAAACTAAGGCTATAAAATAACATGATTGAAAACTTCGATACTAAATAATAGTATTGACTGATGCAATTGATTAAAGTTAAAGCATACATCCCTCCTTTCTAACAGCCAAAAAACCCTACCTTGTAGAAGTTTATTGGGAAGTCTTGGGTCAAAACAAACTCTAACAAATTTAAATTTTTTTTTAAAGGATATGATTGAGAGAAACTGGCCAATGGGGGTCACAGACAAAAACCTAAGCCCAAATGAGGCATTTGCTTGAGTTTGGTTTGTAGGGAGAAATCAGAAAAGAGAAAGGTTTTGGGGTGATGGGGTCTTTCACTAGGAATTTGCTCTTCTCAATCCCCAGAATATGAGTTCAGATCTTCCACCTGACTCAGGATCTCAGCCCTTCTCACTACTCAGAAGTCCTTTCCTCCAACCATGAAAGAAAAATGCCTTTAAATCCCAGTTACTTTGTAAAAAAATTAAGTGATTTTTGTGCCTTCTCTAGTCAACAGCAAGGGTAGGAAAAGAAGGAAGCTACTTACACGAGCAGAACCTGTGAATAACCTATGGGGCTTGCAAAGTAGTCTTTCCTACTTACACATCAAACACAATGGCTGGCTTTTATTATTTTTTTTTAAACTAAAAGCGTTCCTCATGTCCACAAACTCAACATTGGGCAGGCACATTCAAGAAAATTTTGAATACATCAACAGCCTCATGAGGGGAATGATGACCTGCCCAGCAGAATCCTAAAGTACAAAAAGACATCTCATTTTCAGGGCAGCTAGGTGGCACTGAATCACAAAGATTCATCTTCCTAAGCACAAATCTGGCCTAGCTGTATGACCCTGGACAAGTCATTTAACCTTGTTTGCCTCAGTTTCCTCATCTGTAAAATGAGCTAGAGAAGGAAATGGCAAACCACTCTTGTGTCTTTGCCAAGAAAACCCCAAATGGGGTCACGGAGAGTCAGACACGATTGAAACAGTTGAATGAGTTCCATACTAAGACCAAAGGATTCAACTTAAGTTTTCACATCTAAAAAGAGGTGCATAAGTGAGTCACACCAATAAATAGCTGTCACTGGATGTCACAGCTGTAACAGACTTTTGAGATCATTTAGTCCACCACATTTTACAGATAAGACAATCTAGGAAAGTTAAGTGATCTAGGGTTATAGGAGCAGCAAAGGCCAGGCTAGAACTCCAGCTTCACGATTACCAGTCCAGTGGTCTCAGGTCCACACTATGCTGACTCCATACATAACCAGAGGTCTAAATACCTGATTATCATTCCCACCTAAGAACAAAAGTGTTTGAGTCCTTCCAGCCGTCTCACCAAAAAGGCCAATTTAGGAAATTTGGTAAATCAGGTTGGACAGCCAAATTCCACTTCAGAATTTGCTCTGAATATCTCATGAACGTTCCCAGGTGATGCTCCATGCTAGTCACACCTCCAACCCTAATCACAAAATAGGGCTCACAGCTTCAACAAAAAGAACTCCAAGTTTCTGAAATAGAATCTCCAGAGACTTCACCTCACTGTTTTAGCTCAATTTGGGAATTCATTAAGCAAAACACCAGACAAAAACTGTCTTAGGGACATCTACTAGGAGGGATGAAGTCGAGCAGCTGAAATGACTGCACACAAAAGGTAACATCTCAGCAAGTCTAAGAGACTCTTTAATTGGGGGGCAGGGGAAGCCTATCTAAGGACTTCCCTCTTCTCCAGGAAATCAATAAAGCAGAACTTAGCCAACAGGGTCAAACTGCCTGGAAGCAGAAATGGCCAATAACTGGGGGTAATGGAGCCGCCAGAGCAGCCAGTCTTCTGATGGACATTTCTTCTTGCTCATTAAGGACTTGCTCACACCCCATTAATGACTGCACAGTCGTCAATACTTTGACATGGCCAACTATTCCTAAAGCAAAGCTGGCTAACCTTAGCTATGCCAACTCAAATCCAGCTCCTGGGTCCTTCCAGTGTGGAGAGCTACCCAGCACACTCAGTAGAAGAAGGTTTCTGGGAGAAAAGAAAGGAAGCCAAGACTACCAAGGGTTTTGTGGAGAAATAAAAAAGAAAAAAAATAGAGCAACCCGACCTGACTCTAAAGCGATGCTGTAGGGCAGCATAAAACAAAGGAACAGCCAGAAACACAGTAAAGTTTTAGAAACAATAAAATTATTTCCAAATTCCTGGGTTGTAAACAAGTTACAATTCCCTCCAGATCCATTTTGCTGCTTTACACAAAGATTAAAAAACAAGACAAAGACAAAGCAAAGATACATTTATACACCAAGCATCGCAGCGCTCGCCCCTTCTCAGACAAGATGGGTTCTGGCCCCTCCTGGTCACTCTGGCAGTACAAAAAGGAAACCCGAGAAAACCCAGGGTTCCTCAGCCCTGAAGGAGTCACCCTGCCAACATGCCAGAGGAAAGAGGTCGATGAAAAAGTGTCATTAAGCCACCAAAAGACAACCATGCTTTCTGATCTTGGATCTCAGCAAGAAACACCAGTCAATACAAGTTTCATTCACAGCCACCAACAGGCCTGCGAGGAAGCTCAGCACTGGTTCCTGGGTACTATGGGCCTTCCACGGATCCAGCACTGGCTCAGAGTCCAAAGCGGGCTGGGGTCCGGCGAGGGCTAGCAGGCTCCCCTTGCTCCTTCCGCCCAGGCGTGTAGATCTTCACAGACCTAAGAGACAGAAGGCAGAGTCTGCCAGTAAACTGATGACATTCACTCCAGCCCAAGAAACCCAGAGAAGCTTTACATCATTGTACTCTTTCTACCCTGTACTTTGGGACACTCTAAGGAATAAAATGTCCATGATGTGTTTCCCCATTACTCTTTGGGACTTTTTTTGGTTAGGAATACGGATGGAGATTGACAGCTATATGGCATCTCAGAGGTTGTCTAGCCCAACCTGCTCATTTTACAGAAGAGGAAACTGAGGGCCAAAGAGAAGGTGTGTCAGAATAAAGTTAGAAGTCTCTGCCTCTCTATAACAAAAGAAATAATTAGGAATGTGGGAAACCCGCCACCTCCTTGAAAATTAAGCAATTTCCAAGTTCCCTGTCTGATTGAGGGACCTCACATTACAGATAAGTAGCCACCCTTCTGAAAGCTTTCCCTAACATTGTTCCCCTTTTCCAAAACCTCAAAGGCGGCAGCCTATACTGCAGCCTACACTTTGAACAAGAACTCCCTATGAAAGAGCAGGTAAGCAGTCATCTCACCTCCTCTTGAAAACTTCAAGGCAGAGGGAGATCACTACCTCTGGGATAGCTCACTAAGGTTGCTGCCTTCCTGTGACTTCTGCCCAGCACCAAGCTTAACGCATCTTCTAGAAATATGGCAGTCCTTCACATCCTCGAAGTAAGCTCTCAGACCCTGTCTTACCCTTCTCCCCTGCTCTGGGCTAACCATCCTCAGTGCCTTTCAATGATCCTTGGAGGGCACCACCTCCAGCTCCCTCACTACTGCAGTCACCACGAATCCAAGAGTACAAATCATTATTAGAAACAGGATATGCTGAGTGCAAGCAACTACCTAGAAATGGGGAGAACGAAACAGTAACAGAAGCTGCTTCATGTCAGGAGACACTCTTTAAAACACTCTCTTGCCCTTTGGATGGCGGGAAGCCTCTTCCAAAGCACAGAAGGGACCATGATTGTTCTTTCTAGCATTTGGAAATAAGCCTCTGCGAGGTAAACTCACAAATGCCAAACCTGTTCACCTGTTAGAAAAACTTCCTAAATCATAAACTCCTCAAGGACCAGAAGAATATGTGCATTACTCTGAAAATTCCTTTAGAACCAAAAACTAGTAGCTAAAGGTAATAAAATTTAGAGGCAGAGGCAACTAAGCAAAGCTAGAGAGTGCTGGACCTAGAGTCAGAAGACCTGAGTTCAAATCCAGCCTTGGACACTAGACGTGTGACCCTTGGTCAATCACTTCACCTCTGCCTGCCTCAGTTTCCTCAAGGGTAAAACAAGGATAACAAGAGCAACTACTTCCCAGGGGTGTTATAAAAATCAAATGAGACACTAATTAGAAAGTACACGGCACAGTGCCTGACACATAGCAGTCTCTTCATAAATTCCCTGTTCCTTTTATAAAATTTGGAATAATCAGTATATCATTTACACTTTGCATATTTGACCTCCAATATGCCTGCCACTTGAATTCACTGTGATTCAGTCGTCCCCTTCCTTTCAGAGAAATTCTTTAGCTTATAAAATAAAAATACTGCTCCAATGAAAAACAATCACTCCCGGGGAATTTCTCAAAAGGGACAAAAATAGAAATGGAGCATTCTAGTCTTTCCAGTTCTGTCTGATGGGACAAAGCCTGTTTGTAAACCAAGCCCAAGTCATTTCTAGAAGCCCAATTTCTTCTTGGCTGATTTTCTGACTTCACATTGGAAAACCTTGGTTTATGATTCCTAAACTGAGGGAAACGGATATGTGCTTATTACCACCTTTCACTACTATTATTATGATTTGATGGCACTTTTCATCTAAGTCCAGACTGGCAGATTTGGCAAATCTGGATGACTGCACGTCGCTCTGGGGCAGACAATACACGTCTTAAATGTGCCTGGACAAACACAGTGAAGACGACACAACGTCTGCGGGCCTTTTATACAAAAACCTTCCCAAGTACCAAAGACGCAGGGCCAGTGCTAGGAAGTTGTGCTCTTTATTGTAACGAAACACTTCCCCACCTCCATGTTTAATAAGAACTTCTCCCCTCTCCTACACGACCACAGACCCAGACTCCCCTCTATAGCATTTGGGAAATTCATCCTATTCCCTACAAAGAAGAAACCAGGCAGTCACCTGGGTCCATATCCATGTTCTATAGGGACTTCCAATAAAGTGCACAACAAGAGAACAGGAAAAGGAGAATTACCAACCATGAGCTCCCACAAAGCAGTCACTCAGGGGCCTGCCTTCTCCCTTGAGCCCGGCCAGGTGTGAACCCCACTTCTGCCTCTCTCTCTAGGCCCTGCTCACCTCACACTGCCCAGGGGGTTACGCTTCTCCTGCTCCTGCCGCCGCGCTCGCAACTGCTCTTCAGCCAATGCCATCTCCTCTTCCATAGCAGATGCTTCCTCTTTGGCCCGGCGGCGATTCTCCTAAAGAAGAAGACAGGGACTGATCCGAATGGAGATCATCCAATGAGACATCTCTTAGGAGAGCCTGGCCAACTTGCCACCATGACCCACTTTACTACAGAGGCCAAGGCCAAGTCAATTCTTAGAAGCAGGGGCACTATTCCTTCCACTAATGATGCTTTTCTTTCTCTGTCTCTCTTCTCCCCTCAACCCCTCTGAGGCTGTTGTCTACTTATTTCCCCCAAATCAGAGCTGAAGGATTCAGCCCTGACTCAGAGACTGCCATGTGTTCTATTCAAGGCAACAAAGGTGTTTCCTGGATGCCCGCCATCACACCAGGTGCTATTTATATCCTCCCCTATGGAGGACATAAAAGAAGACTTAATCATCGACTCAGATATGCTCCTTATGCTGGGGAGATGAGATATACACAAGAAACAGAAACAAACTACCAAGTGTTCAATTCGGATACAGCCTAAAGGCTTGGAGAAATTCAGAGAAAGGACAGATCGAGGTAGGCTTATGTAGTCAGAAAAAGGTCCCTGGAGAGAAATGACTTGATCTGGCTCCTGAAGGATGGACAAGCAACTTGGCTACTAGAGAGAGGAAAGGAGAAGACATGCCAGGCAAGGAGAGTAGCATAAGCAAAAAAGCATGAAGCTAGGAATAAACACATGGAAGGACAGGGAGGAGGCAGCCTACCTGGAGTGAAGATTCATAATGGAAAGGAATAGAAAGGCAGATCAGACACAGTAAAGGAGGAAGAGATTATGGAAGTCGCTGAGTTTGGACTTAATCAGCTAAGCAAAAGGAAATAGTCACAGGTTCTTGAATAGACTTTCTCCTGATGAGAAAAGGTACACTTACCTGGCGTGACTTGCCTGCATGTTTAATGCTATAAAACATGGGGCCCAGCTCTGCTAGCCACTCCCCATCCACAGCAGTCACACACTGCATGTATTCCTAAGGAGAAACACGGAAGTCAAGGTGAGTGCTGAGGCAGAAGCAGCTCAAGCCAGGACCCAAGTGACCCTTAGTCAGCCTAGGGTTCAGCTATTTCCTCTCAGAGGAAGCATCATCAATTCTAAGAAGCATTCCGGGGGCCCACAGCAGGAGGGCAAAAATACCAGACATCATTATATTTCTACACTCCCCCATAACTTAGACTAATTTCTTCCCTTTGAGAACCACTGTCTTCACCCAAGATGACAAAAAAAGAAAAAGTCAAGGCACAAGAAGATTCTACGTTCCTTAAAAGAGAAATTAGGTAAAGATCTGCTTCCCCTAGGACAATAGTTACTAACAACTGTGTGCAAAGCATCTCCTAACACCTTCTCCCAAAATTCCCAATTGCCATGCAAATTCAGCAAGCTTTCCTATTAAACGGGAGCCACAATTCTCCTAAGCTAAAATTATGTATCAAGAAAAGACAATGAAAAGATTTCATGTTCAGCCCAGACAGCTGGGATCACGACAGAGCAGGCTCACCTTAGTAGTCATGACCAATTCATGATATACAATGTAGTCTGGAGTATACCCCATTCCGAAGAGAGAGCTGGTAGGATGCAAATGGCAAGGCATCCCCGTCCGGATATTCACATACTCCCCAATTCCCTACGGAAGACATTCATCAGGCAGATGCCTTAGGAAACCTCCCTATACCGATGCAGTTATCCCCTCCCCTGAAAAACACACCCACGTTATAGAGCCACATGAGAAAGGGACAAACTGGGAGAAGAAACCTCCTCCTTGTCGTTATATCAAACAAGGAGAGAAACAAGAATCCTGTAACACAGGGGGACCCTACTGCTATCCTGTACCCTGCTCCGAGCTTACCTTTAGCTTGGCTGCCTGATGGAAATAGGCAGCACAGACACACTTTCTTATGATGTCCCAGTCTGTGCCACAGGAAGCTAAGCTCATTCGCTGCTGCACCATGATGTCCTTCAGTTGGGCCCGCACCTCTCGAACCTATAGAGAGACACAGCATAAGCCACACGTGCCATATCCAGAACTGCAAAGCTAGATGGAGGGCCGGAGGTCATTTAGTCTAATCCCTACCAAAATATAAAACCCATCTGTAACACCTCCAACAAGGAGTCACCAGCTTCTGCTGAAAGATCTCCAGTGCCATGCAACTCATCACCTCCAGACGAAGCCCATTCCATTTCTAGAGAGTTCTAATTGTTAGCAAGTTCTCCCCTACACTAGGCTACAGTCTGCTTCCCTCTAACTCTCACCCAGTGGTCCTGGTTCTGCCTTCCAGAGCCAAGCAGAATTAGTCTACTCTCTGTCTGAACAAGAAAGCAGAACCAGGAGAACAATCCATACTAATGACTCTAATGCTAGGATGATGCCAACAACACTAAAAGGCAACCGAACTCAGATTCAAAGCAGTAATCAAGCTTGGCCTAGCAAAAAGATGAAACACCCTGCCCTCCTCTTGGAAGAGGGTGGAGACTACAGGTAAAGAATGGTACACAGACTGTCCAATAGGGGAGCTACATCAGCTGGTTTGGCTTAACTGGTATTCTGTTAGAAAGACATGGGGTAGGGGTAAGTGGTGAAGTCCTGTAGAGTCAGACTGTGAAATGATCATCGTGTAAGAATCACAAGCTGCTACTAAAGCTCTTTTAAGTTTGTCCCCTCTTTCAAATAGTAAGCTGTCAAATATCTGAAGACAATAACTGCAGCCCCCTAAGTGTCCCTCCTCCCTGGTTTGTTGAGAGTCTCATAACAGAGCTGTACCAGACTGACACTTCTACGAAGCACACAGAGGTCCCTGATCCCTCCAGCTGAGAGTGGCCTCTCCTCCCATGCCAAATGTTCCTACTGTTTTTTGTCTGATCTCTCCCTTCTCTTCTCATCCAGCTCGCCCTTATTATACACCTGTGCTTACATGTTATGTCACGTAATGCACTGTAATGTAAGGTCAAGCACGGGGCCTGCCATGTTTTATCTGTGTATCTTCAATGCCTGCATTTGGTACTGCTGACCAGAGCCTCTTGCCTCATCCTGGGCCCAGCCTCCTCACCTTCCTCATGGCCTTGGCATGGATGAAGTGTTCATTACACCACAGAGTGGAGTAATTATTGTTCTTCCACTGCAGGTACACATTCAAGTAGGTCAAATGATCACTCTCAGGGACAGCAAATTTCTCCCGAATTTGATCACTCTCCTCTTCTCGGCCCTGGGGAGAAAAGTTGGAAACCTTCAAAGCTAGCGGAAGTCTGGGCAGATTGCAACCTAACCCTTCTGAGCATCAGTAGCTCCTCCGTTCCCCCCCCAGTCATTTACAAGCTACTGTAACTGCTGGTGTCTACACAGAATGAAATTTCCAAAAGACGTCCTGCTGAGCTATTCCCTTTGTTTTGTAGGAAGAGAAGGAGATTGCTAAAATGACTCTTATTCTAGCGCTTGCCAACTCAGAAGTCTCTAGGAGTGAAACGCAAGAGAGACAATTTCCCTACCTTAGGTCTATAGAATATGGCTGGGACTGAGAGCATGGAGACAATCAGCAGAATCTCAGAGCTACAACCCATGTCGCAGGAGACAATCAGCATCTTAGAGAGGGCTGGATCCAGGGGAAACTCTACCATCAGTCGCCCAGTGGACGTAAGACCGCCTAAGGAAAGACAGCCCAGATATCAAGGTGACGGGGATGCTAGGACAAACTAAAGACAGAATGGAAAAACTTTCTGGGGCTAAAATGCCTTTTTAGGTTCCAGCTGCTATATCACCTGTGTTATCCATGGCCCCCAGGATCCAGAGCTGGTACATGGAGTTCAACATGTTGTCTTCTGGGGGTGGGTCCATAAAGTGGAACTGAAGCAAGTCCTGGACCCCTAAAGATTTGAGCAGCAGCACGACATTGGCCAAATTAGTTCTCTGAATCTCAGGTACTGTCGTGGTCAAGAGCTCATTTTTATATGCACTCTGGGTGTAGAGCCTGAAAAGAAATGAGGTTGAGAGTAAAAACATTTTTGTCACCATTGTGGGACCACCTGTGCTAAGCTCTTTTAACTTCTCACCCATGTATTTCAGATTAATTTCAGAATAATTTCACACTACTTCAGAGTAACTCTTAGTACAAATTTCTACCATCCCAAAACCTTTAAAAGAATTACATGCCAGACACAGAGAAATTACAGCTGAATCCACAAAATGACAGAAAATCCACAAGGTAAAAAAAGAGCTTATGAATTAACGCCTGAGAACTCAAACATTTAGAGCTCCCATTTACCATCCCTGCCCACAGCCAACTCCACTACAGCAAGCATAAACAAGCTAGCAGGCTTGTGATTCAAGGTCCAATGATAAGGATCCTCCATGCCAATTACTGCCCAAACACCTCCTAACTCCACAAAAGGTGGTAAATGCTAATGTTACCAAGCCACATGAAAGGAGAGTATTGGCACAAGGGAAAAGCCAGAAGGGCCAAAGATACATAGAAAGCTCCAGAGCAAGAGAGAGGAAAACAAATGCTGGACATGAGGGAAAGGGAACTGGAAACTCAGCTAGAGTCAGACTCTCCTGGCCAACGCCCCTCCCAACACACACACTCCACCCCACCAGCCCAGCACTAGCCCAATCTAAGATGTCTGGGCAGCCTCAACTGGGGAATGGCTGAACAAGTTGTGGTCTATGAATGTAACGGAATACTCTTGTGCTATAAGAAATGATGAACAGGCTGACTCAGAAAAACCTAGAAAGACTTGTATGGTCTGATGCTGAGTGAAGTGAGCAGAACCAGGAGAACATTGTACACGGTAACAGCCACGCTGTGCAATGACTAATGCTGATAGACTTAGTACTTCTCAGCAATGCAAGGATCTAAGACGTCTCCAAAGGTCTCATGATGGAAAATGTTATCCATATCCAAAGAAAGAACTATGGAGTTTGAATGCAGATTGAAGCATACTATTTGCTATTTTTTTTCTTCTGTTGTGTTTTGTTATCTCTTTCTGGTGTTTCCTCATATTCGTTCTAATTCTTACAACATCACTAATGTGAAAATATGTTTAATAGGAATGCATATATATAGCCTATATCAGATTGCACGCCATCTTGGGGAGAGAGATGGAGAGGGATGGGGAGAAAAATTTAAAACTCAAAAGCTTATGGAAGTGATTGTTGATAATTCAAAATAAATTAATTTAAAATCAATAAAGTAACTAAACCAAAATTTTTTTTAAAAAAAGGTCTGGGCAGAAGCAGAAAGGGGGAGAAGCCAAACAGTGAAGATTTACTAATCTTTTTGAGTAACAAAGAATACCAAGTAAATCATTTTGGGTAACAAAGATTACAAGAGAGAAAAAGCCTAAAGAAGAACCCAGCTCACAAGCAGCTAAAACAACAGAGATGATCAACCAAACAGAAAGGTAAATCATCAAAAAGAAACAAAAACCCTGCTGGGAAGAGGCTTTTCCCAATTTATTTTTTTAAGTTCACTGAAATTCATGATGAAAACTCCAATGAAAAAGCTAGATGTACAGGATTAAGTTTTGAACTAGTGGTTCTGTAATAATGTAATCAGGTACCAACTGTAACCCAGACGTCCTGTCCGCCTGGTAAGTATCTGATGCAGCGTGGCTGCCGCTGCAGAGCTATCTGAGAGGACGGCCTCTCCCACAACTTCACAGCTGGCAGAGCCGCCTGTACCTTCAGCCTCTCAGCCCGGAAGATAAGCTCTAACCCAGGAGTCCTTTTCTAACCCCATCTTTTCTATAACATCAGGCCAGAGTAAAAAAGAAAAAAAGGAAATCAAATCTGCAGTCCCCAGCCGTCCCAGCAGCATGACTCAGCACACTGGCAACCATGCTCCTACCTGAAGCACTGACCTGGGCCCGTCCTCCCAGCTCTCCCAGATCGCTGGTTAGCATTGGCCTGGCTAATGGGGTAGATCTGCAGAGCATCCATCCCAATCCTGGGGTTGAATACCTAAGAAATGAGGCAGAAAAAAACTTTTAAAGATATAACAAGAAGAGAAAGGAGAGGCAGCACCCAATGGGGGCAAGACATCACACAAGCAGAAAAAGCCTTAGCGATGGGGGTGGAGCACAAAAACTCTAAGGTAAGCATCATGCCCAAAAACCTGTAACTGAATGCCCATAGTCACAAATGTTCACCTTCGACCCTCCAAACAAGGAGAATAAAATCAGTATAAACAGCCTGGGGCAAAGGAGGTTCTGTTATATGTCCCAGATGAGGCATAAATTCTGAATATTCTCCAAGGCCAGGAAGCTCCAAACCCTAAAATGGATTTCTACAGTCCCAACATCAAGGCATCTGGGAAATCACGGAGGGCTCACCTCTCACCTTTAGTTTGCAGTAGCCAGAATCAATAACAAACATGATGCCATCAACAGTCAGTGAAGTCTCAGCAATATTGGTGGCAACAATACATTTCCTGACGCCATCTGGAGCCTATGACACAGGAGGAAGGAAAGCGATTGGTCCCTCAGATAGAAAGAAAAACCACGAGGGGAAAGTTTCTTCCCTATCCACAACAAGCAACAATACAGTCCCCCAGGAAACATCAGGAGAAACAATACCAACTAAGGCCTTTATTTAACTCCCCTCACTATGGGGGAAAGGAAGGAAAAGAGGCACCAGGCCCCAAACAGCCCAAACAGGTTCTGGCCAAGATACCTTCTGGAAGATCTTGGCCTGGAGGTCAGAGGGCAGCTGGGAGTAGATGGGAAGCACAGCCAGGGCAGGAGCATTCTCCAGTTCCTCCAGATGTTCCACGATCTGGTCCGAGGTCACCTGAGGACACAAAGGGCCTGGGCTGTAAGACAGGCTGAGCACCAAGAACCTGCAGTGTGCTGCAGATGCCAGGCCGGAGCAGGAGCCCTCACCTCAATGTCCTCTTGTCCGGGCATGAAGATGAGGATGTCCCCTGGAGCCCCAGAGAGGTGCACCTGCAAGGACTGCTTCACTGCAGCCTCCACGTAATCCTCCTGAGGGGTCTGAAACACAAAGCATTGCCAGTCTTCTCAGACTCCTCCACAACCCAACTCCCCTGCACCGCTCTGCTACTCTCTGCACAGAACACTCCATCTTCCATGCTGAGCCTCTGCCTGGAGTGCCCTGCCCCCTTCACCTCTGCCCATCTTAGCTTCCCTGGCTTCCTTCGAGACTCAGCTCGGATCCCATGCTCCACTGGAGGCTTTCTCAGGGCCCTCTCTGCACCCCCTCCCCAGCTGCCAGGTATAAGCTGAACCAGGTAGTCTGTGATGTCCTGTCCACCCCATCTCTGCCTCCCACCTTCCTGGCTTCCTTTAAGTCCCAACTCAAACCGCATCTTCTACAGGCAGCTCCTCCCAATCTCTCTTAATTCTAGTGCCTTCTTTTAATTATTTCCTATTTATCCTCTACATAGCTTGTTTGTACATAGTTGTTTTCCTGCTGTCTCTCTCATTAGATTGTAAGCTCCTCAAGGGCAGGGACTGTCTTTTGCCTCTTTTTGTAACCCCAGCACTTAACACAGTGCCTGACACTAGCTGGAGCTTAATAAAGATTTACTGATTGATGTGAATCAAGCCTGTGCTTCCATTCTACTAACTCCAAAGCAGCAGCTAAATGCCACTGTATCCAGAGAACAGCCTCAACCTCAGAGCCACTCACAGACTACCCAGTCACGACCAGAGCCACAGACCCCCTCCAACATCTGGTAAATCTTCTTGACGTCTATGCCATTATTCCCCGGTTTTCTCTTCTTCGGCACTCAGGCTAACAGAAACAACTTGGACCCTAGTACCTTGCTGAAGAGGATGTCAACGGGGAAGGTTCGGCCAGGAATGTGAAAGATGGGAACATTTCCAAAGAAAGCAGCAAATTTCTCCGCATCCATAGTGGCTGAAGTGACAATAAGCTTCAGGTCTGAGCGCCGAGCTACTACCTACACGAGAGACATCTGTCAGGGGGTCTTGTCAAAAAGGTGGTGGCTCCCCTGAGACACCGGACTCTCTCCTTCCGGTAACAGCAACATAACCCCCACACGTGAGGCAACAGATCCAGCTGGGGCCAAATCAGATCTGAGTGATTGCCCACTGGTCTCAGGACTGACACTCGAAACATGAAACACTGTGGCTGAGCAGGCACCAGGAGTCACAGGCAACATATGAACCTACAAAAGCTAAGGCCACAAAGCCGGGACATCTTCATCAAAGCACCCTAGCCAGGCCATAAAAAAAAAATCACTTCATCTTTTCCAAAACGCATCCCAAATCCCTTCCAGATCATCAGAATAACCCTCCTTTGCTGCTACCTAGAATAAACCTGGACAAAGACTCAGCAGTCTTGATATGGAGGAAGCCCTGTGACCCCCGCAGAAAGCCTCACCTCTCGAAGCAACCCAAACAGCACATCTGTGTTCAGCGAACGCTCATGGGCTTCATCCATGATAATGGCACTATAATGATCCAGGTCGGCCTCTCGCAGGGACTCTCTAAGCAGGATCCCATCTGTCATGTATTTTATCACAGTGTTTTCGGAAGTACAGTCCTCAAAGCGGATAGCGTAACCCACCTATGAAAGCAGAGAGATGGCCCAAGGGCTGTGGACGACTCATGATTCACCTTCTAGGCACACTCCTCATTCCAATACCCGTCACCGAGGAGAGAGACAACATACTATTCTAACTTCGCCTTCTGGATACCTTTAGGCAGGACTAGACAGGTACTATCAAACAGTGAATCGCCAAGCTAAAAACCCAGTGACCCCCAACCCCCAGCTCTCCTTTCTCATCTGCTTACCTCCTCTCCAAGGCTTCCTCCCATCTCTTCACTGACTCTCTTGGCTACTGACATGGCAGCCACCCGTCGGGGCTGGGTACAGCCAATCATGCCATAGTCTGTATAACCATCTTCATGTAAGTACTGAGTCAGCTGAGTGGTCTTTCCACTCCCTGTCTCCCCCACCACTATCACAATGCTGTTGTCTCTAGAGGAGCAGAAGAGGCAGAAAGTTAATGAACTTAACTGGGAGGAAAAAACCAACGTTCCAGAAAGAAATACCCAAAGGCACCATCTCCAACCCAAGTCTTAGTTCCCCTCCGCTGCTCGGAGGAAGCCTAGTACAAACAGAAATAATCTATTTATTTAAAAGGGAAAAAAATGCCTCTGTACTGAAGCAAAGATAAAGCATTGAGACTTGCTGTGAGAAGAGGGCAGAGACAAGATCTAGACCTGTGATTTCACTGGTACAAGGAACTCCCAGGTGAGGAAACTCCCTCTACCACTCTCCACAACTTCCAGTCTTCAAGAGATGCCCAGAGCACTATGAGGCTCAGTGACTTGCTCAGGGTCACACAGTCAGCATGTGTGAGTGGCAGGACTTGAACCCAGGTCTCCCTGGCTTCAGAGCTCACTCTCTATTTACTATACTAGTAAGAGACCTATGTAGAAAAAACAGAATATATTCTTGCCTGGAAAAGACAGTGTAAAACCCACCAATTTCTGCTTTCTGAATGTGTGATAATGAAAATGAGGGATTTGCTCCAGATGAGTGGGGAATCTGGGAGAAAAATATAAATGCTCAATGGACTACCAGGATCTTGTGCTGTGATACCAATGGAAACCACCAAAAAAAAAAAGGTTCAGGCCAAGGAAGACACCAAAGCACCAGTGGGAGGTCAGGAAGGAATCCTGTCCCTTCTCCACCTTCAGCTACAACACACAAACCAAAAGAAGCAAACACGGAAGACAAACAAGGCGAGCAGATGAGGCACCCCACCACCATGCCAGCCACAGGTACCTGACGATGGTGAGCAGCTCCTGCTGCACTGCAAAAATGGGCAGGTACTGTCTCTGCTCCAGAATTGACTTCTTCTTTGCAAACTCACTGCTGGCTTCACTCTTTTTCTTCATATGATTAGCAAATTTCTGCTCTGTCCTGAAAACACGTAACAGCAGCCTGAGGCCCTTGCCTAGGTCCCTGCTAATTTCTTGCCTACTTTATGTCTCTCCACCCACAAGCAGGTCACTGTATGAAGAAGAATAAACCTTGGAGAAATACTATCATCAAAGGAAGAGGAGAAGGACCCATATGCACAAACATTTACAGAAGCTCTTTTTGTAGTCGCAAAGAACTGGATGCTAAGGGGTGCCCATCAACTGGGGAATGGCTGAACAAATTATGGTATATGCATGTGATAGAATACTATTGTGCACCAAGAAATCATGAAGGCTACAGTTTCAGAGAAGCCTAGGGAGACAAAGTATGGAGAGTAAAGGAAGCATAACCAATAACAATAACATTGTAAAGACAAACAACTTTACAGACTTAAAAACTCTCATCAACGTGGCAATTAGAGGTCCCATTATGATCAACTATGTTCTCACCTCCTGACAAGACAGCTGATGGATTTAAGACTCAGAACGAGACATACTTTTGGACTTGGGCCTTACGGGAATTCGTTCTGCTTGACTGTGTATATTTGTTACAAAGGTATTATTTTCATTCTTTCTTTTTTTTATTGGGAGGAGGAGAGATGGGAGAGAGAGAAAATAAATGCTTACTGACTGAAAAAAAAAGTAATCCATAAAAGTTACATAAACTATTACAGCAAAAAGCACCCTCTCAGGCCTGAAGAAAAAGGGTATTATCCTGGAACAGCTCTCTGAGAATCTATTATCCACAAAATCAAATAAAGCCAAATGAGGAACAGAGAAAGTCATGTGCACTAAGTGGACACATTCATTGAATTTGCCCATGCATGAAAAATAATCTGATCAAAACCAAAGCAGTCAACTATTAATTTTTTAATAACCTCAAGCTACCTCAGTTTAACCCTCTAAGGAATGGAACTGCTAACACTAGAGTAGTACAAAGAATCAGAGTTAAAGAACCCTCCCACTTGGTCCTCTTTGAAGCAAAGCTTCATCTCCAAACCAATAGGACGACAATTTTTCTTATTTATCTAGGACTTTTCTGTGGAAAGTCCATGCATCTCCACATCCCAATGAAGAAGCAAAAAATGGAGTGAAGCATGCCCTTTGCACAGACGAGGCCTTGGTTTAGCTCTTCATCAGCTCACATAAGCTTCAAAATAGTTCTGTTGCTTTTTCAGGGGACTGCACACATCAGATCCTTAGATGTAACAAAAGCTACTTTTCTGTAAAACCGTCTAGTTACTCCAAGCTTATTAAAAGAATGTGTGACTAAGCACATCAAATAGAGAAAAAGGAGGGGAAAATGTCAAAAGCTGATCACCTCGGCCCAAAAGAACTAGATAAGATCCTACAGACTCTATCCTAAGTAATATTAACAATCTTGAAAATTAAGCTTCTAGGAGCTGACATGGAGGCAGGGAAGACAGAGGAGAGCAAAAGTCTTAAAAGTCCTTTTGTCTTAAGTTCAAAGTGATATCCTGCTTTCTGAACCAATGGTCCCTGAGTTTTAAACACCATACAAACTAATATTCTCTTTGAAAGGCCCTGACCTCCCGAGAATGGAAAAAAGACAAATTCAAGGAAAGACCATTCTAACACCAAGAATGCTTAAGTACCATAAGGACCTCTTCCTACCTGTAATCTACTTTGCCATCTTCTGTCAAAGGCTTATCTGGTTCTTCCTCTTTCTTGAGGCCCATAATATCTCCCAATTTGGTACCAGCCAGTTCCCAATGCTTGTGCTGGGCCTAAAACATCCAAGAAAAGTAGATCAATCCCATCCAGTACCACTACTGGGTCCACAAACAATCTGTCCATTTGACAAGTAACAAACTCCCACAAGGCAAGTGGGATCAATGAATCTCAGGGCCTGACTACAAAGAATTAAGGTGTCTGAGCCCCTGTGGACTCCAATGTACAACCGGTGAAACAAAGCAGTTCAGGAGAGGAAAGCAGTTTACTCTCCCCATACAAGGCTTGTACCAAGTCTCAAAAAGAACTCTTCTTGTGAGTCCATGAAGACCAAGCACCCTCCAGAATAATCCCACCTAATGTTCACTGTGCAGCTCCCCCAATCCCACGAAACCAACCTTTTTACGCTCCTTCTGTTCCCTGTGTTTGCGTACTGTCTGGCTGCCTTTTCGAGCAATAATGGCCAAGTCAGAAGTGGCATCCTTGACTGGAATCACAGGCTCTGGCTACAGGAAATTATGAAAAAGAGAAATTCCCCTTCAGTCACGAAATCTTTCAAACAGTAAAAGACAGCCATTTCAAAGTGCTCCTATTTAACTATTAAAAAGTTGGGGGGGTTTTTCCTAAATTCACTCATCTACAGAAACTAAGTGCTGACTTTTGTACACGGCACTGTAACAGTTGCCATAGGACATACGTGGTCTTTGGCCCGACTGTCTATATTTCCTCTCCCCATCCAGAGAAGCCCTTACCTGTTTGGTAAAAACAATGCGCCCATCCAGAAACGGTGGCACCAGATTATGCACCAGCAGATGCACCTTGGCTGCATTATCTTCCTCAAAATCTTCATCCACTTCCAGCCGATGGACCACACCACTAGTTAGCATGCGGTTAGTCTCCCAGCGCTCATTGTCCTGTGGGGTTCCAAAGACAGCCACAACGCATCAATAAAGAGATGGCTTGTGGACTCAGAACAGAATCCTACTTAAACAGAATTAAAGAATTACAGAAAGTACGGGCTAGAAGGGAAAAACCCATGGTATCCCCACTATAACATACTTGACAAGTGGTCATCGAGCCTTGACTTGCAGACGTGAGAAGGAGGTACTCACCCTGGCTTGAAGCAGCCCATTCTCCGGCTCTATTAGGAAGCTTTTCTTGTTCTCAAGCCTGAATTAGCCTCTTTGAAATTTCCATCCACTGCTCCTGATTCCGCCCTCTGCAATCCCACATAACCAAGTCTCATCCCTCCCCAACATGTCAGCTCTTCAAATACTTAAGATGGCTCTCCTTCTCCCAAGTCCTTCCTTCTCCAGACCAAACATGCCCACCTCCTTGAGATAACTTCCTATGCCATGGACTGAAGGCTCCTCACAAACCTGGCTGCCCTCTGTCAAACACTTTCTAGCTTATCAATTCTGTTAAACTATGGCACACAGAAGTGAACAGTCCTCTAGATGAGGAATTATCCTCAAAGCTGCGCCTCTCTTAACGAAGCTCAAGATTTCATTAGTTTTTGAGGCTGCTAAGGTACACTACTTACTAATACTGAACTTAAAGTCCACCAAAAAGCCCAGATCTTTATCAGAACAACTGCTCTCTGACAATACTCGCATAATAGCCTCCCCCATCTTATATCTATTCATTGAAAGTTCAATAAACATACCTGCAAAATGAAACCTAAAGGGCAAAAACAGGAAGCAGACTCTGCAGAATCTGACTTGCAGTTTCTTGTGCGATTAAATCATTGACCCCAAGTGATTATAATACTTTGTGGAGCTTCAGCAAACTACTCAAAACCTTCAGACACATTCAAATCACAACAGACAGCTTCCCTAGCAAACATACACACATTAACAATTTAAAGCCGGAAGAGATATCAGATGTCATCTCATCCAATCCCCTCATGTTACAAATAAGCTCACTCAGCTCAGAGAGATTAAACGGTGTGAATCAGAGAACAGGATCTTGTGTCCATTTCCCATCCGCAGCTCCCACCAAGTAAATGGCTAACTTGCCAAGTGGCAAATTTTATTTTTAAAAACCTCACATTGCTACATTCTTTAAGTATCACCATCAACCTCATTTGAACAATGGGAAAACATGATTTGCTCATGGCCCCATAACTTAGAACTAGGCCAGTTACTAGATGCATACACTGCCACCATGAGGTCAGAGGTCGACCAGTAGACTTTAGGTTGGATTCCTCCGCCCTACCTCATTGATCTGTCTCCGCTGGGCTGAAATGCGTTTTTGTTTCTGTTTGTGCAGGTGCTGTTCTCGTTTCTTCACATAGTCTTCTGAGGAGTAAGCCAGTGGGTTATGAAACTCATCATATCCCTCATCCATCATGTACCAGTCCCGATCGGCTTGCTATAGTTTAAAAAGAAAAAATAGGTATTACAATAGACAACACCTCTGAATAGGACAGCTATTATGCCACAAAACCAGAGAGATAGCTAAAGCTATCTAATGAAATGTCAATAATGCTTAATTGGTGCATTGTAATCCTCTGGGTGAGGGTGCTGAACCAAGCTCTTGTCCTACTATAATTAGTCAGGTAAAAAGACAGGGAAGGAATAGGATGATACTTAGTACGAAGTACAATAGCAGTTTAGAGACATACCACATGGTGGCGCCAAGAGACAACAAAAAGAAGCAGCTCTTTCTGCCAGTGACAGAGCCTATTCTCTATGCAGGGAATTCCACACCCTCGGCCTAAATAACACTAGGTACTTCCACTTATGTAACATAACTGCAGTGATACCCTTGTCAAAAACAAGCCCCTTCACTGTGGAAAGATGGGATTATCACTGAACTATACAGTGGAGTTGTGACCTGTCCAACCATTTTGGAAAAAAACAGGGAATTATTCCAAGAAAGTCACTAAAATGTTCACAGCCACTGATCCAGAGACTTCACTGCTAGGAATAGGCCCAAAGATTACAATGACTAAAAAGTCCCACAGAGAGAACGACCTATTTATAGCAGCAAAGAACTGGAAATAAAGGAGATACCCAAGGATTAGGGAATGACTAAACATCGACAGTAGTACATGCATATAATGAAATATTACTGTGGTGTAGGAAATGACAAATATGATTAATACAGAAAAACGCTAAATTGATGCAAAGCAAAAAAACAGAACCAAAGAAATGATACCACCATGACTTCAACCATGTAAATGGAAAAAACAAGATCAGAAAAAACCGAATGCTGTAAAATTATGGACAAGCCTGGCCCCAAAGAAGGTTTGTTAAGGCACCTCCTTGACTTCTTTTCAAAGGTGGAGGACTATGGGTATGGAACACTGTATAGAGTCAGATTTTTTTCCAACTTGTGGATTACTTTTGCTGAGCTGTTTTCCCTCCCTCTTTGGTACAAAGGTGCTTTCTGGGAAGGCGAGAGTGGAGAGATATCCTGAGAAATGCAAGTGACATAAAAACAAAAGATAGCCATAAAAATGTATTTAAGAGTTCCCGTATCAGAGGCAAGCAGCTAGACCTTCTAATCCAGGGCAGGGTACCTGTGGCCTCGAAGCCACATAAGGCCCTCTAGATCCTCAAGTGCAGCCCTTTGACTAAATCCAAAGTTCACAGAACAAATTCCCTTGAAAAAAGAATTTTTTCTATAAACTTGAACTCAAAACTCAAAAGACCGCACCCAAAGGTTCCTCACCCCTGGAATCCTATCTAATAATAACAGATGTAGGTACAGCAAAGTGCTTTGTACATGTTATTTCCTTTGGTTGTTCACCCAAAGGTTACTACTTTATCTCTTCCTTAACAAAAAGGAACCAGGAGAAGAAAAAGTTTTTTACCCTCTGGTCATCTTCCCATTGTTGCCTCTCCTCTTCAGTGTCAAAAGAGATTCCATCCTCTCCGTCTTCTCGCCTCCCTGAAAGATGATGAGCTGTCAGCAACAAATGGTGCCCTGTCTCATCCTTGAGTCCTCATGCTGTGAGGAAAGGACACCCCAGAGCAGTGTGCCAAACTCAAAGGGAAACAAATGACTCTGTTAAAATATAATATTATTTGTTTTATTCCATTTCTTATTTTGTTAAATATTTCCCAACTACATTTTAATCTGGTTCTGTTCTCACTTGAGAGCGCTGTGGATCATGTGTGTGACACGTTTGCCCCAGAACACCACTCTAGAAACATGGCCCTCACTCGGTTTTATCAAAGCTTATTATCTTCTCTCTAATCCCCATCACACTGTATACAATACCTCGGCCTCTGGAAAGCCGAGGGGTAGACCCAAGGTGTTTTCTGTCATCAGCCCATTCATTGTACTTATATGATGGGGTAGGCAGAGGTGTGTCATCTGGGCACTTGCTCCTCACAGACCTGGGAAAAACACACATTGAAAACATTTACCAAGTTCTTCAAACAAAAAAATATCACCCATGTTATTACATTCCCCTTCTACTTATTTCTTCTTCTACTACAGATTCTTTGGCCCTCACCATTTTTAATGGTTCTCTTACAGACAATCTAACTTCTTGACACCCTGCAAGTGAAGCTGGGCAGCTAGGGAGTACAATGGATAGAATGGCAGACATGGAGTCAGGAAGATCTGAGTTCAAATCTGGCCTCATATACTTACTAGCAGTGTGACCCCGGCAAGTCACTTCACCTGTTTGCCTGTTTCCTCGTAAGAAGGAAATGGCAAACCACTCCAATGTCTTTGCCATGAAAACTCCAAATGGAGTCATGAAGAGTCAAATGCAACAGAAACAAATGGGTAACAACAACAAGTGAAGTCAGGCTATTTAGCCCAGGGCATTACCTTTCTTTATCTCGAGTAGAAGAAGACCGGTGACTCCTCTCAGAATCCCGACAGGAAGGTACTGGGGAGGGTGATTCCCACTGAGAACGTCGGGAGCTACCATATCCACTATCCTCTTCTTCCCAATTAGAGCGTGAAGGGGTTGCTGCATCTGGCATCAAAACAAAAAAGGTACATATTCAATTTCACATCTCTTCTAAAAGACCCTGCACTAAGGCACAGGTTAAAAGGCACAGTGGACCTGAACGCTATTGCCACAGAGATCTGGAGCCAGGATACTCTAGGCAATGAGAATGGAGACTACTCTCTTATGTCACATGCTAACCGTACAGCTTACCTCTGGGTCGGTGTCTTGGGCTCTCTGGTTCACTCCTCCTGCTGCTCCGTTCTGAGCCTCCATCTCGGTCTGATCGGTTGCTGTGCCGACTCCTGTCCCGCTCATCTTCCAAAAGTTGGACACACATTAGAATGTAAGCTCCTTGAGAGTAGGCATTGTTTCATTCTTTTTATTTGGAGCCCTAGTGGCTACCATAGTGACTTGCACACAGCAGGCACTTAACAGATGGTTGGTAATTGTTGATTTACAAGCATAGCACTAGTTTGCCCTCAGCCTACCTTCGAGGGATGGCAGACCCTCCCCAACCCTCACAGGAAGAAGCCAAAGCCTTTACCTCTATCTCTCTTCCGGTCATAGTCTCGATCCCGAGTTCTCTCCTTTTTCCGGTCCTTTTCTTCTTTGGAGGAGGCATAGACACCATGTTCCCGTCTTTCCCGTTCTCTTTGCCTGCTGCGCTCCCAGAACTCTTCACTCACACCACCAGGATGTGATGGTGTCTCTACCCGGGCAGCTCGATAATGTCTGAACCAAGAGGAGGGAGAAAATTGCTACTAAAAGACTTTTGTCGTTAAAAGCTCTTGGTTGCCCCAAACCAAGTATTTTGCCTTTTATCCTGCTATTTTCCCAGAAGAATCTTATAGGTAGCACTGACCATGTCAGAAGAGATTCTAGTCTCTTCTTAACTAGTTCTAGTCTCACCTTAACTGCCAAAGTCTCCACCTGATCTTTAGTTAGCAATTATTCTTAAAAGTCTCCTTGTCCCCATTGAGATGATGAGAACACTTAAGTTTCTGCGATCATTACAAAAATTTAAGAATTGGTGTTCATAGAGAACAAGAAGGTTTCAAGAAAAAAATTATGGAATAAACAAAAGCTATTACAGTGTACCACCACCAACCAGTTCACCACCTTTTATTCCACCATCCAAGTGATTTTACCTGTCTTTCCTGCTGCTTCGGCTGGCCTGGTCACCCCCTTCCTCCTCAGAATCCTTCTGATCATCCTTGCTTTCCTCCCAGTCCTTGTACGAAGAGACTCTGGACTTCTTCTTGTCTTCCCCATCATCCTTTTCCTCTCGTTCCCTCCGTTTTAATGCAGCCAACAGATCTAATCCCAGCAATGAGGGACGAGGTGCAGGGGCTTTGAAAACATGCTGCTCACTAGCTGCACTTTTGGTCTTGCAAATGAGACCACCAACCTGTGTCTCTTGGTCAATGCCTTCTAGCCGATGAATTGAGGCCTCACCCTCATCACTGGCGTCTTCCATCACAGGCTTAGGGAACTCTCTGAAAAGGAAAATCATCAGGCATCAGACATTGAGAGGAAACAAATGAGCTTCAGAGCTCCCTCGAAAAGCTTCAGTAATGAGTACACAAGAACTTCTTGAATTACTTTTGGCCTAGACCCAACCTACACATACAAAGAGCCCTGCCCCCCCCAACTGCCTTCTCCCCAAGACAGGTAGGCCTCACTAAGTTAAAGTTTTATTAGAACAAAATAAACATACCACCTACTCCCTACAGGACCTAAAAGAATACCTTTTCAATTCCTCTACCCTTCTAATACAAAACCCAGAAAATTAACAATAGTAAATCCTTTTGTAACGCAGGTACTAGAGAAGAAGGCTAGCACAATATTACCCATATTTCATCAGACATTTATTCTATACATGATTATCTAAAGAACAAAGTGACCCTCAGTATGTACCAATCTGTGTAACAAAGTCATGTTATGTTGCAATTTACTTAAACAAATTACTAGAATTAAAAATGGTGTTTTAGTAGTCTTCCTACACATCCAATGACAAAACCATCAATGACTCTAAGATCATTTAACCCTCTCTATGTAACAAAATTCTTGCTTACATCTCATCCCACATTTACTTCAAGATAGTCTTTTCGAGGTTATCACCTCTGCACCTTCACCTTGAGACACCTTAAAAAGGCACATAGGACAACCCTAAATCATCGAGCCAGTTCCTGTTAACACACACAGTTCTGCGAAAGAGCATTTTCATAGACTGACATTCACAATATGGCCACAAAATGTGGTGAATCATTTCGGCGTAGTGGAAAGTGTTGGATCTGGAGTCAGAGGGCTTGAGCTTAAAATCCTGGCTCTGCTACCTGCTATGTGACCTCAAGCAAATCTCATAACCTTTCTGGACCTCAGTCTCCTCATCTGTAAAATAGGAGTACTTGACCAGATGATCTCTAGGTTCCTTTCCGGGCACTGGAACTTTTTTTTTTAAGCACAAGTCTATGCGAAACAATAAATTCAGTAATAAAGAGAAGGGAGCTGAGTGTCACAAACGGGCTGTAAAGAGGAGGAATCTATACTTGAGTCAAGGAAACTAAGCTACAACTAGCGTTAATTAAGTGCCTACTGTTGGCAAGCATTTATTAAGCACCTACTAAGTGCCAAACGCTGTGATAAGCACAAAGTAAGACAAAAGCCTGTCCCCGCCCTCAGGAAGCTTCCAATCTAACGAGGAGACAATGTGCGGAACAACTTCGTCCAAACAAGAGACAGAGTAAACGGGGGAGGGGGCGGGAGGAAGTTCTGTGGGCAAAAAGCGCTAGCGGGTCTTCTGCCCCAGCTCCCTCGTCTTACTAGGAAGACCCCAGAGGCCCAGAGACGTGCCCCGCCTGGCCCAAAGCCACCCCGCCGGCCTCGGGCCCCGGCCCTCTCTCTCTCCCAGGCCGGCTGCCTCGGTAACGAGAAGAGGGTCGGAAACGCATAGGAGGTTTTGCGGGCCCCGGTAGAAAGGCACGGGTCCCGAACTTCCCGGGCCAAGGCAGGGCCGGCATCCGCGACGCGGAGCCGACCCTGGGGAGAGGACGAAGTGGCCACTCACCACGCCGCCCAGGGGGTCTTCGCGGCCCCACCACTCCCCTATTTGCCCCACATCCGTCGCCTCAGAAGCCAGGGAAACTGAACGCCTCGCAAGCCGCCATTCCCGTCCCACAAAGCCCCGCGGCGTCCGCTCTATCCGGCCGCCCGCACCATCGAGAGCGGCCCGAGGACCATAGAGCTGAACCAGAACCAAGCTCCCCCCAGCGGGGAGGAAGCGCTAGAGCGGCCTCTTGCTGCGCCCCAATCACAGAGACTTCCGACTCTCCCTGAAAGCCAATCGTACGCCCCCGAATCCAGAGGCGAGTGAGCCCTAGGAGGCGTGGTCAGAACTGGGGGACCGCTGATTGGTAAATGTAGGCGGAAGCGATTCAAGCTCGGGGATTTCCGGTCGGGCGTGAATGAGAGGAAGAGGATGTTGTCTTCCGTCAGTTGAGCTGCACAGAGAGCCGGGAATCTGAGCGCGCCGACGCCGGAAAACTCGAGGTAGAAGCTGCGTGAGTGCGCATGCGCATCACAAACGTTCTTCCGCTTCCTCTCCCATGACCCCCCCCCGCCTAAGAATTTGTCTTTCGAGGGGTTGCTAGGCAACGGCGGCTCGGGGTGGTGCTGCGGCGACTCTGGGCATGCGGGGCGGGAGCCGGGGTGCGAGGGGGTCGAGGGTGGCTCGGGGCCTGTGCCGACAGACTAGGAGGGCCGGGATGGAGGTGAGGAAGGTACAGAGGCCCCAGGAGCCTGGGTCTGGTCCCGTCTCTGACCGGAGGGTGACCTCGGGCCAGCTCTCTGGGCCTCAGTTTCCTTCGACTGTAAAATGGGGGCGGGGGTGGTGTTAAGACTGGAGGAAATCATAAGGTGCCCTCCCTGCTCCAAACCCACACCCCCTGCTCTGTGACAGCTATGCCCCGTTGCTCTTTGCTGTCACCCACCCCCTTACTAGCACCGTTTATTAATTAATTGATTAATCGTATCCATTGGATGCGTGGCCTTGGTATGACCAGAGCATTTATCACCTGGTGGTCAGGCTGCTCGCCGCACTTGCCCCTGCTCGTTCTCTGCGTGGAGGTGGAGATCAAGAGGGCGTGCACTGCATTGGGCGGACCTTTAGGGGATGGAGGGGTGGACATCGGCATCGTCAAAGTTAATGAATCGTTATTTGTTTGGTCTGCATTAGGCAGTAGGTCCACCTTCCACTTGGGTATTTTGCAATAGTTTTCTGAGCCCCCTGGCTAAGAGGGGCCTTAGAGGTCATCTAGCCTAGCATTGTATAGGAAGGAGGAACAGCATGTGTGTCGCTTGCTGAAAGTCAGAAAGAAATAGAGCCAAAGCCGATCTAGGACTGTACTTAGCACGGGGACTGGCACAGAGCAGGCACTCAAGAAATCTATTGATTGACTCCGTTCTTTCCACCCAGCTAAGCTGCCTTTATTTCAGTTAATAATTTATTTTGTCTTGTAGGATCAGAAGAGCACTTCGTTAAGTGATATAAATGTAAGCAGGCATCTCTGTGCTTTTACAAAAACGTCAGTCTTTGTGAAGGGAGATGACAGGGATAGGTTGTCAGGGCTTTTTGTGAACAATATGAATATGAATCTAGGGTTTCCACAGATGTTTCTGATGGGTTAGTGTGACCTATGGTTTGAGGAAAAGTGTGTGTGTGTGTGTGTGTGTGTGTGTGTGTGTGTGTGTACTGTTATTCTCAGACTTGAATTCTTCCGACATCAAGTAAAGCCATTCCTGTAGATCTCTTACTTTTGAATTCGACTGTCCTTCAGCGCTGACCCTGTGGCTTTATTTTAGGTCTGGTAGTGAGAACTAACATTTGGATTGGTTCAGGATGAGTCTCCTGCTGCCCAAGCTTGCATCCAAAAAAGAAGTAGACCAGGCAATAAAAAGTACTGCAGAAAAGGTTTTGGTCCTCAGATTTGGAAGAGATGAGGATCCTGTCTGTCTGCAGATAGATGACATCGTGAGTATGTTCCACACAGAATTCTTTAGGCTACGTATATTCCCCACTATCCTTATATAAAGTGATTGTAATGAAGGTAGTACCCAGAGAGATGTGTGCCATGATTGTCATCAGTGCAGTTCTCACCATATCTGCGAAACAGCAGTAGACCTATGAAAATATATTGACACAGCTGGCTCATTTCTCCATTCATTCTGCATAGAGGCCTCACAAAGCACCTGAAATAACAGTATAAATTGTAGACAGGAAGAGAAGGCAGATAGGTGGAGTGGATGAAATAAGCATTTGTCAAGCACTGACTGTGTACGAGGCACTGTGATAAGTGCTTTTTACAAATATTATTTCATTTGATCTTCACAACCAACCTGGGGGGAAAGTGCTATTATTATACTTATTTTTTGCTTGAAGAAACTAAGGCAAACAGTGATTAAGTTACTTGCCCAAGGTCACACAACTAATAAGTGTCTGAGGCCAGATTTGAACTCTGGTCATCTTAACTCCTGGCCCAGTACACTGCCACAGAAGAGTGTGCTAATGTAGCATAACAGCAAAACTAAATGTTCCTAACCCTTGGTCCAATGTTTTCTTAACATACTACTCAGAAACACATCACAGAAACAACTAGCTTCTTCCTATATTATAACCTCTATCTTTTTTTCAATTCAACAGCTTTCTAAGACTTATCATGACTTAAGTAAAATGGCTATGATATATCTGGTGGATGTGGACCAAACACCAATTTACACCCAGTATTTTGACATTAGTTATATTCCGTCTACTGTCTTTTTCTTCAATGGGCAGCATATGAAAGTGGATTATGGGTAAGTGAAGTTGACATTACTTTGTCAATGTAATCTTAGAAATCTGCACTATCAAAACAGTTATATTTGCTTGTTTGGTTTAAACATGATTTTTGTCACATGACAATCTTGAAATAATTAAATCTTGGAACTGGTGTTTCCCCAGTTAGTATCCTCTATCTAAGTTTTTTCATTTCAAGGAAAAACTTAAATTTTTTCCTGAAAACCTTAGCTTTTTGCTGAGCATTTCACATATAAATGATATAGTAATAATGAAAAATGTACTGATACATAGTTATTTATATATTTATAAAAATAATATATACACATATACATACTTTCCTTTGAAAGTGGGAAGGATACCGCATTTTTTAAAAATCTAAGGATACAATTTGACACTTTCATGAGAAGCAGCAATTTTCCTGAGTATCATGGGTAAATGTCTATTTCCTACTAAGTTGGTTACATTTCAGTATAGAGTGACAATGATTTGTAAAATACTATCAAATTTTTGAATATGATTGATGCTAGGTAACTTCAAAGTTTGTGTTAAGGAATTTCTTTAACTTAAAATGTTTAAATATTTTTAAACTTCTAGGACCAATAATTTCTGTTCACAAAAGAATATAATACACCTCATTTTATAACTTAAATATCCTTCCTCAGCACAAAACTGATAGCAGTGCTTCTTACACAAAATGCAAATTCATTTATTTCCCATTCATTACCGTTGTAGTCAATATCATTAACTGTTGCTGCAATTGAGTTGTTTGCCTATGTTACTATTGTGTATTTTCAAAACATAACTCCAAGTCATCAGGGATCATGCCTGCTTGCCCATGCTTCATGTGTAATAAGTGCTTTGGACAGTCAAACATAACTTGGAAAATTTGGAAATTCATTCCCTTTTACCTCAGACTTTGAGTTAAATCTTTGAAATGCAAAACTGCTACACTGAGATAACCCCCCAACACAAATTTTATTCCAAGCCATGTTTGCAGTTGAGGCCAACACTGAGCCTCTTGTGTAAAAAGTCTCCCTGGTAGTAGTTTGTCATTTTAGTTTTTCAGAAAGTTTTCAATCAGTTGGTTTGAAGCACTTCTAAATGAGGTTCTTTCTTTCTCAACACAATTTCCTTTAGGTCTCCAGATCACACTAAGTTTGTGGGAAGTTTCAAAACTAAACAGGACTTCATAGACTTGGTCGAAGTAATCTATCGAGGAGCAATGCGAGGAAAACTTATCGTCCAAAGTCCAATTGATCCCCAAGAACATTCCTAAATATGACCTTCTTTATCAAGGCATTTAAAACCTCGACTTGAACCAGAGTTGAAGAGAGAACTGCAGTTGAAATGACACATATAACCAAATATGCTGTTGTTGTGTGACCCTGTTTTCCTGAAGAGATCACACACCAGAGAGGGGAGGAGGGTAGAAAAGGTTTGAATTTTATATCAAATTCTAAAATGCTGTCAGACCCCTGATTAAGAGATCATATTGAAATTGTCGGTGCAGGGGAGGGGAGAGGTGTCTCGTCACTGATAGGCAAGTTTTGTTCTAGAGCCTTTAAAATGTTGTAATAGCTTGAAATCTATATAAATTTCTGCAACAGTGCCCTTGTGTAGAACGTAAAGTAACACCCATTCTTTGTACTGCTGTGTATGAGATGGTTCTTATGGTAGCTGGAGGCTCAGTCTCTCACCATTTTGCACCTCATCTGATTCAAGCCCAACCTTGAACCTTTCACGGGAGGGGTCTTGCCTAGTAGCCCAAGGCTCAAAAGAAGGAGAAGCTGAATTGAATTAGTAACAGCAGTAGGGAATCACCTGATTGGCTTCTGGACTTCTGCAATCTCCTATTCTTCCAGAGCCTCAGTGATGCACCCTCTTTCCTCAAGAAACACCATACCCCCATTGGTACAAGGATCGTTACTCTAGTCGCATCTCTTCTTGAGGATTTGTGGGAATGCGTTTTTGGAGTCCTAACTTCCACAAATAGTTCTTTCTTAATTAAATGCCTAATTAGGGGAACAAGGACCAGATCTGTGATTTCATTAACAAATGAAACTCCAAGATGAGGAAATTTCCTCTCCCAATGCAGGTAGCACTTTCTTTGCGACTCATACTCTTCAGATGTTGCCTGGAGGACTAAAACTTTAAGTGACACACCTAGGGCCGTACAGCCAGTGTATGTAGAGTCAGGATTCAAATTCAAGTCTTCCTGGCTCCAAGGATACTTCTATTATGCCACCCTGTCTGAATAGAGTAAATAGTAACTCTCTATAGTGTTATTTTCCTTCTGAATACTGAATGGATGATAGCCAATAAGATAATGATCTTCTACTGGCTTTATTGGTCCACGAGCTTTTGTAATTATTAAACAACTGGTATGTGAAGATATCAGATATACATATATGTATGTATATGCACACATATATACACATATGTGAAGGGAACTTAATAGGGAAACAAAGTGGGCTTTTGTGGAGACAATAGTGTCTCCACAATAGTAGGAAATTGTACTTGAAAAAGGAGAGTATAATTTGAAGGGGGCAGTAGGATTAAACAGGTGGTGGTGTTGGGCTATCTGTGACCTAAACACTGAGAGAGAGAGAAGAAGAACTTTGAAAGAGTTCTGGGATTTTCCTCTCTTCTTCCAGCCTATTTGAGCTGTAAGTGAACTTGGGTCTGTACCAAACTGCTTCATTTTCTAGGTTGTTGTCATGGCTCTCTTCCCCTAGACTACAAACTCATAGAAGAAGCTGTCTACATTTATTGACTATACTTCCTCACATTCTACTCACTTCTTAACGCTGTGAAATGGAGCTTTCTAATCCATCATTTGATTGAAACTGCACTCTCAGGCTTGCCAGTGGGTCAACAAACATTTTTATTAAGCATTCACTACATTCTGGTAATCTCTTTAATTGCTAAGTCTGATGGCCTTTCTCAGTCTTCACCCTGCCTGACTGCAGCATTTGATGTTTGTTATTACCCACATCTTTTTGGATTCCTTCTATCCCTTGGGGTTTTGTGACATCGCTGTCTTCTTGATTCTCCTCCCATTTGTCTGATAAGTTGTTTGCTAGAACATCACCCCTGTCCCGTCACTTTATGTGGCTGTGCCTAGGTCCTCTTGTCTTTATACCTTCTCGCTTGGTGATCTTATCTGTTCCCTTTGCTTCAATTATTATCTCTATGCAGATGACTCCAAAATCTACATGTCTTGCTTTTGTATTTTTCCTGAGTCCCGACCCCACATCACTAGCTTCTCACTAGACATTTCCACCTGGATATTCCATAGGCATTGATCTCAACATGTTCAAAATGGAACTCAGTGTCTTCTTCACCAAAGCCCACCCTTTTCCTGATTTCCCTGTATCTTCCAGAATACCACCATCCTTCTAGTTACCCAGATACCCAAAAGTAAGTCATCTTTAGCTATTCCCTCTCCGGCAATAATGCCTCTCTCCTAATCCCAATCCAATCAATTGCTAAATCTGGTCGATTCTAACTCCAGAACATCTCTCTAAGCTGTCACTTTGTCTCCACTCAGACATTGCCAGGGAAGGTCCCCATCACCTCTGACATGGACTGTTGTGATAGCCTCCTATGGGTCTCCTCTCAAGTCTTTACTTTTTCAAATCTAGCCTCCCTAAAGCATAGAAGTCCCTGCTGAAGATGCTTTGGCAGCTCCCTATTGTTTGTAGTGTGAAAAACAAACTCATCTTTGGCATTTAAAACCCTGGCACCTATCTTTCTTTCCAGACCAATTTCATATGACTCACCCTTTCTTTCTGTTCCAGACAAACTGGCCTATTCCCTGTCCTCTGTGTGCCTCTGAACAAGCTGTTTCCCATGCCTGGAATGCTCTCCCATTCAAGACACAGCTTGGTTCAAGATCTCCCATATGATTTCTTTCCTGAGTCCTCCTATTATTTAAGTTATCTCTGTGCATGTTGTTTTCCCCCAAGTAGAATATAAGGTCCTTGAAGTCAAGTATTCTTTCATTTTTCTCTTCATATTTCCAGGACCTACCACAGAGTAGGCACTTAACAAATGCTTGTTTAATTGAGTTACAGATACGGAAACTGAGGATCAGAAAAACTCATCAGTATGCCTGAGGCTATACAGCTGGCTCCTAGAATGTCTGGGAATAGAGCCTAGAGCTTTCCAGTCTTTTGCCATTAGACCATACAGCTTTGTATTCAATAAAGTGCCAAAAATCCAAATCTAAATAAAGACAACATTTTCTCTGTCTAAATTAGATTAAATTAAATTCATTCTAGCAATAATGATGGAGCTTTAACCCAAGGTCTTTCTAATAGGGCTTCAGTGTTTTTTCACGAGGAGAGTTCTTATTTGTCAGTGGTTCTGCCGTTCGGATAATTTTTCACTTTTTTGCTTACTTCCCCAATGGATCCTAGCCCAAAAGACTGCCCAGAATTGTACACGTGAGGATGACCAACAGACCAAGACTTAAAAGGAAGAGCACATGAGTATATTCAAGAGAGCACTTTATTGTTTATACTTAGCTGGGCTACTGCCACTAATTTACAGATGTTTTGTGTGATACCCAGCTTGCCTAGCCATATGTGAAATCTTGCCATCTTGTGCAACTCATTACAAGCCTTGAGCTGGTGCAAAAAAAAAAAAAAAGTAGAGTTCCAGCCTGCCTCCTGTCTAGTTGGTGGCTATTGTCTCTTGGATCCAGTCCAGGATGGAAGGCACTTTCACGTAAACGCCATATTCAGCCACTGCACAACTCTTATCAAAGGACAGAATACCTGCTGCATACCAGGTATCATCAGCCTCATCATGAATAGCAAAGGCACCACCAGCATCACCGTAGCATGTGTCTTCATTGAATCGGGTCAGACCAGCACAGAATGTATATTGGTTCAATATGGGCTGGACTCCAACAGGACTCTTTTTTTCCTTCTTTTCTGGTCCTGTGCTGCCTTCGTAGTGTTCTATGCATTTGGCATCGTCAGCCACAGGCAGCATGACATACTTCAAACGTTCACTAAAAGCAAAATTGGCATTTCTTCCCCAACCAGACACGTAACCTACACGCCCCACTTCTGCATAGTCTTTCTGGGGCAAGCAAATGGGCATCACCTTCTCATTAACAAGTACTTTACTTTTAAGTTTGATGAGTCCGATGTCCACCATGGAGTGGTTGGGGTGTAGAATCACTCGATCAATGGCCACGGGCTTCTTCCCCAGGAAGAGCTTCAGGGTAGGGGTGATGTCTTCGAGAACGGCACTTTCATCGTGACTCAGAAAGAGGTTTTTAGCTGTGGTCAGTAACCATTGATCACTAATCAAAGTAGCTCCACTGCTGAGATTTCTCTGGGAAACCATGTGACCTTGCCAGGGAAAGCTGCCCTTGGCATCTAGTGAGCCCCCAATGATCCGCTGTACTGGTTTGGCTGGGTTCACAGGTTTTCCACACACTGATAGGAAAGAGAAGAAAAACAAGGGCTAAAAGATGAAAGGGATTCCCAATCTGTGAGATAAGGTTAAAATGCCATTATAATGAAAATTTTTGTACAAGAAAGATGTTCAAGCCCTAGCCAATGACTGCCTTATTTAAGCAGCATTCATTTTCAGATCCATTTGGACAGTCCCTTGGGGTTCATCTGAAAGAGTTCTGCCTGGGGTAGAGGATAATTCATAGTAGCCTTGGTCAGAATTGAGTTTAGTGACACACTCATCCTACAGGTTGACTGTATTCTACCTAGAAAGAGATGGAGAATTGGTGGAACAGCCACTAAGGCTTCTTGCTCACCTAAGAAATTTCTGCATATACTTGAGTAGTCAAGCAAAACTCAGGCTTATATCTAATCTATAGCTTTATCTAGAGGTTTCCTTGATTCATTCATGGCTTCCCTTAAATTTTTCTTCCTAAATCTCTCTTTTATCCTCTTTGGTTCTGGAACTCTAGATTTCTGAAGCAGAAGATTGAACATTTTTATTTGTCAGTCAACAAGCCTTTATTAAGTGCTTGCTTCCTATGTGTGAGGCATTGTGCTAAATCTGGGAGACAGAAAGGAGCAAAATGTCTTTGCTGTCAAGAGACTCATATTTAACTGATGTGGGTCCCTACTCATCAGCTCTGATTTATTTTGATCAGATGTCAGTACTGTCCCAACTTTATCAACAGATAACTGCTTAACTCTCCACAGTTTGGCTATGTAGACCTTATTTTTCTGAGAGCTTCACATTCCCTTTCTCTCGAGTAAGCCAGATGAGATCCAGCATTGCCATAGGTGTGTGACCTAGTTTTGGATCTGTCCCACCCAATTTGCTTCACTGTCATAGTTTCTTGTGCCTACCTGCTTCACATGTAGGTAGTTTTTCACCAACATCCTTGTTAGTCCACTGTTTCTCCTTATTTAAGGTGTAGAGGCCTGAGGAAAAATAAGAAAAAGTGCCCAAAAAAGATTGAAATCAAGCAGTTAAATTCTGAAACAGAGCTACTGAAACTGAGAACTGGAATGAGCACAGAAAAGCCCCAGATACAGAAAAAAAATAAAAAGAATTATGCTAGGGTCCCTTCAACCCAGTTTTTAAGGGCCTATTATGTGAAAGGTTCTGAGAATACAAAGATAAAATAAGGGATAATCCCTCAAAGAGTTTACAATATAGTAACAGAACAAGGGTTCTTTGTCTTATATGTGACATGACCTGCTTTGGAGGCAGTCTGGTGAAGGCAGTGGGCCCCTTCTCAGAACCATGTTTTTAAATTGATTTCCTTTTAAATAGAGATTACAGAGGAAACCAATTCTACTGAAATGTAGTCACCAAAATTTTTTTTAAGTTCACAGACTCCAAATTAAGAATCCCTGCTAAAGAATGCCAAATATATCTTCTTTTATCCCAAAGACACTTTTGTATACATGACCTCATTAGATCCTCACAACAGCCCTGTGACAGATTGGGTGGTATTATTCCTATTTGAAGAAATGGGAGAAGTTGTAACTTCCCCAAGATTACACTAGTAGGACTAATTCCTCATGGAAGTCATTGACTTTTGGAAATTATGACTCTGGATCACTGGCTTTTATTCCATTTCTGAAGGAGGAGTGTATCAAGGAACAGTCATTCAAGTCTTACCATCACCATCACTTTTCAGTCTATAGAACTGGTCACACTTATAGCGGACTGCGTGCTCAGCATAGCCATTTTCTATAGGAGGAGGTTTTGGGCAGAGGTCATCTGTAAGGAGAGAGGGTGAGGAGATCAGGTTAAGACACCAGAGCAGAGCTCCACCAAAGCTTAGATGAGAAAAAGGCCTCACTGTTCAACCCAAAGCATAAAATAAGCAGCCACTAAGCAGTAAGTTAAGCTATTGATGAGCGAGACACCATTGCCCCAGAATGCAAGGGATTCAACACTGAAAATAAGATTAGTCTTCTCTCTGGGGCTGCAGAGTCGCCAAGGTCATGATTGTACTCGGCTCTGTCAAGGCCACACCAAGTGGTACAAATTTCAGAGCAGCAGAGCCGATGGCCGTCTACCTCGCTTCTGCTCTTCCCAGCCCTCCCAGCCCTTCCAGCATGCACACCTACCCTCCATATCCAGGACGTCATTTTGGGCATCTGCAGACAGCAGTCCACAGAGAAGGAGGGCAGCTACAGTATATAGAATCCTGTGGAAAGAAAATGGGCAAAGTGGCAATGCCAGTCTTTCCTTTCCCCAGTGATAGGCTGACCCCCAAACACAGACACGGGCACGTAACACGAAGCAACCCAAGAGGAAAAATAGGGCTTCTAGGACCAGTTCAGTTCACCAAGCATTGATCACGCACCTACTGTAAATTTGCTAGGCATTGTTAATACAATTCTTTTTAGAAAAAGCCAATCCCTCCTCTCAAGGAGCTTCTATTCAACTGGGTGAGAAGTTGATTCCGTTGAACAGATTCCCTGGATCCCTGGTTGCCACCTGCTACAAACCAGCCCGTATCTGTATTGAAAGTGAGCAGCCATAGAAAGGGCATAAGAATATCCATAACTGCTATTGGGTAGGCCCTAATTTCTGGCAGCATCCAGGAGACAAAATATAAAAAGATACAGAAGTCACCCATGAATAGTAATAAATTTTTTTTAAGCTAGCATTTGCCAATTAAGTTACAAGTCACTTTTCATGCATCATCTCATTTGAGTTTCACAACAACCCTGTGAGGCAGTAACTATCCCCATTTTTTTTAACCAAACCTGTGGTTTCATTGGCCTAAGAAGCTCCTCTACCGATACAGATTGGTGCTGTCTCTGCAACTTTAGCACTGAGAAGTACTTGCCCAAGGACTCATTACCAATGTAGTCACACGACTAGTATTGGCCAAAAAAGGACCTGAACCCAGGTCTTTCTGTCTCTGAAGCCAGCTCTCTGTCCAATACAACATTTGATAGCTAAGGAAATGGAAGAGATATCCCTGAAACACTAGTAGTTCCCTTTCTCCTTCAGTCAGATAGTATGTAAGATACTTAACCGTATCTCCTATCTTGCCTATCCTTCTGATAACCATCCCAACAGTGTGGCATGCAGAGAGATTCCAAATGGATCTAGATCAAATTTAAGGAAGTGGGTCAGTACAAATCTCCTGGCAACCCTTGTTAAATGGAAACCCAGCAGTCTCAGGGAAATGAACCCTCCTCTTGTACTGTGTTACCTTGGGAAAGACACCAAATGACATCAGAAAACACTTGCTAAGAAAGAATAGGATGAGGGACAGCAAATCCTTCAACCAGTGCATAGTTCATTTGCCCTGTTTGCATGGGGGGGCCCATTTGAATTCTCCTTCCATGCTTACTGCCTCAAGCAAGAAGAAGAATGAGAAAAAGAAACAAACAAAAGGGGGGAAAAAAGAGGGGAACAAGAACACCTACCTCATCTTGGGTTTGTGTTGTGTCTGAGAGAAGAGTGCTATGAAAGGGGTGGCCACAGTCTTTTTATCCCTCCATTGCTACACCCAGCCCCGTTTCAGTTTTGCAATTCCAGTGACCACATGGCCTTGGCCTTGTTGAGGCCATTGGCATTGTCCAATAGCGAAACCACAAACATGGGTTGGGGGGAGGGGAGAGCTAAGGTCTTGCATCATATTTCAATTTCCCTTACTTTTTTTCCCTAGTACTTCATGGACTTGGCAGCTCCATGGGCCTAGGATTCTGCCAGAAAGGTTCTCGGAACCAGCTTTTGAGAAGGCTGGGAAGAGCCTTTCTGGAATACACTCTGTGTTTCTTTCTGTCATTTCCAAAACTGGGAGATTTTTTTTCATCTATTGTTGACCTTTTGTTAACCTGCTGCATCCTTCCTTAGATGAGGCCTTGTAGAAAGTGCTTCTTTCAGACTCATTTTATTTACTTCCTATTGAGATCTCTGCTGCTTAAAACCACCCATTTCTCTATCCCGCAATCAATAAAAGATGTTATTGAGTGTCACTTTACGGATTGCTCTGCAGGGGAAAGTTTGGGCTAGGGTCAATGCTATGATATACTCCCAATCTTATTCAAATGCAACAGTGAAAAAATCCTAGGCTGGTATAGGGGGATGATGAATTTTCATTTTATCAAGGTAAGGGCTTTCTCTTTCTTTAGTATTATGATTAGGATCCACCCCCACACAAAACAAAGAGTAATTTCAGTCTAAGTCTCTATGTTGGTAAATCAGCAACTTAACGGATTGTGGAAATTCAAAAGAAAAAGAAGACATTCTCTGTTCACAGGATGCTTACATTCTGTTTGAGGAGGCCAGATTTGTGCAGCGTGACTTCAGAACACTGAACACAGGTGCAAACTAAGATATTAGAAACGGCATCTGGGTACACAGTAATAGTAATATCACATTATATATAGTACAGAGAGCTTTACAGATTACAAACTTTGTGGGAATATGGTAGTGTATTAGGATGTAGAGCCTAGATCCCCCACAAACACCCCAGTCAAGCTATAAAAGTGCATCAGATGGAACACAGATAAAACCAAAGAGAGATGGCAACGGCTACGCAAAAGTCTCCATCTTCCCGCAGAAGCTCTGAGCAGAGACATGGAAAGCAAAGTACACAACTGTAAAACAGCCAGGTACAAATTGAACAGCTGGGTCCCACCACAGGAGACAGGACCCAACCAGTGTCCAGAATGAGCAACCCCAGTGCTTCATATTGGTAGGAGAAAGGGTGACCCAGGGGCCGACTCTGAGGAAGGAGATAAGGAAGAGGAGGGGTTGGGGGTGGGCAGAGTGACCCAGGGCCTCAGCCATTAGGAGAACGGGTCCAGACCGGTACCTAGCATAGGGCAACCCGGGGACCCCATCCATAGCAGGAGAAAGGGCTAGACTGCACCCAGTCCAGCCTCCAGGGAACCTGGGCCCAAACCATAGAAGGAGACAAGGACAGATAATTCTGGCAGAAGGCAAGGCCTCATCTTAACCACCTAACTCAGAATCAAGCAGGACCTACCCAAAAAATCAGGGGTATGGAAGTGGCATCTGAATTGAGAAATGGAGGCTATGCTATGAGTTCAAAGAATAAAACAAGAAAGAAATTCCTTGGACAGAAGGAAATCTAAGGTACAAACCAGAAGAAAAGAGTAACTCTGTCTGCAACAAGTCCAGTTGGAACCTCAGAGAAAAAGAATGTCCTGGCCACAAGAGCAGCAGTCATACCTGGAAGAAATGAAGCAAGATGCAAAATGGAATACCTACGGATCAAAGATAGGGAGGGAAATGAACACCTCAGAACATATAGTGGTACCCTTTACTCAGGAACTGATTCCTGAAAACAGAGTGGGCCAAACAGGAAACAACTCCATGAGATAAAAAGAAATATTAAAAGAATTTTTTAAAAAAAGAAAATGTAATATATTATCAAAACAGCTGACCTAGAAAACAGGTCAAGGAGAGATCATCTCAAAATCACTAGACTTGCCTGAAAATCATGAAAAGTTACAAAGTGCTTTCCTCACAATAACTCTGAGATTTGTTAGTGGGAGAATTAACCCATTTTAAAGATTAGGAAACTCAGGTAGAGAGAGGTGAAATGTCTTGCCCAAGACTACACATAGTTAAGCATCAAAGCCAGGATTTAAACCCCAATCTAGCCCCCTATCTAGTATCCTCGCCACATTTCAAAGACAATAATTAGGAGACCTTCCAAGAAGAACTGAGTTTGGGGAGTTGGATTTTGAAGAGAAATCATAAATTTATAGGTGGATCATTGATTTGGATCAAGGAAAAAGAGAAAGGGCATTACAAGTAAGAAACCTAACACGGAGCCTAAAGCATGGAGGGGGGAATGTGAACAAGTATTAATTATAATGATCATATTACTGGGGAAGGGAAGTAACTGGTGGAATGTCTTGAATTTTATCCAGATGTGGATTTTATCTAACAGGTTCTTAAACAAAAGAGTAAAACTATAAAAAGTTTTTGAAGATTATTCTAGGAGGTTTTTTTTTTTATAAAATAGATCAAAATGGAGATTCCAAAGCCAAGAATACTAAGGAGGCTGGCACAATAATCTAGACATAATCTGGTGAAAGCCTGGATGAAATTGATGACTTTGGAAAAGGAAGGGAAGGATAGATCAAGGAGACATTACATGGAAAGCAGACGATGAAAACAGTGTACACCATCTCTACAACAATCTAAATGAAAAAGCAGCCGTAAAGTAAATCAAAAGTAAACGTTGTAGGGGAAGGAGTATTCAGAATGCATGCCATCTTGGGGTGGGAGGAGGGGCAAGATGGGGTGAAAATTTGGAACTCAAAAGCTTGTGGAAGTAAATGTTGAAAATTAAAAATAAATAAATTTATATTTTAAAAAAAGACACTTCCTAGCTGTGTGACCCTAGGCAAGTTGCTTAACCTCTGTTGGCCTCAGTTTCCTCATCTGTAAAATATGGATAATAGCACCTACCTCCCAAGATTGTTCTGAGGATCAAATGATATAACAATTGTGAAGCACTTAGCACACTGCCTAGCACATAGTAGCTGCTATACAAAGGTTAGTTATTCATTATTATGATATATAATCAGGTGCTATTATTATTATTATTTATTGATAAGGAAACCAAGGTGTAGATAGATGAAATAACTTGTCCAGGGGTCACACAACTAATGAGTATGATAGGCAGGATTTGAACTCCTTCCTGACCCCAGATTCAGCACTCTCTCCACTGCACAACCTAGCTGCCATGTTAAATTTTAGGTGTCCAAGGGACATTCAAGGCAGGTGGGCAGCTGAAAATCCAGGAATGGAAAGAGAGTAAGAGGTTAAAATCTGATAGTGGCATTGTGAGTGAGTTTAATAAGGGCCAGAATCTAAAGAGAGAATGATAGAAAAGGCTTCAGTTGGATGGTTAGTTGATAAGAAGAGGAATTATCAAAGGTGGCTCTCCAAGAGTGACCCAAAAATGCATTTCTATAAGGCTTCACATTTGCTAGGCATGTTCCCCAGAGAACCCTATGAGGATGGTAATGAAAGGACTGTTCCCCATTTTACCGGTACACAGAAAGCCAAGTGACTTGCCCGGGGTCACTCAGTGTGAGAGCCAAGATTGATACCCAGGTCTACTTGACTTTTTCCATTACCCTAAATAGAGGCAGCATAGCCTAGCAGAGCAAGAGCCGGGCTGAGAGTCAGAGAAGTCCCAGGACAGGAGACCAGCTCCAAAAACATGCAAGCTGAGTGACTTGAGGGCAGGTCACCAGAAACTCTCTGATCCTCACCCTCTTCGTCTTTGAAATGCAAATTACACTTGCACTACAACTTAGCTCATCAGGAGAGTGTGAGGAAGTGGCATTGTAAACCTGATAGCACTATGTAATGTGAGTTATTACTATCCATGGGAAGAGCATCCTTTCATGAAATCCCAGGAGACAGCCAGGCATTGGGAATAGGACAAAGCATGAAGCCTCAGGACCCAAATTCAACATGGACCCACCATTGGCAGCCTGTGTTACCTCAGGCAAGTCATTTATTTAACCTCCTCAGGCCTCAGTTTCCTTATCAGTAAAATAAAGGCTTGTTCTCAATCCATGGCCTTTGAGGCCCTTTCCAGCTCTAAATCTGTGTATGACCTTGTGGAAAATAGAATAATATGGAAAATAGAATTGAATGTAGCTATAGGCTACATAAGGGTTCTTGACCTTTTCTAATGTCATCTTGGGTGACAATCTGGAGAAGCCTACGGAACCTCTCTCAGAATAATGTATTTAAATGCATAAAATAAAATAAAACACACAGGATTACAAAGAAAGCCAATTATATTGAAATATAATTATTAATATATGTTTAAAAAAAGTTCACAGACCCCACATTAATAATCTAGGATCTTGAAGTATAAGAATGAAATATAAGAAAGTATAAGAAGTAAAAGAATGAAAAAAGATTGCTTCTAATTCTTTACAAGACTAATATGGGAATATGTTTAATATGATTGTACATGTATAGCCTATATCAGATTGCATGCTATCTTGGGGAGGTGGGAGGGGAAGGAGGGGGAGAAAATTTAAAACTCAAAATCTTGCAAAAGTGAATGTTGAAAACTAAAAACAAACAAATAAATAAATATAAAGTTTTTAAAAAGAAAAAGAGACCTTTGGATTTCACAAGGGTGCTTGTGGCAGCCGGGGGGGGGGCAGGGAGAAATGAAGCAGAGAACTGAATTCAAAGCTGCTTACACAGTTCAAAATTTCACTTTGTCCCAATAAGTAAACTAAACAGAGATTTCCAGGTAATTACTCACACTCTCATTCTTCCCCAGTCACTGGGGATCAGGAATTATAAGATCCCGTCATTCTGGGAATATTGGGGCCACTGTTTGCAAATTGCATTTTCTCTTGTTTTCACATTTCCTGAAACCTTGCAGTTTTGGGGGAGGGGGGAAGTGGAGATGTGAACTTTCATGGCTATGTATCGACCTTCTAAGTTTAAAAAAGAGGGGTAGAAAGGGCTGATTTATACACCTTATCAACAACAAACTTACCCACTTTAGACTTTGTGACCTTGGACAATCTCTTAATCTCTGAAAACCTCAGTTTTTATAGCTTCCAAATAACATTATTGGACTAAACTATCTATAAGAAAACTTCTGTCTCTAACATTTGATGATTCCTATGATTTCAAAGGTCACTTCTGACTTTTAGATGTTATGATTGTAAGTATTTTTCTGCCCGCTGTCACCAAGCAAAGAACATACCTCAGAGAGAGTGGAACACAAACCTAATGATGTCTTGGTGAGGGAAAGGGTTGGTAAAGGTCCCAAGCATGGTGCAATGCTCACGTCCATTGGGACTGCAGTAGGAGACATGAATGGTAAGCCAGGGGACAGCACTGGATGGGAAAGGGCAGGAAAGGACTGCCAAAGAATCTCTGTATATTTATTCTCCTACTTAGATAAGAATAAGGTTCAAGTGTCAGTCACTCTCTCCTCCCACCCCAACCCCTTCCTCCTTGCTTACATAAGCACATACTTTTCTTTAACCTGCCTTTCCCTTCCCCCACCTAGTATATTTCTCTTCCCTTTTCTTTCTATCCTTAAGATCATCGAAACATAACAAAATCACTCTAATTCTATCGAATTGACTCTATTACCTCTGATGATGATAGAGTTCAGAGACAATACATATCATCTCTCCATATGAGAATGTGAAAGTTTATCCTTTAATCCTTTATCATCGTTGGTTTGTTTCCCTTTTATGTTTTTTTTCTCTCTCTTTTTTTTTTAAGGCAGTTGGGGTTAAGTGACTTGCCCAGGGTCACACAGCTAATAAATGTCAAGTGTTTGGTCTGAGACTGGATTTGAACTCAGGTCCTCCTGACTTCAGGGCCGGTGCTCTATCCACTGTACCACCTAGCTGCCCCCTTATGTTTCTCTTACCTCCTGTGTTTGAACTTCAAAGTTTCTACACAGCCCTGTTTTTTTTTCATCAGGAATGCTTAGAAGTCCTCTATTTCATTAAAAATACATTTTTTCCCTTGTAAGATCATCCTTGGTTTTGCTGTTTTTGGCTGTAAGCCTACATCCTTTGCCTTGTGCAATACAGTATGCCAAGCTCTCCACTCCTTCATCGTTGTGGCTGCTAAAGCATGTGTGATCCTATTGGTGGCTCCTTAGTATTTGAATTCTTTCTTACTGGCTGTTTGCAGTATTTTTTCTTTGACCTGGAAATTCTGAATTTGGGCTATCATATCTGCTTGCTATGCCCCTAGTCTGAGTTCTGCAAATTCCTGACCTAAGTGGGTCTGAACAACAAAAAAGTGCTGCTGGAATCTCTGGCCTACAATCTGGGACTAAGACCCCTCCCATGCTCCTGGCATCTGAGCCATACTGCTGTTTGCTTCTGAACCTGCTTCTCACTCAGTACTCCCTAAGGGGCTGCCACTGCTCCTTAACCTGAATGCAACTTCTAGGTGCAGGGACCATACTCAGTCCTCCCTGGATCTGTGACCCAGAACCGGGTAGTGGCCATCAAAGCTACCAGTAAATACCTGTGGCCACTTAGGAGTCCCTATATGGATTTGGGACCTCCTTTTGTCCTACTGTATAGCATTTCCCTTGTACTGGAGGACTCAGTGCAGTATGCACATCCTTAAAATCCAAACACTTTTCTGTCTCCCTGTGCTTCCCTAGGCTGGACTTTTTCTTGGATTTCCTCATCATCTGGTGCATCCTCTAGATATGTTTGAAGGAGTTTGGGGGGAATCTCTTTGAATTGGTGGTACTCTGTCATCTTGGCTCTATCTCCCAGAATATGTTGTTTCAATCCCAGTCATTTGAACAGAGGAGAACATTCTCCCTTTGCTTCCTTTTGGAAGGTTTCCGAATGGTGGAGATTTCATACAAACTTCATTCTGATACCAAGGACATCTCTCTTTTGACAGGTGTGGTGGGAGTAATATCCAAATCCCCTTCCCCATGCAAGTTAAGGCTAAATTTTTCCTTGAAAAAGTTTATTGAGAGCATCCTTGAGGCTTGGCTGGCTCAGTGGACTAAAGACTCTGGCTGACGACCTCACTTTCTGGCCACCATGAGTACAAACCAGCCATGAGAACCCCCTCAGTCTGATTCTTGTGTGGTGCCCTATTAAGGCAATAGAGCTGAGTTAGCTTTTGATGTCCTCAATACCCGTCTTTGTTGAATATCTTTCTCCCACTATGGCTAAGTAAATCTCCTTTTGTTAACTGTTGTATGATCTCCAAAGGTTTCATTTTGTTCCAATATTAAACCTAAACTACCAGGGAACTGGCCTGAGTCAGGCCCTGTCCAGAACAGCCGGTATAAAGGTGGAGTACAATAAACACTTAGCAAGCACATAACGTACAGAGCAGTGGTGTCAAACTCAAATAGAAATGGGGGGCACTAAACTATATGTAGGGGCCGGTAGCTCGCACCATTGTGCATAGACTGCTTCGGGGCCTGGAGTCAGGATGACTCATATTCAAGAGTTCAAATCTGGCCTCAGACGCTCACTAGCTGTGTAACCCTGGGCAAGTTACTTAACCCTCTTTGTCTCAGTTTCCTCATCTGTAAAATGAGCTGGAGAAGGAAATGGCAAACCATTCCAGGATCTCTGCCAAGAAAAAAACCTCAAATGCGGTCATCAAGAGTCTCAAGCGAACAAGAATAACAACAAAACCAATATATAAGGATCCCTGCTGGCCACATATTGACCTAGAAAACCACATTAACATTATCCACGTTCTATTGTATTTTTATTTATTTTATTAGATATTTCCCAATTGCATTTTAATCCGGTTTCCCTACACTTGGGAGGGTTATGGCTGCAATGAAGCCCAAGCCATGTTCAACACCTCTGGCATAGAGTACCATAAGGAGGATGGACATATAAAATTTAGTTGGCATACTTCCTGCCCTCAAGGAGTTTTCAGTCTAGTTATACACCAACATAACTGTAATACATAAGATTACATGATAAGTGCATTACAGAACTGCAAAGCAGTGCTATGTGAGGTCATTAACTGACTTAACAGAGATCAGGGAAGGCTTTCTGGAGGAGTCAGCATTTGGGTTAGGTTTTAAAGGTCGTATCATAAAAAAAATATCTGGCATCTACATGGTGATTTAAAATTTGCACAGATCTTTTATTTTTGTAACATTGCTGTGGAGGAGATACACAGTAGATACACAATTACTCCCAATCTGCAGATGTTGTGACCTGCCCCAGTCACACGACTACTTCTTGTAAGAAGAGGATTCAAGCCCACATCTGTGCTGACCCAGTCAGTGGTGTGCTGGAGCCCAGCTCCTTCCTACCAGCTCACAGCACTGATCCCTCAGAAGTGCTGGAGAGAATGCCAATGACGCTGATGAAACTTCAACGTCTGGAAGGCCAGGTGGTTTGTAGAAGTTCCTGCTCCTGCTCCAGTCCAGCAGACCACAATGCCTCTGGCAAAGATCAAGAGGAAGATAAGGTTTCAAGTACTTTCCCCTCTTTAAAATAATAATAATAACAGCGATCAGAGCCCTGTTCTTAGTAGCCTCAGCCCCTGTCATTACTCAATCCAGCCATTTTTCACCTTTTTATATGTCCTCATGCGCAGCATAATGTCTTACACGTCATTAGGTACTCAAGAAATATCTGGACAAACACCAACTTCTGCCCATTCCCAACAGCCTGTACCTGGCACAGGGAACCCTGAACTGGGCACGAGGGAGCTGGGGGTTTCCAGTAGGAGAAGGTTGGGAAATAGCCTTTGACTAACCTATCAAAAGAACATTCAGCACTGGGTTGCTAGTTTCAGTGGGATTTTTTTGTTTGTTTTTCATGCTCTGAAAGCAATTAAAAAAAAAAAACACCACCCAGCAGCAAAAATCTCATCACCAACTGGAGTTTTCTGTGAAGCAGCCACATGAAAAATGAAACCAGGAAGATACTGCTGGTCCTAGCAACACTATTCTAGGTAAGGGCTACAGTATGAAAGGCCAGTTCTGTTCTTCCCTATAATTATTTGCAGGCATCCTGACCTAGAGAAGCTAATTAATATTTTGCTTCTTTTATGTATCCCTGGGGTTTAATACAGTGCCTGCTCGAGATAAGGGCTTAATAAATGCTTATTCACTTGGTCTCTTCCTTTTCATAACTTGCAAATGCCTTCTCTGCTTTTTAGTCAAAAGATGGCCTTCAGTAGTAGCAGGAAGGAAATGGAAATACTTAGGTGGGTGAGAGAAGCCTGTAAACAATGGATCCTTATATGCTAAGCCCTAGTCTTTGCAAGTCAATAAGCATTTATTGAACACCTAAAACGTGCCCAACAATGCAAAGTGCCTGGGACACAGAGAAAGGCAAAAACAGTCCCTGCTTTCGGGGAGCTCAGTCTTATGGGAGAGACAACGCATAAACAACTACATGCAAACAAGATTTATACAGGATAAGTTGGAGGTGATCCAAGAGGGAAGAAAGGCACTATGATTAAGGGGCAGGCTTCTTTTTTTTTTTTTTTGGCAAGGTAATTGGGGTTAAATGACTTGCCCAGGGTCACACAGCTAGTAAGTGTCAAGTGTCTGAGGCTGGATTTGAACTAAGGCCCTCCTGACTCTGGAGCTGGTGCTGTATCCACTGAGCCACCTAGCTGCTGCTAAAGGGCAAGCTTCTTGCAGAAGAACTTTAGCTGAGACTTGAAGAAAGCTGGGGAAGCTAAGGGAGAGAGAGATGAGAAGGGAGAGAATTCCAGCCGTGGGAGGTAGCCAGTGACAATGCCCAGAGTTGGAAGAGAGAATATTGTGTTTGAGGTATAGCAAGGAGGTCAACTTCACTGGATCACAGAGTATAAGGAGTAAGATACTGGAAAGGTAGGAGGGGGCCAGAAAATGAAGGATTGGAAAAGACAAACAGAGGATTTTATATTTTATTCTGGAACTGATGAGGAATTTCTGGAGTAGGAGGGCTATATGGTCAGACTTGTGCCTTAGGTGGAAGACTGACTAGGGTGGGACAAGATGAGGCAAGGAGACCAACCAGCCGGCTATTACAATAGTCCAGGTATGAGGTAATGAGAACCTGTACCAAGATGGTGGCAGTGTCAGAGAAGGGGGGGAAGGGAATGTGCATGAAAGATGTTGTGAAGGTAGAAATAGGGACTTGGCAAGAGACCAGATGAGGGGTGAGAGAAAACAAGGAGTCAAGGACAACACCTAGATTGTGAGCCCAAGTGAGTGGGAAGATGGTGGTACCTTCAATGGTAATGGGAAAATTGGGAAGAGAGGAGGGCTCGGGGGCAAAAGATAATGAGTTCAGTTTTGAACCTGAAGTGCACAGAATGTTACCACCCAAATGATTCAAGCTACAACCGCTTGACCTGTATCATTCAGGCATTCGGATTCAGATAAACCAAATGATCCAAGTCAATTGGCTTTCATCCTCAGTTCTTCTTGAGTAAACCTAGAAGTCACCATGTACAACCTTGAAATACTCCCGGAAGCAACATGGCCACATTGGCACACAATACAAAGCCGGACACAGTCAAAGTCTTGAGCAGTGCAGAGGTTAGCAGGAGCACTTTGGGCGTCATCGCATCTTCCCATAACCATCTGATCAAGGACTAATTCTCCAAACCTAACACACCATAAAAACTCTCTCTGATGCAACCTCCACCATCTAAGAGGGATGCTCATAATCCAGAGAGTTGTGCAGATGGTGCAGACTTGGAGGAATCCTGATTTGGTAACCTACAGGGGCCTCAGAGAGTGTTTATTCTAGCTGCCTCCTTTTGCATATGAGGAAACTCAGGACGAGTGGGGTGAGATGGCTGGCCCATTATGTCTGATTTTCTTACCCTCCAGTTTTTCATTATCAGCTATCATCTCTCCCCCAATCTGAACGTGACATCCTCCCACAGTAAATACCACCAGATTCTCTGATGTTAGCCAGGCACAGTTTTCTACATTCCAATGGCTGAACATCTCTCAAGGACAGTAGTAGAACGGAGACTGAAGAAGCCTCTCCATTTCACACAAGATTGATTTCTGTGCCAAGCAATCTGCAATGAGCTCAAGGAAGGGCTTCCCTAAGATGATCAGGCTGTGCCCTCTTTCCTCTTTGGTTCCCGCCAAGCAGAACGATTCTGATGCAATTCTTTCTAAGCTAAATTTTGTGGGATACCATCTCCCAAGAGCCTGAGCTGGGAGAGCCAAAGGCCAGGGTGGGGGAAATGATCTTGGCCCTTTGCCTTTTTCCATGTATTCAGCAGTCTTCTCTTAAAACTCATGAACACATTTGCCCCTAGGAAACCAAAGTTTGAAAGATTTATTTATATTAATAAATTGATGTCTATTAATTTATTAATGTCTATTTATATATAGACTTAAAGGCAGTGGGGTGGAATAGTGGATAGGGCAGTGGGCCTGGAGTAAAGAAGACCCAAGTTCTAATCTGGTTTTAGACACTTCCTAGCTGTGTCCTAGATCCTAAGCAAGTCACTTAACCTCTACCTCAGTTTCTTCAACTGTTAAAAGGGGATAATAATAGCTCCTACCTCACATGGTTGTTGTGAGACTCAAATGATTTGCTCTTTGTAAAGTGCTTAGCATGGCACTTAATAAATGCTTCTTTCCTTCTTTCCTCTCTGCCACCCTTACCTCAGCCAGTTGAAACCTCTCTCTTCCTTCAAAGACTACCTTTCATGCTGCCTCCTCCATGAAGCCTTCTCTGGATACCACCAATCCTCCACCAGCTGAATTCAACCCTGGGAGTGAAAGATCACCCCCCCCAAAAAATAAAAAGTGGAAAGAGAAGAGAGAGAGGGCTAAAGACAGAGCCTTGAGGGATTGGTATCTGTGGGTAGATCTGAGCCTACTTGTCAACACAGGAGGATAGAGAATTGAAGAGAACCTTAGGTGTCCCTCTTCTTACAAAGAAGGAAACTGAGGCCCAAATGGAAGCCTAGAGAGAATTACAAAGGCCCATATTGGTATTGCAAAAGCTCTCCAAAGCATGGGAGCCATGGGCCCTAATTATACACTGTGCTGCACACAAAAGGCTTTGTTTTGTCTCTCCCACTAGGTGTAAAAACCCACAGCTCACTTTGCAGCTTCTCAGGGGCAAGTGGGAAACAGGAGGAAGAGCCTATTCAATATCTTTTAAAAGGAAATAAAATTGGCTCTTGGTTTCCAGGGCAGGGAGAGGCCAGTGGAGGGGGGGGAGGGGGTGGTGTCCATGGTTGTCAAGCCTGGATGTGGCAACACCTCCACACCCCACAGTCCTTATTTCAAGATATGCTTCATCATACACGAAAACATGTAACCCTCCAAGTTCAAGACTGCTGATAAAACAAGTGAAAAACTGTACTCAGATTACAGGGAAGAAAATCCAGGGCATTCAATTCAACTTGGAGAACATTTACTAAGTGCCTGTTATGTCCAAGGTATTGGGGAAACAAAGTTGAAAAACACTTTTTTGGACTGTTTTCGAATGGAGTAGGGACCCCTCAAAATAGGATATGAGCAAGTGCAGTGGGGGGAAGGAGGTCTGACAAAATACCATAAAGAGGCTTCATGGAGGAAGGGGAAGGTTGAGCTGATGGGGGAGTCCATTTCAAGCACAGGGGATGCCCTAAATGAACACAGACACGGACATGGGGAGCAGGCAGTACCCATCTTAGCTGCAGCAGTGTGTGAGGAGGGGATGTGGGAGAAACAAGCCAGGAAGGGAGACCAGAGGCAGACTTCAGAGGGCCTCAAATACAAGGCTGGCAACTTGTATCTTACCCGGGGCGGGCTGTGGAGCCTACTAACAGCTTTTAAGGAACAACATGATCAGACCTGTGCTAATATCTGGATGGCTTAGCAGCCATGAGAATGGAGGCAGGGACAGTCACTAGGGAGATTCTTGTAAGAGCCCAGGCAAGTAGCGATGATGGCCAGATCTAGGATTGGGGGGCAGGGGCAGAGGTATGGCCAAAGAGGATTGTCAGGACTTAATAACTGGTTGAGTAGGGAGTGGGAGGTGGGAAAGGGAAGAGTCTAGGACAAATCTGAGGTTGTGAACCTGGGTAGCTGAAGGATGGTGCCACTCTCAACAAAAATAAGGAAAACAGAAGTGGAAGATGGGGGGGTACTGTGGAACAGAGGACATATTAAGTTGATGAGTTTGACATATTGGTGGCACCATTCCTTTGGAAATTCAGGATTGGAGCTGGGGAGAGATCGGTGCTGGAGTCACCTGCAAAGAAGTGGTATCTGAAACCCTGGAAGTGAAAAATCACCCCCCCCAAAAAAAATGGAAAGAGAAGAGAGGGAGGGCTAAAGACGGAGCCTTGAGGCATTCATATCTGTGGGTAGATTTCAGCAAGTCAGGGAACCTGGATGGGAAAACAATTACATCTTTATTTCCATATAATTGGTTTCCTCTGTAATCCCATGTTTTTTATTTTATGCATTTAAAAGCACCATTCAGAAGGAGTCCAGAGGTTTCACCAGACAGCCAAAGGGTTCCATGCCACACACACAAAAGATTAACAACTCCTGTTCTACGCTGAGGAGATGAGAACAGGGAATCAGTGGAACCTCAGGAGTTGGATAAAAGAACCAGGAGGCAGAAGAGAACCGTGTCAGAAGCACCACTGACAGACCCCAGGTCAAGGTGCTCCTCCTATCTAGATACTTTGCTCTTTGGCTTCCAAAAAAGAGGCTCCATTTATTTCTTCAGTTAATGATTATTCATTTCTGTCAATTATTTGTTGATTCCTCTAACTCTTTTGGGTTTTACAGAAGCACAGTTTTAGAGAAGAACCTCAAAGGTCAACGATTCCAGGCCCCTTGTTTTACAAATGAGGAGACTGAGGCCTAGAAGAAGTGACTCGCCCAGGGTCATAGGGGGAGCAAACAGCAAAACCCAGATCCTCCAACTCCATGTTCAAGTGACTTGAGAGCCACGTGCCTGACGACCTTTAGAATTTTTCAATTTAATAGAGCTCTGGCCTTGGAGTCAGGAGGACCTGAGTTCAAATCTGGTCTCAGACACTTGACATTTACTAGCTGTGTGACCCTGGGCAAGTCACTTAACCCCGACTGCCTCACCAAAAAAGCCAAAAAAAAAAAATGGACAATTTAGCATTTCAATTTAAGCATATGAAATACTTATTAAGCACCTACTATGTGCTAAGCAATCATGAGAACCACAGAGTTTAAGTAAGATAAGGTCCCTGCCCTTGGGAAGTTTATCATCTAGGGGTACAGGGTACACACAACACATGAAGTGAAGCTATCTTCTGTCCCCTTAACCTTCTGTGTGTGTGTGTGTGTGTGTGTGAGTGTGCACGCGCGTGTGTGTGCGTGTGTGTGTGTGGGGGGGGTGGTCTCCTTTGGCAATCAGCCTGGGACCCCTTCTCAGAATACTGCTTTTAAATGTCTAAAATAAAACACAAGATCACAAAGGAAACTAATTATACTGAGGTTATATGACACTGCCTTGAGACATCAGGGCATGTGGTTTCACAAAGCCACTTACGAGATTTTTTCCCCCACTGATGTTGCAAACATCCTTCACCCTCAGATCAAAGGCACAACCACAGAGCCCCAGAAACCCTGTGAAGCCACAGCAAGTGTGTCTGGGACTCTCCTTCCCTCCTAGGCGAGCACTTCTTCTGCACCCAGGGAAAAGCCCCTCCAGAAGCCAGTGCCAGAGGGAGCGTCGCGCCTAGACCACATCTGCGGTCCCACCTCACTGCCAGAGTGCCCGCACACCTCTACTTCACACATTCTACGTTAGCACCTCATCATCCTGGTTCTAGACCGCCCTGGGCCTCGCTGCAGCCCCTCCATCGGCCCACGCCTGTTACCCACCCCTGCTCGTCATGGGGGAAGTTCCTATGTCCAACTGTTCTTCATCCCCATTTCTCCCTTGCCCATTCTTTCCTATTTGAGGGGAAGGAGATGGAGAAGCACATGAGGGCAGCTCCCCTGTTATCCCCACTCCACCATGGCTGCCCTTTTGTGTACTGTTCCATTATTAGTTTTTTAAAATTCTAAACTTAACAAACTCCTAATCAAACGAGCACATCCACATGCACTGGAGGGGAAAAGGACTGTACAGGAAACTGCAAATCTCCCTGATGTCCAGCAGGTTTTCTGTTCGAGTACAATAAATTCAATGCCTCTAACTCTCAGAGCCATCGGACCTGTCTGCGTGCCTTCTGTTCTCTCCTCATCTTTGGGGGGCCAGGAATCTCTGACTCTAACCTCGCCTTCTCCCTTTCCCTCTTTCCCCAAGGTAGCAGGGTGGCACAGCAGAGTGCTGTACGTGGAGTCAGGACAACCCGACTTCAAATGCTGCTTCAGACATCTGTGCTGCCACTCAGTTAACCTTCTCAGCCTCAGTTTTCTCATGTGTAAGATGGAGATACTAACAGCACCGGCCTCTTGTTGTGAAGATCAAATGGGGGGATCGTGTGTAAATTGCTTTGTAAACTGTAAAGCACCACATAAATGCCATAATGACTGTTGTTGTTACTATTAAGAATGAAAAGTAAAAACAAAAACCTTGTCACAGATATGCAATCGAGCAAAACAAATCCCTGCATCCGCCATGTGTGAAAAGGTGTGACTCTGATGCGTGTTCAGTCACTGCCTCCCTGCTCAGCCATCCTTCAAGGCCCACGGCCACAGCGCTGTAAAATCCTCATCGGGAGGAGCTAGGGTTGTCTCCTCCCCCAGTCTTGCCTCCCTCCTTCGGGAGGAGAAAAGTGGACACTCCACAGGCTTCCTGCAGGAACCTCAGCTCAGTCGTGGCATAGCCCTCATGCTGGTCACCAAAAGCGCATGATCCAGGTCACAATGCTTTGAGGGGAGTGGGTAGAATAAGACGCCCTACAGAAAGAGGCCAGAGTTCTAAATATAAACTTGACATGACTTTACTTCACAATAGTTTTCTTTTATGTACAGAATGTTCACCATAACAAAAGACCTTGGGGCGTGAGCTTCAAAAGAATCACAACTGAGGTGTACGGTCAGAGCAGGCCACAAAGGAGAGTCCTCAGAGGCCTCGAAGCCATGTCATTATCCTTTATAGTCCTGCCATGTCGGTGAGGCTAGTCTCCTGGGATATGGGGATCAGCTTCCAGGTGGATTCCTTCCATCCACCAAGGACACGACTTCACGTTCCACACAGAACAATTTGCTCACCTCCGATGATCTGCTCCAATTGCATCTGTGAGTTGGCTGAAACCCTGCTCTCTGGAACAAAAGAAAAAGAGGCTGCTATAAAGACATCACAAACTATGAGCCCAGCTTTCAAGGAGAACCTACAGTCTACTGCATGTCACAGAATCACAAAACCTCAGAGTTGGAACCAACCTCCGACACCATTTCACAAAACCAGTGCTGGGCCAAGAATTCCTTCCACAACATTACCAACCAGGGGATATCCTTCCTCTCAGAGTAGCCTATTCTACTCCTGGAAGCCTCCAATTGTAAGCCTGTTTTTTTTTTCATTCTATCAAACCTAGATCTATGTCTCTCTTCTAAAAGAACAGGATGACGTGTGGAAGTTGCCTATCCCAGGCTCCATCTCACAGCAGCCCATTCCCCCAGACATGACACACTGTCTCTATCCCACTGACAACATCCTCTTTAAAACTAAAAAACAGATAGGCTCCATACCTCCAGGTACTGGCTAGCTCATTAATAAAACCAGTCCTATTATGGGAAGACATCAGGAATACCCCTGATGTTCTTAGAAAGTACAGATAATGAAATTAAATATATACCACAATAATAACTTCTACATTAAGGATGTATCTCCCCAGGCAGGAGATAGAAGAAAAAACTGTGCCTGCTCAAAGGTTGCATCCACCACCCAATTAATCAAGAAGCATCTGTGAAGTGGTTCGTGTGTGCCAGGCACTGTGCTAAAACCTGGGAACCCAAAGAGAAGTGAGGACAGTCCCCCCAGGACTCCAAGGAGCCTGCATTCTAGAAGGGGAGATGACATGGAGAGAACGAGGTATACACAAGATCCATGCAGAGCAGAGGGAAGGCAGCCTTCAAGGGAAAGGATCTAGACCATGAGCGGGGAACCTGTGGCCTTCTAGGGTCTTGAGGGTGGCCTTTCAACTGAGTCCAAATTTTACAGAACAAATACTTTCATGAAGGGGATTTGTTCTGTGAAGTTTGCATTCAGTCAAAGGGCTGCCCTTGAGGACCTAGAGGGCCACATGTGGCCTCAAGGCTGAAGGTTCCCCACTCCTGGACCCGACTCTGGGGGACTAGGAGAGGCTTCCTGCAGAAGTTGGGGGAGAGTGGAAGGAAGGCCTGGGGGCCAGCCCATGCAAAGGCAGCCGGGTGGGAAAAGGAGAGCCTCCTGCCACCCCCTGCCACCAGGACAGTGGGAAGAGCACAGACAGGCCACATCAGCGCTGACCACCTACAAGGCTCTGCTTCAGACCACTTACTTCAGAAGGGCCTCCAGCTCCCGCTTGATTTTCCCGACTACAGGGGGTCCCCCGTAGGTGAATGCCGTGTACACCTGCACCAAGGAGGCACCAGCACGGATCTTCTCCAGTGCATCCCGCCCACTGCAGATCCCACCGACTCCAATTATGGGAATTTTGCCTGATAAGTAAACGAATGAAAATGGGCACTCATGCCCACACATCTTCTGTCCCACCCCACCCAACCATCAACTGCACAGCCATGCCTCGGAATGATCCCTCTGGGCCCTCGCAGGCCTTACCTTCTGTGAGCAGGTACATCTCGCTCACGGTCTGGGTCGCTAGGTCTCGGAGGGGCTTCCCACTCAGACCTCCCACTTCAGATCGCAGTGCACACTGAAGGCTGGCAGGGCGACTGACAGTTGTGTTGGCGACTATCAGCCCGTCAACGCCCAGCTGCAGTACGGGAACAGAGAAATGCATGAGCTGCGTGTGGTGGGCAGAGAAGGCCCTCATTCTCGGGCCTATAGGCCCCCCAACATGCCCCGTGTGGTATTCCAGAAAGGAAGGCAGCTCAGCTTGCTAACCAGGCGCACCCGACCCGGGTCACCAGAAATCAAGAGCCAGTATGTGATCCCTGAACCCATTACAGCCACTGGTGGTGCAGTAGAAAAGCCCAGAGCCAGGAAGACCCGAGTTCAAACCCTAGCTATGTGACCCCGGGCAAGTCACTTCACTGCAGTCTGCCTCCACTGCCTCATCCACAAAACAGAGATAACAATAGCACCTACCTCCCAGCAGTGTCGGGAGGCTCAAATGAGATTACTGAAGTAAGGTGCTTTTATGTAAATTATTATAATATTATCATTATATTAATTATTAAATTATGTTCAATTATTACTACATTACAATTTTAATCTTTGAATAAGCAGAGAACGTGAGTCTCAACCTAGGGCTGACTGAGAAAGGCTGGACCTCCAGCTGAAGACTGAAGGGGGCATGAAGGTTTGGGGAGAAAAGAGAGAAGGAGGCCAAGTGGGTAAGCAAAGACCAGCTTTCTCAGGTACAAGGACAACTTTCTCACTCACCCATAACAACCAACAGCACAGTAGCCCCCAGTCTCGGGGCAGGGGATTAAAGGGCCCTTTCTAAACAAGAGCAGAGGGGCAGCTAGGTGGCACAGTGGATACAGCACTGGCCTTGGAGTCAGGAGGACCTGAGTTCAAATCTAGCCTCAGACACTATACTCACTAGCTGTGTGACCTTGGACAAGTCACTTAACCCCAACTGCCTTGCCAAAAAAAAAAGGTAAACAAGAACAGAGTTGGACAGAACATGAGTAAGCAGAATGCTGGCTGTGGCCGGGACTCTTACCTCCTTCATCACACTGGCTATCTCCCTCTTCTCCTGGGCCGTCAGATCTGGGGCAATTTTCACTAGCACCGCTGGCTTGTGTCCACCCTGCAAGGCATCCCTCTCTTTCAGCACCTGGAGACAAGGCATCATTAGAGTTTGAAACTTCTTGGGATGAAGAAAATTTCCAATGAAATTATAAACTATAGCAATTCTTCAATGTTTCTTGAGGGAGGATTTGCTGATGGGAATAGATCAGGAAATGATTGTGATGTTTTTAATAAGGCATAAATGGAAGTTACTAACTGGGCAGAATAAAAAGTAAATAAAAAATTAAGTCACAAACTTAAAGGGAAAACTCTGCATTTTCAGAATAGACAAGTACCTAGAGACCAAGGTAAGATTGACGGGCGTTGGCAATAGCTCAGATGTGGGGGTGAGAGTATGGAGTCCAGAATGATTTCTAGGTTGTGAGCCAGGAAGCCTGGGAGGATGGTGTTACCCTCTATAGTAACACAGAAAAGGGGGAAGGAGGATGAAGAATTAGGGGGAACGATACAGGAGATACGATGATCAATATGAATTTGATTCAATCTTTCCAAGCTACAAAGAGTGAAGCAGCTGAAATCACCATGGATGTGGAGGAGGGACAAAAGAAGGGAGGGAGACAGGAAGGGACCACACATCTGTGGAGGGATGGAGGGATGGAAGGAGCCGGCACATGGTTAAAGTTCACACAGTGGCTGGGGACAAAGAAGTGACAACAGAAGAAGGTACACATAGGGGCCAGGGATAGACACATAGTACCTGAGCACAGATAGATAAGACAGACACCCGGAACCAGACATGCAGGCAGAGGGCTGGAGCAGGGCACAGGTCTCCCCTCTCAGTGCCAGAGGCCTCAGCCAAGTACCCAGTTTGCTGGTGGTGGTCTCTCCACACATCCATTCTTAGGCTCTCACTTGAGAGGGTTTTTTTAGGGTTTGTTGTTGTTGTTTTGGGGGGTGAGGGTGGCGAGAGGCCACAGAGTGCCGTACTATATGGTAAAATTAACATAGATGTGTGGTTTGGGTTTTTTTGGAATGTGGATTTCTTTCAGAATTCTTTACATAAAGTCAAATTTATGTAATGTAAACTTACTTGGTGAGAACTACCTATATTTAGAAAACTTTCTGAAAAAAAGTTAGATGATTCTAGTGTTTCAAGTACAAAATCATTAGAAATTATGATTCCTAGCCCCAGATGACAGGCATATCATTTGTTTGCTTTTTGTTTCTTACAAGGGAAGGCCATCCGAGAGGGCAGAGGGACAAGGCTAAGACAGGAAATCTGAGTAATATAAAAATAAAAAATATCAATCAAAAATCTATTTTTAAAAACTCTAAAGTTTTGGAGTGTTTTGGTTTTTTCTTTCTTTCTTTCTTTTCCAACAAAAAGCATTATCAAAAAACTTTCTAAACCAATTTGAATTCAAATGTCTTTAAGACTGGTCTTTAAAGATCCGGATTTTGCAGATGACGGACCTTGATCAGCAGCTGGCGCAATTCTTCTTTCCCCTGCAGATTCCTCAGTCCAGCAGTATTAGGACTGGAAACATTCACCACCAGGTAATCCGCCAAAGGCCCCATCACTCGCACTCCTTCTGTGTAATCAGCTGCAGCATCTGAAGAGCTCTTATTCTTTCCCAAGTTTATTCCTAGCGGCATCCCATCTGC